ACCCACACACAACCCAACCCCACAACACCCACCCTATCTCAGTAAACCTCTTTTTTTTTTTTTTTTTTTTTTTTTTTTTTTTTTTTTTTTTTTGGCAGTATATGGTGAAGTGAAGTGAATGGCATAGTATTATTGCATTGTACATGGCACGAGATGCTGCACGAAAAATACGGTACCTTAGGTACCAGGTACTCAACTAGATTATAATTTTTCATGTCGTTCAACTTGATTTATTTCTTATCTTGACTGGTTATTCTGGAACGGGAGCTGCTTGTGCTTGTGTTCGCTGTTTCGGCGCCATGTGTCCTCCTCCTCCGCCTCCCCCTTTTTCTGCGATGTGGGTATACTTTTTGACTAGCAGACATATCTCTGTGTGCCCCGAACTCCTCCCCCCTTCCCCCTCCTTAGCAGCAATAGTAGTTAGTTAGTAGTAACTCTTTTAGCGTACCTCATTCATTCTTCTTTTTTTTTCCCTGTCTTTTTCCTTCGCATTAGATTTGACCGGAGACTGATCTGATGATTGATTGATTGTATCCCAACGAGAACGTTATACCTATTTCTCTCTCCCCTTTTTTACGCCCCACCATCCCTCCCTCGTCCCCCTCCCCCTTACAGGATTGCAATATCCGGAATTCTCGTATGCCGTTTCGCCTCATTCCATTCCGTATCCCTCACAGCCGGCGTGGCGTCGTCTTTCCCTGCCTTTGCAGATTCTTCTCTAGGTTTATCGGGCTAGAGCAATCATTTATTTATTTAGGTATGTAGGTAAGTGGGTAGGTAAGTAGGTAGGTGCATAAGTAATACGCGAGCGGCCTAAGTATTACCTTAGGTAGCCAGCCACCGTCTTGAGTGAGCGAGAGAGAGAGCTGGTTCCTAGGTATGTAAAGTTGGAATCCTCCGCTCATCGGGTCCCGCCCCCAGCACCGGGATTTCCCCGTCCACCTGGATTCTGCCCGTCGCCACCCGGGTTAGGTCTGGGCTTAGGTTTGGGTTGGCGCTCGTAAGCGTTAGGACTCGGCCTGCGCCTGCGCTGGGGTCCCCCGCCTCCATTTCTGCGGCTGTGGTCGTGGTCGTGGTCGTGATCATGGTCGTGGTTATGCTTGCGATTGTGCTGTTGGCGTCGCCGCGCTGCTAACGCCCTTTCTCGAGGGTCGTCCGATACACCGCCATCCGAGTCCGAATCCGACGACGAGGAAGAGTCGTCGTCTGACGAGGACTCGTCGGAGGATTCGCCCACTTGGCTTGGCGGGTGATATATGCAGCATACTATTGTTATTCGCCACGCGTTAGAAATCAAGAAATGAAGGGGTTACGGAGGTCGAGGGGTTTGAGGGATATATATATGAATATGAATATTTAGGTACCTTTTGATCGTTTCCGTCCGAGCCCCTCGTTATCTACTACGGACTCGGCCCACTGGACGCGGTGATCGGAGGCCGGATACGCGCCGCGCAGACGCAGGATGGCGGGGGCTGCGGGCTCGGGGGTCTGGGTGCCGGTCTGGGTTCCGGAGCCGGTGGGCGCTTCCGTCTGAACTTGGATTTGAGAGCCCTGCGGGCGATCGCGCTGGCGCTGAGGATTTTGCGCGGACATTGTTTTTTTTTTTTTTTTACGGTTTTCTTATGTATGTGTATGTGTACGTGTACGTATAAAGTAACACTGAGAGTGGAACGGGATGGGGAAAACGGAAGTGATAATAATGAATAAAATAAAGGGGTCGAATTGGTGAAAGATAAGATATGTTAAAGGCAGAGCAAGGAGAACTTCTACGAATCGTTTCCCGGGTATTTACTGCTCTTCCTCTCTCTTTCTCTCTCCCTTACCATCCGAGGATGAGGGAAATACGTCGAATAAGATGGATGATGGTAAACGGTATACTGAATCCGTGTTCCCGCTACGTTACCTGCGGCGTAATGTTGCTGCTGGTGGTACTTGCTGGTACTTGCCAGGCCTTGCTGGTCCCTGCTGGTCCCTGCCGGTGGAGAGGAGTAACGATCGTCTATGTATGCATACGTGTAGGCCTTGGAACGGTCGAGGGTTATCGAAGGATCAACAGTTTTTTTTTTTTTTTTTTTATAGTTTTTTTTACCTTCTTCCTCGGCTTCACCCGTGGTCGATAATATTCTAGGGATTCTAATTCTTCGGCTTTTATGGTGTTTGTATGTTTGTAGGTTTGTTATTCCGTCCGTAGCGTTCTGGATTCCTGGAGGGATATGCGCGTTTTTGTAAGTGAGTTGGTTGGGTTTGCGATTTTCTGGAATGAGCGATTATTAGGTGTAAGAATTAGATACGGATTTCAGAAATCTCCAACACAGAAGTTTCGTATTAATTTGTTTTTTCGCCCCTCCGTCACTTTCTCTCTTTTATTTCTCCCGCTCTTTTTTCTTGTCTCGGAATTTGTTTTAGAAGCATGAGACTGAGAAAAGGGCAAGCTGACGAAAAAAGGGTTAACCACTAACAGCAAAGATTGAATTTGGCGATAATTAGATTATTTAGGGTGTCCCGCCTTAAGCTTTCGTCTAACCTCAGTTTTTATAGTAAATGTTACATTCCAGTCTTGAAGCTCCTAGACAATGGAACTGATCCCAAGTCATGGGGAAGATTGGGGAAAATTGGACGGGGGAGCAAAAAAAATAATCAGGTTGTTATCGTCAAAGTATCGCCCCACCACTGCCCCGCGTCATAGCACCCTTACCTATTACTTATTACACTACCTAACATATACGGTTTATTGGCTTACTCATCAAAGCACTACCTACAACACCCTTAACCCGGCAGTCCGGTTCAGGGTCCAATCCATCTTAATTGTTTTAAAGACCTAAAGATCAAAAGTTCAATTTCACATGAGAAACAGTTGTATTCTCCAAAGCTACCACCTCCTTTCTATTTATTTAATACACGTATGGTACATGATTTACATAGTTTAATTCTATATAACTAACACATATTTACTTATTTATATACTTCGTATTTTACAGTCGTAATAGTTAAGAGTGAGCTTCGATCGTGTTAAAATGAAGCACCACCACCACCACCACCAGCGGCAGCAGCAGCAGCTTCTCTCTCCCGCTTCCGCTTCTTCTCAAGTTTCTTCATACCCTTCATACTCCTCCGAGGCCTCTTCCTCTTCTGTGCCTTGGTAACCTTTGGCTTATTTAATATCCACCCGTTCATAGGTCGACGATAAGAGATAAACTTGCCCTCGGGACTGTACACGTCCACGATAGGCCAGTTTAATTCCACATCCTCGCCTTGCTCTTCAACAGAGGGAGGAGGAGGGGGGGGAGGGCGTCGCTTCTTTTTAGGATCCTCAACGAGAGCCTCTAGCCTTTCCAATGCAGAAAGCTCCCTTTTCTCTTCCTTTTTCTCTTCTTTCTTCTCTTTTTCCTCTTCCTTCTTTTCCTGGATTTCCTCAATAGGCGTCGTGTCCCATTCTTTCAGGGGATCGCTGGTTTTTTTCTTGAAGAGATCCTTCGTGCGCACTTGGGCGGTAACCTCAACCCATCCGACACCCTCAATTAGGATGTCGGTAGACAACACTCTATATGGTAGCCTGTCTATACTTAGATTGATGGCATCTCTCCTCATTAAAGGCCCAGTTCGTTGCTTCGTCACGTCCCACTTGAGCTCGAATGAACCCGCGAGCTTCGTCTTCTCGCCCGTCCCTGGTACTGCTATATTTTCAACTTTGAGTTCGCTTGTCTGGCTCTGGATCTCAATCGCCTTCTCCGTTCTTGTGACGTGTGCTTCGATCGGCGTGAATGCATACGTTAACACAACTGGCGCTGGATCTCTCGGCGTAATACGGATAAAACCACCAATCAATAAGGATCGACCTGGCGTGAGCGTCATTTGTTCTGGTACGATCCGAGAGCGCATAACCAAAGATAAGCGATGCTCATCCCTGACATACTTCTCAAGGCCAGTGCGTTCTAAACCAGGAAGGTCGATCAGCTCTCCTCGGCCGTTGCCGAATGGAATTCGGATCGGCGACGCTGTCGTCCCAGGCAGGTCTGAAACTAGCGGCATTTCTGGGTAGTTTGTCTCCTTGATCGCGGGTGGTAGAAGGGAATATTCGTCAAAGTCTTCTTCGTCCAAATCCTCTATCACCTGAGCTTCCAAGTCTTCCTCTTCTACTTTTGGCCGGGTCTCGGCCTTCCGCTTTGGCGTTTTCGTTTGCATGTTAACTGTAATTTGATGTCCTGATGGAGCAGAGTCCATTCTACCCTTGGGAAAGACAGCCTCAAACAGTTGACTCTTGCCAACGTTTGCCTTGCCGACCATCCAACCAGCACCTCCCCGGTGCCATATCTCTTCTTTCAGATCATTGGTCCACCAACTCCGTTTTGCACTGAGGGCGATTAGATTACCTAGACGCACATTACGTCCCGTGCGCCCAAGAGCCTCCCGAAGCACCTCCTGCAAGTACGGAAACAGCCTGTCTACCTGATCTTTGGTCGGCGCGAGTAGATCGCATCTGGTTATCACGAAACTCAGCTCCATCTTCTGGTCACCGTAGAACCTTCCTGCCCTGGAACGTCGGTTCTTGGTTCTCAGAGGCATGGTCTCGAGGAATTGTGAAAGTTGGGGTAGTAGTGACATAGGAAAGTCGGCGGCATCGAGCACATGATAGACGTGATTGTATTTGTACGGAGATTCAAGGATGGTATCCCTGATAGATTCTATTGAAGGGTGATATATCGACTCCCCATTATGGTTATGCAATAACCCATGGCATCGATCGCATAGGGGGACCTTTGGAGGTGGTCGCTGGTATGCCTCCGGAGGAACTAAACTTAGCGCAAGCGCCTCTACATCAACACCTTTCCTCTTCAGCTCCTCGTGATCAAGATTCTTGAGCACTTCTTCGTATACTTGGTCCTCGCGTCGAGCACGGTTCACAAGCTGGGGGTTAAGGTAGTTTTGAACGGCCTTGCGACTCAGATCAAAGTATCCAGGTTGGTCTGGAAATGTAGTTTGCGAAAAGGCGCCACAGCCTCGACATTGGCTTGGTAGTTTTTGAACGGGACGAATCTTCTGAGGGCCGTCTTCTGAAAGTGGTGCGCCCTCTGCAGGCGCATCAGCTTGCATGTGCAAGCAACGATGTTGTACCCTCCATCGTGAAGGCCGCACTCGAGAAGCCGATGCGACTGCGCCAACTCTCTGGGAATAATAGGCGGGGTTGATAGAGGGGCACAAGAATAGAGGCAGTTCAACTCTTCTTGGGTGTTCTGCGATATTAAGTGCAGTATTTAACCATCTTGACGACAAGGCGCGGTGCATCTTATCGTGAAATGGGAAAAGAGAAGAATAGCATGTAAGAAGTACATAAGTTTAAAAAAAAGTTGAACACCAAAATCTTTTAGAAATTTCTTGGTCGCAATAAGCCAGTGACGTTCAAAGCTAAAAAAGAATCCCTGGACCCTTTAATCCCTGTTACCACGAGCGATAAGATTATCGATAAAGCGATGGAATAAAAAAGTGTCAAGTACAAAGTACATGTGTCAGCTGCTACGTCAGTTATTTGGATCCAGCTGTCCTTCTTTCTACATAGTACCTAGGTATACTTTTCTACTTTTTATATGTTGTACAACTCAGCTCGTTCTTACACCTTTCTTTTACATCTTTATCTTTCATCGCGCAATAGCTATCCTGCTTTTATCTGTCAATCTGTTCAATCTGTTCACATCAAACACTCCAAGTATCGCCTCAACAATGACAGAAGGTCCTCAAGTTACAGAAGATCCAGCGGCACAGCGAGCTGCAGAGCAAGCACGCCTACGTAAAGAACGCCGCGAGGCTAAGATCAAAGCTGGAGGTGCAGCACGATTAAATAAGATCACAGGACTGGGGGGAGGTATACAACGAGGTAAGTTCTCTCTATTTCTTCTGATTTGATAATCAATGGTCTAATCAGCGTATATATATATATATATATATAGACCCAGTACCTCAACCATCGTCAGAAACAAGTACGCCACAAAGAACATCAACCACATCAACCCCAACCACGAAACCTACCCAGGCATCGGAACAACATGGAGACCCAGATGAAGTCGACATATCACAGCACTACTACGAGCCGAGCACCACCGCTCGCTTACCACCCGGCGCCACGCCACCCAACGATATCTCCGAAGCCCAGCTGCGGCAGCTGATCCTCGGCCTCGATCGCCAGTCCTCCGCCGGTAATGCCACCAACACCACCCCACCGCAGCCCGGCCGGAACCCGCTTACCAACGGGCCGTTGCCACCGGTCCCCGGCGCGGAGGGCATGGAGGATGACCCGATGATGAAGATGCTCTCGCAGCTCATGTCCGGCGGCATGCCTGGCGGCGCAGGCGCAGGCGCAGGCGACAACCCCTTCGCCGGGACACCTATGGAGGGCCTCCTCGGCGGCCTAGGCGGCATGAACACCAACGGCAACGGTACCGCAGGGCCGAGTCCCATGCAACAAGCGCAACAAGTCGCCGCCGACAAGAGCGCCAACCTCTGGCGCATCCTGCACGCGATATTCGCGCTCGGCCTAGGCCTGTACGTAGCGCTGTCGACGACCTTCTCGGGCACGCTCACGGAGCGGGAGCACTCGGCCATCGCCAGCCGCCGGGGCAAAACCTCGGAAAGCACGGAGCAGGACAGCGTGGAGCGCGCGCGGGCGTATTTCTTCGTCGTGTTCGCGTCGGTCGAGGCGCTGCTGCTGACGACGCGGTACTTCCTGGACAAGGGGAAGGGGCACGGGGCCGCGAAAGGCTGGATGTGGACCGCGAGCGGGTTCTTGCCGGGGCGCGCGAGGACGTACGTCCAGCACGCGCTGCGGTACGGACAGATGCTGAGTACGGTGCGGGGCGATGCGCTGGTTTGCGTGTTTGTGCTGGGAGTGTGTGCGTGGTTGAGGTCGTGAGAATACCTACCTACTTATCTATATCTTAGGTACCTACCTAGGTTAGGTAGGTATGGAGGGAGTCTAAAGCAGGTTGTTTTGCTGTTAATAGAGGGCGTGGATGAATTATACGATAGGTTAGGTACTGTAGTTGGTTGATAGAACTGCGCGTATTTGCGCGGCGGGAAGTAATATAATATGATGCATGCATGATATGTGTGGTTCAAAGGACATCGAAGTGATATTGAATGGTTTGTTATAGCACCTACTAACCTTACGTACGTACCTACCTAAGGTATTCTGTTTGTTATCTGCGTCGAGGCTACGGCTTTTGAGCTTACTTGAGGTAGATATTGCATCAAGTACACATCAGGTAGGTAGCTACATATTATATGGTCACATCTATGACACCCACTAGAAGGACAGCCAAGTACAATTCGAGTTCCAAATCGGCATATCAAGAACGAAGGTTATATATACATACCTTATATATTCCAACCAAGCAATCACGACCTTTCTATAAACCCAGTAGTAGATGCTAAAGTATTTTCCGCGCTCGCAGTTCACCGCTTTTGCTCTCTTTCTTTCTCATTTATAACCGTACCCGTACCAGTGTCCAATATAGACAGACGCCCTACATCTCAGGGACCTAATTTAATTTGCACAAATTAAGAGTGAGTGATCAACTAATTCAAGGGGATGGTCGACATAGTCAGGCTTTATAGACTTCAAAGTCCTTCATTAATCATTAGTTATTATATATAAACAATGACAAGCCCAGCTCGATTGCTTTCTCATCTCCTCTCATCTCCTCTCCTCTCTCCTCTCATCTCCTCTCCTCTTCTCTCTTCCGACGATCACTCCTCCCAGCGAATCTCCTATCCAGACATGATTAACTAAACACAATTATGGTATTTACATTACCTCGGAATGCACCATTCAACACTCCCTTTTCAAACCCCTATTTGTATATCCCGCTTGATGCCCTTCCCACCCTTGTCTAAATGCAACATCTCTTTAAAAACGCACCGCTTCTTCGGCCGGATTATAGTAGAACATCAGGGGTAGATCAGTAAAACACAAAGGGGGGGTGTATTCCAAAGGTCAGACATATAAATAAATGTCTGACTTGGACGGAAGAAGAAAAGCAGCCAAGTGCCTGGGTATATCTACGGTTCCAAAACAGCTCCCAGAAGCCTACCGAACATACCGCGGACCCTTCCCCGATTCTCTTTAACGCAAGTAAACACCACCGCCGTGCTAAAGGCGAACACGAACGTCTCCCTCCATTGCTTGTCGAGGGAGTATCGTCTAGGCAGAAGCGTCGCCATAGCCCTGGGCGCGACGAAGAGCGCCAGCTCTTTCCTGCGCGCCGCCTTCTCCACAAGGACGCTCCATCCGCATAGGAAACAGCCGACGCCGATGCACAGGCCCTGGTCGATAGTCTGTCTGGATCTCGTGTCCTTCCCGACGACGTGCGGGCCGAGCCTCGTCCGCGCCAGACACACGCCGTAGTAGAAAAGGGCGATGAACGTGGCTAGGAACGACGAGGAGCGTGCTGCGGACAGGAACGCCATTTTAACTCCCTTGAGGTTTTTCTTCCTGGCTAGCAGGTTCAGGGGTAGATACGTAGTCATGGCCCACTTGAAAGATCGGAAGAATCGCGACAGAGCGTTGTATTCGCAGGACACCCCGTAACGCATGTGCACCAGGTGGCACGGAAATGGGATGGATTGGACGGGATCGCCCCACGCCAGTGGCCATCTGTAGTCCTCACACATCGATTGGAGCAGCGGCGCTTGACCCGTCTCCTCGCCGTATCGGAGCTCCCCGTTGCGGCAACGCTTGAGTGCTTCAATAAGGCGTAAGTCTATCGCCGCGGCCGAGCTAATCCATTTTGTATATGCCTTGGGTAGCTGCGAAGGATAGTAAAACCATGCCCACATGATAAGGGCGGAAGACGTGGCGAAGATAGTAGGGTCAGCCAACTTAGATACCAAGGACTCGGCCTAAAAAAACAGTTAGCCGTGAAAGCCTTTGTCTACTTGACAGCAGATTCATTTCATACCCAGGTCCATTTGCCGGTGGTGACCCTACGCTGTCCTCTCCGGGTCCATACCTCACTGACAATCACATCAAGAGCTCTGGTTACGGCGAACAAGGTCAGGTCTAAAGTTCGTCCAGCATAATGCACCGTTTCCTGCTTGGCGCATTGCGGGTCGTCTGAATCGACAGTGACCGTCTTTGAGAAACCATCGCTCTTCTTTGACTGCAGTAGCCTGAGACTGAGCCAGGCTGCAATGAAAGTCGACAACCAACTCGCAAGCCTGTCGGAATAAAAGTTAGTCGAGCATCTCAAGCGATGATAGGTTGGGATATCGCCAAGATAGCATACTAATGCCAAGCTTTCCCAAGGAAACATTCAAAGTTGTTATGGAATTTCGGACTTGCCTTTTCTGGGTCACGATTGAAAGTTGGCCATTCCGGAGACAACTTAAGAGCCTACTCAGCAAAACCTTCAATAGATAGGTATGTTAGCTTTACGCTCTCGGGGTAGCACCGACTATACGTTTCGAATCGAGCATCGAGCATATATAGGGTAATCATGGGAGATCTTGCCTCTAGTAGCGTAGTTCCGCCTACGAGTGCTGCACAGAAAGTTGGAAATCTTTGAAGTTCTAGCCCCCCACGAACGATACGTTGCAGGGATGAAATGAAGGAGTCGTGGGGCTGCGTGACAATGACAGCACCCTTGTCCCTCCGGCTTCTAGTTACATGCTTGAGAATCAACGTGAGGAGCCTTGGTGTAACGGTAGAAGCGTAGCCTAAGACATAGGCCCGAATAAGAGGTCTTATGATGGGTGGTATAGATTCATCCAACCTCTTTCGGCTTCTCGGTGGAAGCAAAGGCGATGTCATCGCTATAACGTTCACAGCTAACGCGTTAAATTACGCGACACCCGCGACTTGCGGAGGAAGTTGTGGTATCGGGTTATACTTGTAAATAATGCATGAAAAGAATGGACTGAATAAATCGGGTGAGTTTCTGGGAATTGTTGATATACGCCGCTAACTTTGAATAAATTCAAATGGCAAGGTTTTTGTTTTTCGGACTTAGTACAATACAATACGTTGGAAAGGGGATTTGTGGTTCCGCGTCCGGGTGTTAGATCTGAACGTAGCTCCCGGAGATGGGCCTTGCTAAGATCTTAGGTAGTTGATATCTACCTACCTAAGTATCGTACAATACCAGACTGGTACAATACAACACCTAAGATTGGCGTGGTTAAGTAGCCCGGGAACCGGGTCTGACGAGGGAATGCGAAAGCTATGCGTGCCGAATAAGCATAATAATATTTGAAAACCGATCATGAGGCACTATACCGCACAGCGTACGCTGCTACGTAAGTGAAAGTTTGGTTCGCTGGTCTCTTTTGGCGATTCAGCCGAAGGATGCTACCCCGAGAAATGAAAACAACGGCCAAATCAACTTGTTGGAGACGTAGCTGCGTAGGAATATCTTGACTTGTCCGAGCCACAAACAGATCCTAAAACTGGAAAGAAGTTCATGCGCATTATACATGCATGTAACCTGTGGTGCAAGCCAATGTGATCATGGGTAACTAATAACTGTAAGGTATATTAAAGGAACACAAGTTGGCCTAAGGAAACACAGGTTATTAGCAGCCAAATCGGTCACCGAATATTTTTATTTTTTTTGTCCTGGACGAACCCTAGAAATTTGGGGCTAAGATCTACCTACGAAATAGGATCGACCAAGACTGTATCTCGGCCGAATATCTGCATTTAAATAGAAAATGCGTGTCTCGAGCGATGCGATGAATACCTTAGGTAGGTATACTCGTTATATGAGAGATGTTCAACGCTACCGTACTGCAAAGGCTGCAAAGGTGGTCGGTATGGTATAACTCTACTACGTCTGTGAACAGGGTATGATACGGACGTAATCAACTGAACGCAGTCGGAGGCAACCCCGGTTTTCACCCATGAGGGACACTAGATGATGGATCGACTTGTAGTAAAATTTCCTGCATACGTAGGTAGTTGTTCTTTTTGACGCAAAATAACTTGACTTGACTCGGCGACGTCAGGATTAAATTCTTGGTATTTTTTTAGGCCATAATATTTCGACGTATCTAATAAACGTTGTATGCAATGATGAATGCTACCTAGAAGGGAGGTAGAGTAGAAGAAAAAGGATTGACATGTGATTGAGTCTCGGGGCGTTTCCCCTGCCAAGCTAAGAATAACTTTTAAGTTATGGAAGTCAAGAGACGTCCATGCAATGCAGGCTCTCGAGTCAAGCACAACCCAAGTATCCAGGTACCTAAGTAGCGACGTATCTACCTAGAAGGTACCTAAGTAAGGACCTAACATAAAACTTGCATTAGAAGGGGAAATTATCACTACATCACCTAAATCGTAAACACCTCGGCTATGACGCACACATCACTTATCCCGTTCTTGCTTTTAAATAGGTACCTAACTTGTTATCGAAGACCAGTTTGAAGACAATCCCGGATCTTGAAAAGGTAGGTTCCAAGAACGGAGCGGAGCGTGAAGAATCTTAGAGCTGACCGCGGAGGCACTAATTTAGACTTGAGCAACATACCGCGACCTATTACCTCCAATTGAGATTTGCTGTCTGCTTGTAATAGTGTAAGTGCAATTAGGTACTGTTGTAGTTTTGTAAGTGACACTTCAGTGGACCGACGGAACATAAGATCATCGATAGACTCATACCTTCAAGTTCTCCTCTCTTACCCCTCATCTCATTTCATTACCGGTACTTAATTCCGTACTATTAATGTATTATGCGTGTATGGAAGCATGGGTGCTATGCCTTATATTAGCTTAGTGTGGAAAGAAAGAAAAAAAAATTTGAAGAAAGGTGGATGAATGCTACTTCTCTGCGGAGTAAAGGAATGGTGATGGTGGTTTCTCTAATCGATTACTTTAGGTTAGGTACCTATTTGGTTTACTCCAATGAATACCTACCTGTGGTTGTCCTTGAATTAGGTACTTCCTGGTCGTCATTCCTTCCTCTTCGTCCAATTGTTAGTGTTACACCACGTTTTTAAGCGTCCTTCTTTTTTTAAGATTTGTTTTATACTATCTAATGTACCTACTATAGAGGTATATCGGATATGTTTATTGTCTCTACCTCAGGTACATGCAAGCTTTCATCCTGTTTCCCGTTTCCCGTTCTCACTTAATTGCAACATAACTTACTAAAACTAACTTACAAGTTGCGACCAAATTAAGCTAACTCGGCCGCATCAGATCACTAGCGCTCGAGTCTCCACAAACCAAATACCTTTTACATAGTACATACCTACAATACCTACAATACCTACATACCTCCTCCACCATAACTCATAACCCATAACCTTCACTTCTACACTCTATGCTACTAATGCTACCTGGCTACCTACCTACCTTTAGGTATCCATGGAGCATTGTCGATCATCCCCAAAAAAGCTTGAACGATCCGATATGTAAACATAATTCCATCCCGACTATGTGCTTTTGATTTCTTTGACGACTCCGCTACGTTTTCCTTTCTTGACAATTGATCTGCTTTGCAACTGAACAAGCCTTGTCGCGATAAACCGATCCGATCTCCCCGCTCCGAAACACCTAGTATTCCACGAATTATACCATCTTACGGCTCCTATGTTCATATTACGAATACCTATTATATCACGACATTTACACCGCGGCGACTACTTCGTAAACTTCGATACGACTGTCACAAATTACGAGTACCACTGGAACATAAGACAAGACAACGACTTACATATCAAGGTTCTCTTCAAAAGTTTTGTTGCTACAATTTGACCCGAACGTATATGTATACCTCTCAGTTTCGCGAACAAACTGACCACGAAAGCACCCATGAGCGCCGCGTGCATACCACGTCCCGAAATGGGTTCCTCGCAACCGCCTGACGGCAATGCGCCGTTCGGTTGTACGTCTTTCGTCGAGTTTATATACAACTAAGCCGCTATTAAACAAACTAACTCTTCCATAGATCATGTTTCTGAAGATTTCTTATTTGTTAGAGCTCCAACGCCTCCTCCTGGAGATCCCTTACTCAGTAACGACGATAATAGACTACTAAATCTTTTCTTCGAGGACATGACGTCTAACCAGTATTCTACTTCGTATGGTGAAGGACTGAACTTTAGCGATCAATGGATAAGTCAACTTCCACCGGCCTTCTTGGGCCATACAACATCTTTTGGGCAGCAGCCTCAGCAGCCCTCAACTTCTTCCATGAACGGAATGCCCTCGACTACGTATCAAGATGTGTTCTCCTTCGCCCCCAGCATAATGCCGCCGCCAGTACCACCTCCACAACCGCAACCACCTCTACAACTCCAACATCTCCAACACCATAATACGCCAGCTCCTCATACGCCGATACACACGCCGATACACACACCGATAGAGCAGAACACCCACGCCGATGTGGCCGCGGTTCTCACATCTCTTCACCATGGCCATCAGAATGCATACCCGTCGAATGCCAATGGCATAAATCGCACACCTATTATGCCCTCCCAACATAATACTGTCGTCGACCAAATAAGACAACCGCTCCGAAATCACATTGGCCCCGAGCGGAATAGCCCTGCCCAATCAAGACATGCACTTCCTAATCAAGCTGATACACTCTTTACGGACATGATGTTTGGAACCCCTCAGGGAATACCGAGCCAACGGTCGATCGAGACCACCGAATTACAATGGGGTTCCGACTCGAGTTTTGCGAGAGCTCAAGGTTATATTCCGCCCGAACACGAGGCTAGTGAGGTGCTCGAACAGAAGCGAATGGGCGTCTTGAAGGTCCTCTCGATCAGTGAAAGTGCGGCCACTACCAGACCTCCAACTCCTTTAGGTAACGGGGAAAGTTCGTTTAATCCATTACGTGATTACAATACGAATGGGCACGTCAAGGAAGAACTCGGCCGGGAGGCCCCACCTGCGAAACGACGAAAGAGCAAAAGTAAAGCGAAGGAAGAAGTTGAAGAAGAGATGGAAGATTTATCATCTATACCGCCGAGGTCTGTGGCAAGGAAGCGCAAATCCAAGGCAGATTTAAGAGGAACCTCGGATGCATCTTCAACAGGCCAAGAGACGCCCGGCAAGCGGAGGAAGTCTACTATAAGCGCAGGGAAAGCACCGCGAGAAAACCTTACGGATGCTCAGAAACGAGAAAACCACATTAAGAGTGAACAGAAAAGAAGAGGTGCAATAAAAGAAGGATTTGACGATCTTAGCGAGATCGTTCCAAATCTAAGGGGAGGTGGCTACAGCAAGAGTACCATGCTTTCAATAGCGGGGGAGTGGCTTGAAGCTCTGCTAAAGGGTAACGAAGAGTTGGAGCGATTATAGTTCGATGTTTTCACACACGCACTTTAAGAACTACCTAATGAATACAGCGAGGGTACAATATCTCGATATTACGACAGAGTTTCAACTTGGCCAGGTCTTTTTGGGAGGGGGGATGTGGGAAGCCGGGCAATGAAAAAAGTTTTTTTAAGGGGGGTTGACTGCGGTCCCGGCGGTATTTTGCCTTCCTTTTTTTATATTTAAGCTTTGTTTGGGCGCATCCCTTCGGTTCTTGATACCTCCGGAGTTGTTACGTTACATAGGTACGGACCGGACTTACAGAGACTGGATTTTTCGTCAGGGACAGAGTTTTCTTTTGCGGCCTTGTGAGACAGGTTGTAGGGAAGAGACGACAATACGATGGATGCTATATGAGGTTACGGTTGATTTGCATGCATATATATATACACCTCTTACTCACCTCCTGCTGCCGAACAATTTAAACAGTAATTTGATACTTGAGATATATTGTATGGACGGTATATTGGGGGGAAGGGGGAATCTGGGTAAATTTAAAAAGGGGTATCGGTAGCTACCTTAGGTACATGTCACTTAGGTCAAACTAGCTTCTAGATGAGCAACAAGACGCTGGAGATCAACCAGCATACGTCAGTCGTCAATGCTGTGGAACCTCTCGTGAGCGGATATTGCAAAGAGCGGGATGATATGTCCGCAGAGATGACACCGCAGGGACTCGTCCCCGTCTTCTTCTTCCTCTTCCTCCCAAGCCTCCGCGTCCCCGTTCGCATCCATCGAGATGTCTACCGGGTCGGTTGCTTCTATTACCTCCCCAACTAGTTCTTCTATGGTCTCTACCACTTTCTCATTATCATTATCATTCTTTATCTCTTCGATTCCAATGACGTGTTCATCGGTACCAGCTACACACGCAGCAGAGGAAGAGGAAGAAGAACAAGCCGTAGTAGTGGTAGTAGCAGCAGCAGTAGTATCGAAGCCTGACGCTGCTGTTCCTGCTGCTCCTGCTGCTGCTGCTGCCACGGGCGTACGATCGTACACGGTCCACTCGCGCAGCTTGTCCCCCTGCGTGCGGAACATGCGCCCGATATCCCGCGCGCCCTTGCCGCTCCCCGCCGCCGCTGCCGCGCCGGCCCTAGCGACCGCGACCATGTTCGCCACGCACACGTTGACGAGGACCAGGCCCCACCCCTGCCGCTCGGGGTGCAGTCGCCGGAACAGCGGGAGCAGGGCCTCGGACGCGAGCCGCGAGGCGACGGCCTCGACGCTCGCGTCTCTGAGGGACAGCGCGAAGCTCGGCAGCGGCTGGCTGCGGGAGTGTCGGGTGAGGGTCTCTGGCGTGGGGGTTGGAGAAGTAGTGTTGTTGCTGTTGTTGTTAGGCTTGGGACGCAGAACTGTGGATAGGCGGAGGGTTTTGGGGTAAGCGATCCAGCGGAGCTGCTGTTGTTGCTGCTGCTGTTCACCTTGTTGCGAAGCAGGATCCAGGGGGTCGGGATCAGCTGCTTCGGCGAGATCCACGCGCATGCGTCGGACGAGAGACGTGGCGAGAGCACGAAGTTCCCTCATCAGCTCGACGGGCGTGTTCAGCGGGCGCGCCATGTACGTATCCTCGATACTAATTTGAGTGGGTACGTCGCTTGCCTCTTTGACCTCGGAGGCGTCGACGCCGTGGAGAAGATTCCATATTTTTTCCCCGCCGCCGCGCTCTGCGCCGGGGCGCTCGAGGATCCGCTCGAGGAGGTCGGCCGACATGGATGGGCACTGGCGTACTTCGCGCACGGTTACCTTTGCGCCGATTTCTAGGTCGCGCGGGTCCGGTTCTGTCTTGATGGATAAGACATGGTCCTGAATCAGCTGCGCGGTGCGAGAGCCAATTCCTGGGATCTGGCGCAGCTTGTGGCCGTCCATGAAGTCCCGCACATCGTCATCGCGTAAACTAAGCAATGTGGTTTGGTTCTGCGGCTTGTTCACGCTGCCGGCGAGTTTCGCTAGGGTCTTGTTAATTGCGATGCCCCCGCTGGAAGTATACCCAAAATCTTCCTCTAGCTTAAGGCGCAAGTAACCCGCTAAGTGGGACGCGAGCAGCAGGCGGACGCAAAGCGGATTATCCAGAAGGAGCACCAAATCCTTCGGGTCTATCGCTGGCTGCACGCACCCACAGAACCGCGTGGCATCGAAACCAAATCCCTTCTCGGGGTCGTGCCGCGAGAGCTGGAAGAAGGAATCTCGCAGGGCATTGCGGTTCAGCAACTCCTGGTTATACGCGATGACGTCGGAGACGTCGAGGAAGACCTCGTCGAGACCCAGGCGCTCGACACGGTCACTCCAGGAGTGGCTCCTTAGAAAGGACCACAGCCTCTTAGAGGCGTCGCGGAACGGCGTCAGATCCTCGCCGCTCAGGACCACGAGACCCGGGCAGATCTTGAGGGCGTCCGAGATGGGCATCAGCTTCCTGACGCCGCGGGCGCGGGCGGTGTAGTTGCACGTCGCCAGAATGCTCTTCTGCTTGACGCCCAGCGGCTGCCCCTTGAGGCCCGGGTTTGCATTCTCGAGCACGCTGGCGTAGAAGCAATCGTAATCCTGGGCGTCATTGTTGTTAGTAGGTAAGTAGTAAGTAGTAAGTAGTAAGTAGGTCGGTTTCTAGAAAAAACAAATCTGGCCTACAAAGTGCAGAATGACGCGGTCGTCGTTCCTCTTAGGGGCTCTGGCGACGATCGTCGTGGCTCCTCCCGACGTCAGCGCTGATGTCTTCATCTTGTTCCATTTTTAGATAGCTAACGACCACGCGACAAGTGTATTCTTGTAAAAGTCTACTCGGTAGCGCGGCGCGTGGCCATCCGTAAACTACTTTAGCACGCCTTTACTTAACAGCGAGTGTGTTGTATAAAGTGTGGCCTGAAAGTTGGAGTCTGCAACGAAAGTAGTAAGTAATTAAAAGGTGCCGCGTTGCTTAAAAGGGGGGCGTTTGTTTAGGGAATCCTATCAGCCACGAACCGTATAGAGAGCTGGAGGTAGGTACCTCCTAATGCGTTAGTTGCCTTAGGTAATGTTGGTCACTTAGTAATGTGGCTCAGCAAGTTGGAAGTAAATGTAAATCAAAGATTTTGATCCTTCAAACCTCCCCACAACATCCACATCATCCATAATCCCCCATCGCTGCTGAATGCTTGAATGTCATATTCTAGAATATCAATACCTAATCCATTATGTTTCTATTTTTCTCTTTTATCCTCGCTGGTTTTCCTGCAGGTTCGTTTAAGACGGCTTTTCCGGTACTCATCCGGATTCCTGTATAGGAAGTTCCTACGTCGCGATGCTTTCATCTAGTCCAAGAGGTAGGTAACGAGGCTGGTTACCAGCCTCTCTTTTCGACAGGTTCTGGTTTATACGACTCGAGAAGTGAAGAAACTTCCCAAGAGAGATCGCCCATGTTTCAAAACAAGCTTGGGTTTCTTTATATAAATAACCATGTAGGATTTAAGATCTCCTTCTAGGTTGGTGGTTAGCGTTACAACCAGATTGTTCCGAGATGGAAAAGTGCCGAAGACATGTCCATCATCACCGGCTACCTGTTCCGTCTTTATTTCTGTTCTCCGGGGAGTTTACTATTATTACTGCCAGTCCACACCGATGGGTTCGTAGGAACGTGGCTTGTGCAATCAGGAGATTGGCAAGGACCAACGATTCTCTTCCGAAAAGGGTAGCATCCTTTAAATCCGATGTGAAGTCACCTGCTCTTCTCAGCACATATGTGAAAAAGTCTAATCGACTATGTATCGAATATACTATTGGATCTATTGAGATCCCCACGCTGCTTGTTTTAGTTTCACCGCTTTAGCAGGCAGGTTCTTACTACCTGGCCTATCTGCAAAACAGTGTTTCCTCCAAGATGCGGGGGGAAAGGCTTCTTGCTATCGACATGAATAGATGGAAAGGGGATAGGCGCTGGGATAAGCCAGAGGCGGCAATGGCACACGATATGTGGCCCATTAGCCGACCTAACTATATTCACCATTGGCTATACTTAGCCAGGATCGCGCAGGAAGCAGGGGCACGTCGGCGCTTGCGTCTTCAGTCATCCCTCCCTTTCTTGAGTCTTCGTGACCTTTTATAGCCAACCAGCGCTTCGGGTGTAAAAGTGACTGCATTTCACTGTCACAATCAACCTACTAATGGTTGAGCCCAGTTATGTTTGTCTTTAAGTTCCTCTGACGACATTGGTCGGAGATACTCTAGTTCTGTGTATATTTCTTGCCCAATCCCTTCTTTCGCCCTCTTCTTGCTTCCGGGGTATTGTTGCCTCACACTGCATTTTGCGTTAGTTCCATTTCTCGACGGGTTACTGGCTAATCCTACCCTCCATTCCCACGCCATCGGACTTGTCGGTTTCTTGAAGCCAACATATATTCTCTAGCCGCCCTACCCCCTCTACCGGCGTTTATCTTACTTCGACTTTACACTTATTACTTCCAATACGCCTTGGTTGGTGGCCAAGTTGCTCGGAAGCCCTCGCCTGCTGGCAGCTCAGACTGAGTGGCACCATCAACAAACCTCCCATATATTCCCGTGTCCTTGTTCGTGGGACTTGTAGAGATTGGATCAGGACGGAATAAGTTTGCAAGACCATCATCACCATGGCAGGTACCGAGATATCCAAGAGGCCCCGATTGTCTCTTCAAACCAAACCTTCGCCGGGACCCGGCAGAGCGAAAGGTTCCTTAGCGAATGTTGACCCTAGATCGCCCACGGCTTTTAATACTCTCACCAACTTATACGTCACCGCTATTGAAAGGTCGACGCCGACTCAGTCGACTCCTATAACGGCTATCAATCTTCTCCAACCCTTAAAGCTTCAAACAGACCCCGAGTCTCTCAAAGCTCGCAGGCCAAGGGTAGAAATACCTTACGCCGCAACGTTGCCGGACACTCCTCTTTCTGCTAATCCTGTCTCTCCATCTCAGCAGATAGACATGGTATTTCCGAGTACCATGACATCGACACCTCCGTTGTCTGCTGGGGCCGTCGAGTCTTCTAACAATTACACATTCGCACCTGGCGATGTAAACAAACAGGAATCTTTATACTCCCCTACTCAAACCCGGCGTCGAGTAGTTTACGCGCCTTTCGCATCTCCCGCCAAGGCGCCATACAGCCACAATAAATCTCTTCATAGCATATTGCGAAACTCACCTTTGGCGCCCGCAAGTGACAAATCACCGATATCACCGCGGAGGCAGTCCCGCAGACTGCAGGAAAAGGCGGCCAGGCACGTGGGGTATTTATCTCCGCTGACACAAACTATCACGACCGAGAAGTATATCAAGTCCCATGTCGAACTGCTCGCAGAAGATGCATCTCCGTATACGCCTTCGCCAGCTGCTGAGGACTCAGACATGATACTTGATCTTGCATTGGCATATACAGGGAGCGAAACACGAGACGGCGGAGAGACCCCTGGTCCTTTCGAGGAGATGCGGAGGCGTATGACAGGATTAGGCACGGAGACGCCGATTACCTCCCCAAGGCCAGATGGGATTCGCAAGCGCAAGAGGAAGGAGAAAAAGAGAAAGTGGGTTTGGACTATCGGCCAAGATGACGAGGAGAAAGAGAGCGGTGCTATAGCTGCTCTTAAGGCCGCTGTAGAAGAATCTACGCCTAGACCTTCAGCACCATTTCTTCCCCCGCTGTCCACGGCTGGCCATACGAATACAACCTTATCTGAACCCCAGACAGCGGTTCAAATTAGCTTTGAGTCTGTGGAGTCGAGCTCGGACTTGGCAAGGGAGGAGATGGATATTGAGATGTCCGATTCGAGCAGCATATCATCGAGTAGAGCTACAACACCGCCCGATATCGAGTTGGAAATGAAGACGTCAACAGGGACTACGCTTGCTACGGCCCCTTCTAAAGTAGGGAATCTTGATCCTGCGGACTTGATCGACCCTGAGACGGGAAGCAGGAGGGACTCACCAATCCCGCCCGATCTAGTGAGCGGCAAGCAGTAATAGAAATTGGTTAGGGGCGAGCCCCCAAGCCAGTGGATGAATATAGTTGGGGCTTTGGCACATAGGAATGAGGGAAAGGTATTAAATGCATATACCGCGAGGAACACGAGTGCACTGGGCGGCCTGATTGGGTCAGCGTAGGCGTTTTTTTTTCTTCGATATTATCGCATTGCGTAATTCACAGCTTGGCATAGCGAAACATATGATGATTACACGAGAATGCGAATATGAGTATAAACATTTAAATAGGATTCAGCATTGAAGTCAATACTATGCTTGTGACCGTTGTTATTTTGTTAAATTTAGGTGAAAATGTTCCTGTCGGTACAACCACTATATTAATTAAGCTACTATTTATTAAACAGCGAATGCTATATTGAAAACTAGTAGCCGCATTGCCGTGGGTGAAAGACAACAGCCTCATGCAAGTTTAAATATATAAACTTATGAATCCCTTCATCCCTGTTCGGGAACAGTTTGCGAGATTCGAGGCACCGGAAATCCGAAGCACGCATGTATCAAACTTGATTATGTTGTTGGTTCAGAAGGCGAATGACGCAAGCTTGTCTTAACCCTTGTCGTAGATCTTGTCAGTGCTTTTCTTTTCTCCTCCCCCCTCCCCCCTCCCCACTCGCCCACGTTGCAGAAGGGGAGCAGCCACGGCAAGCATGTCTTTTCGCTCGCCAATCTACGGCCCTTGGCCAGCTTGGCGTATCAATACTACACTACGTACGTACGTGGATGTAGAGGTTAGGTAGAAGAAGCAAGCTGAGTTTTGAAATAAATGGTGTTCTTGTTGTGACTAAGTGATACCTAACATTATACCAAGGTTAGACAATTCCTAAGACCAAGATGCTACAAGCTTATCAGGGACCGAACGGGATATACCTGACAGAAAACAAGATAATCAAAACAAGCAAGCAACATGGACTTTCGTCCCAGCTTGATGGTTCGCATCGCCAAGAAGCCCTATGGCATCTGGGCCAAGATAAATAACATCGCAAATGTATTGTACTGTGTACCTCTATGTATGGTTGCAAGTCGCAACTAGGTAGGTAGGGCTAGATGGGAGTATTGGAGTGGGGCATCTAGGCCTTGGAAGAGGTACCTACCTCATAGTAAGAACGCAAAGACTTTCTTAGCTTGCATCCACCTACGTCATACACTTCTATTCCGCATCAACCATTCAATCTTGGACTTTTTTTCTTTTTTTTTTCTCAGCAGCAGCAGCAGCAGCAGCAGCAGCAGCTGAAAGAGACAAACGCGTTTGGAAATATGATGTAAACTTGTTCGGTCTGGCTAAAAGACAGGTCTTGTTTTAAGAGTTTAGTAGTACTATTAGAAGGTCTAACTCATCTATAATCTAGCTTCTAGTCCTCCCATTCTTCCCTTGCTCCTCTTCGTAATTCCTAATCATTCGTATAAGAGGTTTCTTATACTACTGCTGTTCTCTAGTTGGCGGAATGAACGAGGGGTGGGAAGCAACTCATTCACTATTTCTCATATGGTTAACAATTACTATTATCCCTCCCCCTTAAAGAGAACCTTGAAGATACCTAAGCTATCCCATGCGTCATATACCCTTCTCCTCCCTGTAATACCTATATAGATCCCGCACACCATGGCTTCCGAGCAGGAACACCACTACCCGGGCGGCCACTACTCTGGGCTCAACCGGGTCCCCAACATAAAACAATTCGTCGCCTCTCTTGACCGGGACAAGAAGGAGCGAGACGCCAAAATCGACGCCCAGTCCAAGACGAACAGGAAGAATGGGGATATCCAAGACCACCTCCAGAGCGACGTCGAGCAGTATAGGGGGAAGGGCAGGGTGGTTACGGATCCCGTCACCGGTAACAAAGTCACTATCGACGACGTCAACACCGATTTCATGAAGGCCGTGCAGGATCCTCAGGTACGTTACAAAGAGAAAGAAACCAACCAACAAACAAAAAAAGAAACTAGAAATAAAAAGAGATGAACTATAGACAACGTACCTAAACTAACTAATATCACCGCTGGTTAGCTTTCAGTACCAAACTCAAACCTGGGCAAGGATACGACGGTAAAAACAGACGCAACGCAGTCGGGAGAAGAATACAGGAAAGCCCAGGACATAACAGCGCCTCCGGACCCGGTAGCTACGGGGGCCACCTCGGACGTGCCGATCCACGGGGAGAAGACCAATATCCTCTTCCACCCGACGCCGTCTGTGAGCTACGAGCCGATGTTCGCCGTTATAGAGCAGCGGGCGACGGTGCTGTGTATCGGCATCTTCTTCAGCATTATCTTCACAGGCAAGTTCTTCGGAGGCAGGCTGCTGGGTTTGATCCCCCTGGCTATCTGCGTGGCTTCCGGCACTTTCCTATGGATGAAGGACTTGGTCCGGCGGGGCCGGGATATCGAGTGGTCGAGCGAGCAGAAGCGCGGCGAAACGGCCGTCGCGAACTTGATCCCCGAGTCCGTCGAGTGGATGAATACTCTGCTCGGCATTATCTGGGGTTTGATCAACCCGGATATGTTCGCCGCTGTAGCCGACACGCTTGAAGTACGTCGACTTCAAATACCTACCTACCAATATCCAACAATAAAAGAAAATGCCTACTAACAGAAACGTTAGGACGTCATGCAAGCTTCCGTACCGGGCATCATCGAGAACGTCAAGGTGGCCGATATCAACCAGGGCAACAACCCGATTCGGATCCTAAGCCTGCGAGCCCTTCCGGATAACCACATGAAGGAGATCAAGGACGAGATGCATAAGGAGAACGAAAAGGTCAAGGATCCGCACGAGCTCGCCGCTGACGAGGAGGGCGGCGATTACTACAATTTGGAAGCCTCCTTTGCTTACCACGCCAAACCTACAACCGGTAATGTATCGGCAAAGGCTCAGAATATGGGCATGCAGTTGGTTTTCTACCTTGGTATCAAGGGATTATTCGGTATCCCCCTTCCTATCTGTAAGTCGCTGCGTTGGCTTGTGAAAGTCAAGCTCTGATTCAACCGCTAACTATGTCAAGGGGTCGAATTGACGGGATTGGTGGGAACCGTACGACTAAGACTCCAGATGGCTCCCGAGCCGCCGTTCCTTAAGACCGTCACAATCACGCTTATGGGAGTCCCTAAAGTCGAAGCCGGATGTACCCCGATGATCGAGCGCGGAGTCAACATTCTAAACCTACCGGTGATTTCTAACTTCGTCAACTGGGCCATCAAAGCCGCTGCTAGCATGTACGTCGCGCCGAAGTCTCTCACTCTCGACCTCGCCAAGATGCTTTCCGGAGACGACATCCAGAAGGAAACCCAGGCTTTGGGTATACTGTTCATCCGCATCCACAAGGCTGTTGGTCTGTCGAAGCAGGACCGTCGGGGCTCCGAGGGCGGTGGATCCGACCCCTATATCACCGTCAGCTTCTCCAAGTTCGGTAAGCCTATGTACTGTACCCGTGTCATCCAAGACGACCTCAACCCCATTTTCGAGGAGAGCTGCGCACTATCCGTGACCCCCGACCTCATCAAAGCGGATGAGCAGCTATCGATGGAACTTTGGGATAGCGATCGTTCCAGTGCCGACGATGTAGTCGGAAAAGTCGAGCTCTCGCTGCAGAAGCTGATCCAGCACCCCGGAAAGATGTACCAGCAAGTTTCTAAACTGCGTGGCGTCAAGGCTGAGAGCAGTATGCCGGGCGAGCTGCATTGGGAAGTGGGCTATTTCACCAAGACGGAGTTCCGGCCCAGCTTGCGTACAGACGGCAAGGACATCACCCTACCGAAGGAGATTCGCGACAAAAAGGAACTACAAGACGAGTCGGGCACCATCCAAAATGAAGAGGAAGACGCCGTCGTGCACACGCCTCCGGACCCGCTATGGCCCTCCGGTATCCTCAGCATCGTCGTCCACCAGATCGTCAACCTCGAGCTGGCCAACGTCAAGGGCTCGGAGGGCGGGAAGAGGAAAGGGCCGAAGGAATACGAGCCGGCGCGGGACGCGGGCGAGATCAAGGAGGAGTCGAGCAAGAAGCTGCCGAGCGCGTACTGCACCATGTTGCTCAACGACGAACTGGTACGCTTCTCCCCCTCCCTCGGGCGGTGCCCAACTACGCTGTGCTGCTGCTAATATGCCCCGCAGGTCTACAAGACTCGCACGAAAGTGGTCTCCTCCAAGCCCATCTTCAACGCCGGTACCGAGCGATTCGTTAGGGATTGGAGGTCCGCGATCGTTACAGTTACCGTGCGCGACTCGCGTAATAGGCAGCACGATCCTATCATCGGTGTTGTTCCTTTGAAGATCTCTGACCTTATGCAGACGAGGAGCCAGGTGAGTTGAGCGTACTTTCTATTTTATCTCACCTTCCCCCTCGTCCCCCTTCGGGCTGAGTGCTGATGTCAGGGTGTAGGTCACGCGATGGTACCCATTGGACGGTGGAATCGGCTTTGGAAGAATTCGCATCTCTCTGCTATTCCGATCCGTCGGGCTGAAACTCCCACCTTCACAACTGGGTTGGGATGTCGGCACGTTCGAATTCACCTCGGACCAGATCACTTCGACCTTCACCGGTTCAGGCAAGGGCAAAGTAAAGCTAAAGCTACGAACGGGAGGCAGTTCCGCAACAGTCAAGCGAGAGCAATGCTCGGCAGAAGGCGACGTCCTGAACTGGGACATCAGCGGCGCGACCAACAACCCGCGCCCCCGTCTCCCCGTGCGATACCGCTACCGGTCGCCCGTCTTCTTCGAGTTCCACCAGCCCGGGAAGCGGCACGCGGAACACTTCGCGGCGGTGTGGCTGCAGGAGCTGGTCGACAGCGAAGAGGGGGACTTCGACATCCCCGTGTGGAGGTGCAACAACGCGACGCGGCTGGCGCAGAACTACATCACGCAGGACAACTTCCGGGCGGTGCCAGACCTCCAGATCGAAGAGGTCGGCAGGTTGCGGTTCCGCGGCCGCTTCAAGGCCGGTACCGACCGCGACCACCTGCGCTTCGTCAGCGACAACGACTCCCGCGAGACCATCGAGACCTGGGAGGCTTGCTTCGCCGAGGGCGTGCGCAAGGAGGAGGTCACCAAGGAGCTCCCGCCCACCGTGCAGAAGCTCCACGAGGAGTCCCTGACCAAGACTCGCGACGTCCTCGCCGCGGCCCCCGAGAAAGAGCGCCGGAAGTGGCTCGCGCGGGACGGCACGGACTGGACCGGGGCCTTTGGCCAGGATCCCGCGGATATCATGACGGGCCGCGAGGGCCGCGACGAGTCGGAATACGAAACGGACGCGGACTCGGAAGACATCCCGGACATCCAAGACACCACGGACGAGCCCACGCCCATGCCCCTCTCCCACGACCCCGCGGCAACCGCCGAGCCCGACCAAAGCAAAGACGAGCTCGGCGTGCAAGACGCGACCACCGCGCCCCCCCGCGCAAGCAACGACGACGCCGATGCTCCCGGCCGACCGAGCACGAGCGACGGCAGCAGCAGCGCAGGCACCACCTCTACATCGTCGACGCACAGCCGAGCCAGTAGTCTGAACCCGATCGCGCAGTACAAGAGCTACAAGGAGCGCAGCCGGGACCTGCACCGGCAGCACCGGGGGCTGATGCAGTGGCGGCCGCTGCGGAACGCGCAGTTCGCCAAGGACGAGGCCAAGTTCGCGGTTAGGAGGGTTACGCGGATGGGCGCGCTGAGCGGGAGGCAGCCGGATGTTGAGACGGAGGTGTAGGTATGGATGTAGGTGTAGGTGTAAGAAGAGGTTGGGTTTAGTTTTTCTTTGTGATATTGGGGGGGGTTGTGGGTTAGGCAATATAGGCGAAGGCTTAGGCATGGAAAGGAGATGGCATTTCAGGGAGGATGTATCAATAATGTGTCGTGTCGTGTTAGAGGTACTTGACACATGTTTGAGTTTATAGCATGAGACACGAAATCGAAATGTAGTAATTTAGGATATATTCTCAGATCACCATGATATTACGAATAGGAACAAAATGCGACTGATATAGAGATCACAGGATGATTGCTAGTATATGGCTTGATCAAAGCCGTCCGATATACGAGCCTCATGTTACACATCTCAGGTAGCTAGAGATGGACCTACCTAACTTGAGGACCGCGTATATTTAGAGAACAGCTCATAGTTAGAGCATCTCGAAGAACAAGATTGATATATAGGTACTATAGGTACCTTGGAAGAATCCACCTAGGTCTTTAATGTATAAAAAAAAAAACGTGTAGGCCAGCAAGATAAACCGTATACCTTTAGGAGCAAAGGAGGTCACGGGGAATAGGATGTGGTCATGATATTCGCTCTTCCTTGACGCAAAATTGAGATAAGCCATGGGGATCAGGGCAGATATCTCAGAGTGTATGCAAGGAGTTGGTTATTTGTAGACAAACAAATATAAAGAAAATTGGGATTGGGTAACAGGGGAGAGAGTAGAGAAGAGAAGAGAGGAAAGAGACGTCGAATTTCTTCTGATTCTTGTGACTTTTCTGTTTGATTTTTATTCATTCAGTACCTGAGAGATAGGCGTCCCATCATGGACGCCGTATTCTTGCGGGAGGCGCAGTTATATACTTCCTTTTCTCCATATACATATATATCCCCGGGGGTCTTATGCGCCTAGTATTTGTTTTGCGTATGATACACGTCTTGGTACAGGTAGAGAGAGTATCGAGTCGAACGCGGAGGAAATCTTCTCGATAGATGTGTTGTAGACTTTGTAGTAGCTGCTCTCGGCCAGCTTTATATATCCGGCTACTTTTTATTGGGGCGGAAAAGAAGAAGAAAAAAATTTTCTTCTCCGGCCTAAAGTAGAATAGACAAGGGGGAGGAGGAATTAGTGGCCCGTCCCCATTAATCTTAATCGTTGGCCATCTTGATAGCATCGGCCTCTTGGCGAGCTAGAGCCAACATACGCTCCTCGCGCTTCTTATCGTCGATGTACTTCTTCATGACAGCCCGGTCGAAGGCAGCCTTCTCCTTGAGCTCCTCGATTTGCCGCATCTCGACCAGCTCGTCGGGCGTCGGGTGAACGGGGGTAGCGCCAGTCTTGCTCATGAATTCAGTAAGGATCTGGTCCGAGTGCACGTTCTTCATGTCTATCGTCACGACACGCTCGCCTTCTTCGGGCTCGGGCGCCGGGTGCTCATTCGAAACACTCGAGTGCGGTTGCTGCGCTAGAGGCAGTTGACTGAGCTTGGTGGTTAAGGCGGAAGGGGTATCGGAGGTCAGCGCAGCTTGTCGGAAGTAGATGGACATCTTGGCCGGGGCTGATTGATCTGGCGTCCGGTTTACGAGCATGGGTACGGCGGGATTCCAATATTTCAGACGTGGGAGGCAGGTCCTCCAGAATTTCCTATACTCGGAGGGAAAAAAAGGTGAAGTGCGAGTCAGCAATTGACCATAGAAATGGAGTGAGTGTATTCAGAATTAGCACATTCAAGGTAAGCCATAAACCATACCTTGGACCGAAGTGTCCATCATTCCACTTCAACGCAAAGTCCATATGTATCCGCGTGATCTCGGGTGGTAATATTGCTGCTCCGGGGCCATGCCGTAATGCCAATAGCTAGAGACGCTCGCATCAGAACATTCATTGCGAGCTTTATATATTTCAGTCGGTTATGCGCTTTACCTTCTAAAAAGACCAAAAAAAATAAGTTAGCAACAAAACAATTGCAAATCAAACAAGAATTTATACTTACGGCTTGCAGTATGTGCATCCGCTTTCCTGGATTCACCATCTTGGCAACCTCCCTGCGAGCTTCTGCTCAGCTCGCTATCAAGTTTTCAATTTGGCTGGCGCAAGATCGAAAGTTGTATTAAGTTCGGCGTTCGCAAGTTGCGCGCATTGAAATTTTGGGGGGGAACAGCCGAACAGGTGCATGTGCCCAGGTCCCACTGCCAGGTGCCCGCTTCCCGACCTGGTTGAAAAGTGCGGGCCGCTAAATACTCCGAATTCATTATTCGGGATTATCCTTAAAAAAGGATGTATGACCCATATAATTTCAACCTCCCCCCTTTTTTTCGTTAATACTGAGATGGATGAAAAGGGGGGATTAAGGAAAATTAAATATATAGTGTAGTTTCATTACGACAGCATATTTCAACATGCCTTACAACTTGGATAGCTATTACATATTCAACATTCTTCTCGTGATGAGTACTTATATGGTGTAGGTATATTGTTTACCTATGAATCCTGTAGGTAGTAGTTCCGATGGTGGGTGGTGATGTAGATTACATAGTTCTGCTTCAATAGAATACATTCTAGCTAAGTTTCTTGTTTACAGTTAATAAATCAAAATCGCTAAGAACAAATTATCTAGGTACCTAGTTCTTCTAGCACAATCACCGCTTTAGATATCTGTTGGGATATTAGGTACATCTTCCTTCACCTTTGTCACAATAATTATTTTAGAAGTTAAGAAATATCTTCCTGAATCGTCTCAAATTACTTCATATGTCCAAATGAAATGGCGTACCTATTATGTGCCATGTTGGGTAAAATAATGGACAAGGACGAAGAATCTCGGTTAGAATCCACGTATGCTCAGGGGAAAGTTGGCTCAATATTACTTGGGGCAGACACTTTCAGGAAAATGTAAATAAAACGGTTTGAATTAATCTGCTCAACTAGAGATATGTGATAACGCACCTATGTGTTATTTCGACTGTAGAACTCCCCCTAATTAATGAATCACGTACCATCGAGGGGTCGCCGTTGCCAGTTGGGACTTACCAGGTGGTGGCAGCGCAAAATTTGGCCTGCAGCAGATGCAAACATACACGTACCATGGTTACCGCGCCGGCAGCGAACAAACAGGTGCGTACCTCAACGCCTAGGCAACGAAACGAAGGCTTATATAATGCCCAAAAACGAAGCACACTATCATACCGAGAATCAGTTGGTCGAGCGGGCTAGGCAACGCCCGAGAGTCACGTAAGTCCTAGAGGCCACCGTTCGATTCCAGCTGGGGAGGGGTTTAGCGACTCTCAACTGATTCCAGAAACGACACGTTCCCCTGCGAGGATGGCGATATGACTCCTATCGCCTAGCGAGGCCGATTAGTCGCGAAGAAATACCCCAGGATCGAAAGTAGGGGCGCGCAGTAGCTATGACCGGTAACCAAAGTCATAGGCTGGGCGTTGAGGAGGGTTTTTTGTTTAATTCTTTATTTTTTTATTATTATTATTAATTTTTTTTTTAGAATTTTCAATACTTCATTTTTATTCTTATCATTAAGAGGCACTTACATTCTCCCTCTTCGATATTTTCTTCAACACAAATACCTACACGCATTTCCCTACACTCCCACGCATCTCTTCCACCCATCTATTCTCTACAGACCCTTTTTTAAAAATGTTGTCTCGGGGTAATAGGAGTAAGAAGGAAAGATTGATAAATAAAAATAAAAACGCGTCATACGAGCTATGATAGACATCAGCGAACGCATGTTATTCCATACAGTATCATAATTCCGTCAGTTCTCTGACCATATCTTATGATATCTAATGCTATCGTTACAGCTAAATTGATGTTATATCCACCAAGGGGCCAAATAAAACCGAACAATAACCACCCTTCCCTCCGTGCTATCCATTGGGTATGTCAGGTGGCTTAAATATACGACATTTTGAAACGAAATTTGACACAACCCTCTAAGAGACATGAAATACCACGTCACTATGCCATACATGCGTACCTTAGCCATGCTAATATACTATAACTCAACATTTCTTTTGTATTGTGTTAAGTCGAAGGCTAATTCGTTGCAACATGTAACATCATTCGCCAGTGTCTCATGTCGCTAAAGGACCCCCCTTATATGGACATCGAAATGTCTAAGCAGTGCTATGGATAGCCTAACTACCGTTAATTATGAAACGCTAGCAAGTGTATCTTTATGAGGTGAGTATTAACCTTATACAAGTCGTTCCCCTTGAAAAAAAAAAAAGAGAAGCAACAAAACAACATATCATAACGACTACAGTTACCTTAAACCATGTCACGAAACTCAAGCGGGCAGAACGCAGGCAATTCTGATAAAGTATTCGAAAGAGCGGGTGTTTCCAAAGATGAGTTCTATAACAACGCATCTATAATCCAGAGTAAGCAAATACAGCAACGTGAAAACGAAGATGTCATGCCAGTATTCTTAGACGGACAAACCTCACATAAGCTTCCGCATTCAATACATCGCTTAATTGGGGGTTCCATGGAAAACGGTATTAAAAAGAAGTTGGGGGAAAATCTTCTTGACTCTTTTGCTTTCATCTTCACTCAACCAGGTGGCCGAGGAGTCGTTGCAGTAGCAATGGAGTGGAGTGATAAGGATCCGAATAAATACACTCTTCACGTGCGTAAGAATTATCCTTCATATAGCGAGCTTGTTCACATTTCCAAGGCTATTGAAGAGTGGTTTGCGGATGAACCCGGAGATGCCACTAAAGACGTATTAGAACTAGACCGTAACGACACGTTATGGGAAATTATACTCCATAATTGTCACCAGGGAATTTCATTACTCATAAGGAATGGGTTTGGTAGGCGTAACAAAAGCCAAAAGATATCTGCATTGTCGGATGCCTTAAAACGCGCCATAGATAAAAACTCCAATCCTCACACGACTGAAGCTGGAAATGATATAATATTGGAAGTCCTTCGGGAATTCAAAAAGTTTTTAAGAACCCGTGACAGAGCGACGTCCTTGCATAAGATCACGGAATTATGTTTCAAGTTAGCAGAATCTCATGGTACTGATATGAAAGAACGGTTTAATACCTTGAAAGGTGAGTTTAAAAGGGAGTATCAGTTCTCAAATAGAATTGAACACCTCATTTACAGCCTTGCAAATTACCGCCGCGCTTGGTATGATATTGCATACTTCAGAGCCCAACACAACTCGACTACTCTGAATATAAAGTTCAATTTAGACCAACCCTCTTCTTCCATGAAACAATTTCCCAAGCCAGAGATTCTCAAGATCAACGGCAAAGGGATTTTCGATGAGACGAAAAAAGAATCATCTTATAAGACCAAAATTAAAAGGATGAAAAAACGCTCTAAAATATATGGTGGCGAGGTTGAGTATTGGAAGCATTGCGAAATGCAGATTCTAGAGCTTTTACTAGATTTTGACGGCAAGGAGACATTTTTTGACTATATCGGACGCAGCAAATGTCCTTGCTGGCTCTGCCATCATATCCTGAGTAGCATGACGTCTGAGTTCCGTATGAGACGATCCCACATGAAGCTATATCCCAAATGGAAGCCTCCTGAGTTTCGATCTGAGCAGAACCAAAAGCGATTGGCTAAAAAGTTGAAACTCTTACACGAGAAGATGGCGGAACTGGTAACTCAACCGGGGACGGATAAATCGGGTTCTACACAGACGGACTGCCCTGATATCAAAGATACTTTTTTGTCACCCAGACGGGAATATCCCATCTGTAACAATGGTCAATCGTAGGGTTCCATAAAAATACTCGTCGTTTGATTAATACAAGCTGTCAATACTGGATATAGAATTAGGCGAATTTGTCTTGAGGTAGACTAGAAGATAGGTAACAATTTCGTTGTTCCGCAAGGAACTTTAACTAAGAAAGCTCGAAGAACCATAGCTATACATATAAACACACCCTTTATCCTTACATGCAGACATCTAATTTGTTTTTCCATGTTTGACATCTGATACTTAACAACCAGATAGTCCTTGAACATGTTCTACCCAGCCAAGAAAATATAATTGAGTATATAATTGCCAACATGTCGCCGTCGTATGCTAGATATCATACACTGCATCATATTCACTGCAACACACCCACTGCAACTTTGGCAGACTATAAATTACAAGCTGAGGCGCAAATACCAATTCATAACCATATCGAGCGCACCTATTGACAAGAGAACCCTCATGGACTCTTTGAGCCTGGTCGTATCCCGACCTGGATACGGAACAGTCATGACGGTGCTCTTGGACGAGGATAGAGATAAGAACACAAATACTTTTTACCTAGAGACCTGGGAGCATAGGCGGGGTGATCCGCCCAGTCTCCTTGTGAAGGAGGTGGAAAAGTGGTATAACGACGGAAAGCCGTGCGATGTCGCAAGCGACAGCCCCCGGGCCCGAGAGCGATCTGAGGGACGATGTCCTTCGCACCACTTGTGAAGACATATCGATCGACATTGTTAGGGCCTGTTTTGGGTCCGATATACATGGCGACCCGGACGCTACGGAAGAAAATAGAAAGGCGTTATATCGTCTTCTCAATTCCTGGGACCTAGATGCTCCTGTCGACGATGCCAAGAAAGAAGCTAGAGCGAAGGACAGAAACCCGTTGAAGTTGAGATATCAAGCCTCCAGCGGAGTAAAAAGGATTACGCTTTTGTATTTACGGACAGGCGCGTAAGCGTACCTAGTGATGGAATTATCTTGGCCTTCCTCCGCGCTATCACGCGGGAATGCTTTGATCTGGCAGAATCCCACGCTCCGGCCGTGGAAGAATACTTCAAAGACCTGATTAACGAAGTCCAAGGGGTTCTTGGCGAATCCAGCGCAAACAACGCGACTTCGACGGATGTTGCAATTCCGGATGAACAGCGGAAGCTATTCCTGGGACGGATTCGAGACGTGATCTACAGCATTTCGAAGTATCAACGTGCGTGGAATGTTGTTAAGCGTTTCAAGGTTGATCACAGCTCTGCTACTCTACGACTAGAGGGGATCTAAGGATATGTGGATATAGCAGGTTAGTATGAGACTCTACTGTCTACATAAAAGGTAGCCAGCCGCCTCGCAAGAAGTTAGAAAGCCACACGTTACTAGATCACTACAATAGACTGTATCATTGACCCTGACACTCACTCTGTATACCTGACAATGAGGTAGTCTAGCTGGAAATTGTATCCCAGGTGGCGACATCCGCCGTCCGTGAAATGCCAGGAACAATGTAGACAATTCATCAAAGTGCTCAAGTCTTTGACAAAAGAAAAAAAGAAAAAAAAAAGATAAAGACGGACATAGATCTTAGAAAAAAAAGGGGGTGTTGGCCCCGAAGAATAAAGCCTGATTGTCCTGGTAAGAACCTGTCGATGCGCGTAAAATGACTGATCATCTGTGCCTATTATCCGTAGCATTAAGATGAGCCCATAATGAACCAATACCCTTCGTAACACATTGCTGATTCTTTATCTTTTACTTCTCTCAGTCTGCCTAGTCTAATGATTAGGTATTCTGCCATAGCTATGGGCTCAAGGGATTGTTGTGGTGTGCCTGTGCCGATAGATGTAGAGTAAAATTCCCGGGAGAACACACACCGGCCACAGATATCTATGCTGTTTATGGAAGATAGCATACTATGTTGGGGGGCCGTCCCCACTCTGGAAGGACTAACCGTGGATGACGAGGCATTGGTGAACGATCCCGTAGATACATACCTATGCTTGGCTTGCCAGCAGGATTCCGCAGTACAAACTTAATTGCAAGTGTCCAGTTGCCGTGTCTTTTGGGGGCTGGCGATATTCTTTTCAGGAATCTAGCTTGTTTCATGTTCCGCTTTCCGTCTAGATTGTTGAACCAGTAGCGCTCGCCAGCTGTAAGCCATCTAAACAACATAAAGAAAGGAGTATTGCCTGGGATTCTACTCATCGCGAGAGGAGAACAAGTAATTTGTGTTTGACTGGTCACATAAACATATGAGTATAAAACGTCAGATTTGGAGCGAATCTTTACTTGTTGGCTGGCTTAGAGTCTCAAGTAAGTAAATATACTACTACATCGAAGAAGTAGTCCAATCTTGCCGATTCAACGGATGCTCATTAAAAAAACCATAGCGTTAAAAATTAAGCGTCCAACTTGGCGGGGAAGTTTCCAGCCTCTGCGGTATATATTAGTATTTTGTCTCTTCCGCTTCGACGACCGGTTACTGACCTCGCTGCTCATCCCATCGTTGATACCATCCGCTCGGGCATAGAGATCGGTATGCGAGTAAGAACTTGGCTTGTTAGTATATAGGTAGGTAGCTTATTATGCCAGATAGCACAATTTGTAAGTGGTCGTTTTACCTGACGGCACGGGGCGAAGTCCTCGCCCTTGGCGTTGATGCACTTGTGGTAATCGACGTAGTTCTGCCAGCAGTGCTTGGTCTGATTCTGGTTGGGGAATCGAGCGTCGACACCTAGGCGCAAGTTAGATGCGAATGCGGTTTGATATTATTCCACCACTTCAATCGGGTCGCATTGTCTCGTTGTCTTCGACCAAAGCCAAATTGGGAAAGATGGAGGTTCATACCGGCTATCGGAATTCAATTAGTTAGTTACTGTCAGAAATTCGGCACAACGGATGTTTAAAAAAAGGTCTGAGGGAATTCGAGGGGAGAAATGTACTTACCAGTGACAAACTTGAAAGGCTTGGTTACACGCTCGTCGTCAGACATCTTGAAGATTGAAATTATTTTTATTTTCGGGAAAAAAAGATGTTGACAAGGCTCAATGGCAGCTCGTAAGTGGGAAAAAAAAAGTGGTGATGTGATGTAGGTAGGTATGTTTAACTGAAGGAAGTTCGCAGCTTGGAAAGAGAGCTCTTGGGCTCTTGGGTCCATTGGTTTCTTGCCGAATCGAATCATGGAGCCGTTAATTTTAGCTGCCTCAAGCCTCGGTGGCATGATATAGTGGACGCTTGGGGGAATGGGACCCCACTATGATAATTTTCTGTATTTTTACTGGTCGTGACTCCTAGTGGCTTCTACCAAGTTACCGAAGCTGCTCCTCCCAAAACCTTCCAAAAGATCAATTCTAACCATTGATTGACATTGATTAATCTTGACGTGGACATTGACATATACCTATTCTAGCTTTGGTTACGACCTTAAATAATTTACATTCATTCTCCTTTACTAAAAAAAAACTCCCCTCAACTTCGCCCAAAATGTATGCCACACGAGCTTTGAGAATGATGCCCACCAGGCGCATGATGTTTCCTCTTCCCGTATGAATTTCTCCATCATTTTTTCTTTCGAAAAAGCTATGACGTTTGCTAATGACCCCCATAACAGAAGGAGGATCAGAGCGGTATGTTCTTACCCGTCGCGAACCATTGACGCCTCAAACCTATTACATTATCGAAGAAGACTTTTTCATCGGGATGCTTTAAAACTGAGATATGAATATTGACGCATACGCCAGCCCATACCGTCTCCCAGCGCCTCCGAAAGTTGCGACAAATTCCTGCAGAACTGATCCCCCTCGGTTAGTCTACCTATACGGCTTGACCTCTATACGAGGATGAGACGGTCTATGTATACTGATTATACGACTAGGAGTTGTCGTTGGCTTCGCCGTCTTTGCCGCTACCTATTCTAGTCTTCGCAAGTTCTCTGTGGACAAGAACCTCAGACTCAGCCGCCAAAACCGTAAGGATGACCCCGTGGAGCACACCGAGGGACACTAAGCGAACTCTACACACACGAGTGTAAAGTTGAACTACGGTCAACCGAAAGGAGCTTACTGGGGATGGGCGCATTCAGGGATTTAGAGAAGTAAAGTACTGTATATGTTACACGTAGCCGACGGAGGAGTGGACATGTCAAGTATGGGAGACTAAGCGTGGTATAGATATCAGTCGCAAGCTCCTATCCTAAAGATTTTTTTTTTTCACTCTGTGCCCTGGAATCCCTTTTCTAACGCCAACGCTATGCGAGAAACTTGAGAAACTTGAGAAACTTCACGTAGATACTACTATTAGTCCCGGCTCATTCCGGTTTTGGTCCAGCGACATCCAGTCCCTCAAGTCCCTGCATTGGATCCTCCGGCCTGTCATCTTCGCCAGCTCTAGGTGCCGCCGCTGCAGCCCTGTCTTCCTCGCTGACGGCATGCTTAGCAAGCCATCCTTCCTGATTTGCTTGTTAGTAAAGTAAATATGTTGAGATACAACGACATAGTTGAGAATATAAATATATATACCTGTTGCCAGATTGCCGTCTTACTACCTAGTCCTTCTTCCGCGCTCTTTGGAGGTTTAGCTGCCGATACTCTTAGGACTCTGCCGAATAATTCGGACTGATCCATGTTATCGATTGCTTCTTTGGCGTCTTCGGCATCCTCAAACTCTACGTAGGCAAACCCGCGATGCGGCTCGGTAGAGTTTGGCGCATCATTTTTAGGTAGAGTTACGTCGACGATTTCACCAAAAGGGATGAAAGCATCGTGAAGATTTGCGGTGGTGACAACAGATGCTAAACCTCCGACGTATACGGTAGCCTTCCAACGGGCCGCGTCCGTCATATTGAATGACCGTTGGAGCTTGGGGTTATATGAATGATGGTGTTTTAGTGACTTTTTGACCTAGTATTATATAATAGGTGAGTTTTTGGGGTGAGACTTGAGTTCTAACAAATAAGATACCTCTTACATGCATGAAAGTTGGAACATCAGAGCGTTGGAACTCAAACTTCAAAGCTTTAGTTTCGGTTATCTGCATGTATTACATAAGACCAGTCACTCTTTGGGTCTTCTTCCATGAAGTCACGTACATAGGTACATAAACCATACATGTAATGTGGCACGTGATCTAAAATGTGGCTGATGCGTTTTGAAATAGTCTCCACAAGCGCCAGCCAGCAACAAAAGCAACCAAGGAAAAGGAACAGATTGTGTGGAACAGATTTATGTCCACAATCCACAATCCGCAATCCACAGTCCCCCCAGTCAAGGATCTTGATTCGGCTTGGCCTGTGAGCTCATGCGCCCACACCTTAGGGACCTGTTGGACTGCATTATCTGGCAACATAATGAATTAGTACATCTCTCTAGTTCTCTAACCGCTCTATAGTTAAAGGTAGTTAACGGAAAAAACACAATTCAACCAATCTTTCTTTCTATAATTCGACCCCTTGCCAACATTCCTAGCTGGCCTAGAGAGCTCAATGCCAGCTGGCATCTAAGCCAATCTCACTTTAGAATCCCCCTTTTTCTTCATATCTTGACAATACCGATCTTAAACTTGGGCAAGACCACCCCTCTACGTGGTCACAACAATTACAAATATGGTCAGGCTGCGCGAGATCTCGCGTACTGCGGCCTTCGCTTGGTCGCCTGGTACTTCGAAGCCGTTAATTGTCACCGGAACTCGAGCTGGAGCTGTCGACGCCGACTTCTCCGACGAGACACAGCTAGAGTTGTGGGATCTAAGCCTAGACAACCAAGAACAAGGACTTGAGCTCCAACCCATTGCGAGCATAGCGGCAGACTCGAGGTAAATCTATTATATAAAATACGATTCTAATAAGTCTTATAAGGGTTACTGACATATATTTTCCTAGGTTCTACGATATTGCTTGGGGTCAGCCTTCCGAAGACTACCCACAGGGCATTATTGCCGGCGCTCTCGAAAACGGTTCACTCGATCTCTGGGACGCCGACAAGCTAATTAAAGGCGAGTCCGACGCGTTAATATCACGAACAACAAAACATACTGGGCCCATTAAGTCCTTACAATTTAACCCTTTGAGGCCCCAAATCTTAGCCACCGCTGGCGCGAAGGGAGAATTATTCATCTACGATGTTCACGACCCTGAAAATGCCTTCCGACTGGGTACTTCTGCAGCTCGTTCGGACGACCTGGGATGCGTGGCATGGAATAGGAAAGTAGCTCACATTCTTGCTACTGGAGGAACTGGTGGTTTCGTTACTGTTTGGGATTTGAAGACGAAGAAGGCCTCCTTAACGCTTAACAATAACCGAAAGCCTGTTAGTTCCATTGCGTGGGACCCCAACAATTCTACTAAGCTATTGACTGCTACACCTGATGATACTACTCCTGTCATGTTATTATGGGACCTGCGAAACTCCAATGCACCGGAGCGAACGCTTCAAGGGCATGAACAGGGTGTGCTTTCGGTGTCTTGGTGCGAGCAAGACGGTGATATCCTAATTTCGTCCGGCAAGGACAACAGGACGCTTGTTTGGAATCCCCAGACAGGCGAGCGTTACGGAGAATTCCCCGAAGTGACCAACTGGACCTTCTTGACCCGATTCCACCCTCACAATCCCAGTATATCGGCAACTGCGTCTTTCGATGGGAAGATTACTATTCAGACTCTCCAAAATACAAACCCCTCGGCTGTACAGAGCACAACTCAGAACAGCTTAGATGGTGAAGACTTTTTCACCCAGGCCCAGAAGCAGCCCCAGGGCGCAGCATTCTCCTTAGCAAAGGCACCGAAGTGGCTTGAAAGGCCCGTTGGTGTTTCATTTGGATTTGGTGGAAAAGTCGTCGTCTTCAAGGCGAATCCCCACCAACCCGGCCACAAGGGCTCTTCGAAGATTGAGATTTCTCACTTTTCTATAGATTCAAACATCGGTAGTGCTACCGAGAAGTTCGAAGAGTCTCTAAAAACCGGCGACATTAAGGCTATATGCGAATCACACATCGAGCAAGCCCAGACGGAAGAAGAGAAAGCCGACTGGCGCGTCTTGGAAACTTTGCTTACTGAAAACCCGCGAAAACAAATTGTCGACTTTCTTGGATTTAATGAGGAAGAAGCAAACGATGAATCACCTAATGGTGTGGCTGAAGACGCTTCCGAGACCAAGGAGCCCGAGCCAGAGAAATCTAAGCGAGGAGTAAAGACGCACAAGAAACGTATTTCGACTTTCTTCTCCGACGGAGGTGAAGGTGAAAGTGAGGATTTCCTAGCGAGTCTGTCGGCTACTAAAGGTGCTAAAACGGACAACCCTTTCCATCTGTTTGGTGAAGGTGATTCAGCTGTTGAGAAGCAGATTACGAAGGCCTTGATGTTAGGACAATTTGAGAAGGCAACCGAAATCTCTCTGAAGGATGGACGCATTGCGGATGCATTCATCATTGCCAACTGTGGTGGAAAGGAGCTTGTCGACAAGGTTCAGTCAACTTATTTGTCCCAAAAGACTGGCATTCCAAGCTACTTAAGACTCTTGGGTTCTGTTATTGTTAAGAACCTATGGGATGTAGTTTATAATGCCGATTTGGCCGACTGGAAGGAGACTATGGTGACGCTCTGCACATTTGCGGACCCAACCGAGTTTCCCGATTTATGCGAAGCATTGGGAGATCGTATCCTTGAATCTGGTTCTCGGAAGGACGCCTCCTTCTGTTACCTGGTGGGTTCTAAGCTTGAGAAGGTCATCGATATCTGGGTTGCCGAGCTGGAAGAAGCCGAGAAAGCTGGACTCGCCGAGGCTAATGATTCTACTTTCTCCATCCACGCAAGGTCTCTCCAGCATTTCATTGAGAAGGTCACGGTATTCCGTCAAGTAACAAAGTTTCAAGATACTGAGACTGGCCTTACTTCTGGTTGGAAACTATCTTCGCTTTACGACAAATATATCGAGTACGCGGACATCGTTGCTGCTCACGGCCAACTAGAAATTGCACAAAAGTACCTGAGCCTTCTGCCATCTAAGTATGACGACGCCGATATGGCCCGCGAGCGTGTGCAACTAGCAACACAAAAAGTAGCACCCCAGCCTACTACCAGACAACAACCAGTCCAGAAACCCGCGGTAGCTACCCGTGTATCTTCTCGAGCAGCATCTGTAGCTGCAGGATATCAACCACCCCAACCAGCTTCTGGTATCAGTCCTGCCAATCCTTACGCGCCCTCGACTATCCAGACTCCCGCAACAAATCCTTATGCTCCACCAATTGCTAGCAACCCCTACACCCCGCAAGGATATCAACCCTCACAGCCTCAGTTGGTTCAAGCGCCTCAGCACCAAGGATACGGTCCTCCGCCCACGTCTTTCGGGGCTCCCCCAAGGACGTCGACCGCATCAACCAAACCCCCTCCAAGAAATGCGGATGTAGGGAACTGGAACGATGTCCCCTTAGTAACTAAAGCACCTCCGCGAAGAAACACGCCGAGCGCCGCTCCTATCACATCACCATTTCCTAATCAAGCGAACCAGGCAGTACCTCCGCCACCACAGAGTCCGTATGGTTCTCAACACGGAATAGCGACACCGCCTCCTCCTCCTCCTAAAGGTCCGGCTGGAAGGATAACATCTCCCCTTGGGGGTCCTCCCCAAGTTGGTCAATTACCGCCTCCCCCTCGGCCTGGGTCAACGGCGGCGCAAACCTACGCACCACCTCCCCCAGCACAGACACAGGGACCCGGTATCCCTCCACCCCCAACGGGTCATATCGTTCCTAGAATGTCCTCACCCTACAACCCGCCACCGGCGGGAGCTCCGCCCACAAGCCGATACGCCCCAGCACCGACACCTCAGCCTCTCGGTACTCCTTCCCAGCCAGGTGTCATGGCTCCCCCACCCCATGCTGGTCGAGCACCGCCACCAAATCCCTATGCACCACCTCCCCAGGCAGCGCCTCCTCACAATCAATATGGCCAATCCCCGTATGGTGCCCCACCCGTACAGCAAGGACCACCTCCCACCGGCCCTCCGTCGAGTGTCGGTCCGCCACCGGCTGCAACTTCACCTGCACCCTCTGCGCAGGCCGCGGCACCACCGAAGCCCCGGCACCCCCCAGGTGATCGCTCTCATATCCCCCCTAACGCCCAACAGTTAGTCGATATCCTGAGTCGCGACATGCAACGAGTATCCGCTCAGGCGCCCGCCTCGTTTTCTGCCCAGGTAAAAGATACACAGAAACGGTTAGGTCTACTTTTTGATCATCTCAATAACGAGGAGCTCGTGAAGACGGACACCATCGAACAATTAACCCAGTTAGCTCATGCATTGGAGTCCAAGAATTACCCCGAGGCCCAACGCTTGCAGGTGGAAATTCAAACAGGCAAGACAGAAGAATGCGGTAACTGGATGGTACGTTAAAGCCATTGTTGACACAAAAAAATCATGCTAATAAAGATATAGGTCGGCGTTAAACGGTTGGTCCAAATGAGCAAAGTTACGAACTAGGTTACGGACCCCGCGTAATACTAGAAAGTTACTTGGTATTCCTTGAAACCCATGGACGGATGAGAATCAGTTATAATGTTGACGACGGAGCAGACCTTTTTGACGAGTACATGTAGAGTTGTTACATAGACGGGTTAGCCGCCAAAAGCCGAAAAAGTAGGGGCCATTTTTAATGTATTGTTGAACGCCTATTAGACTCTGTGATCACTAATCTTGAGTAAAATGTTTCATAAGTGATGGATGAGTGATTTGTAGTAGGATCGCCGAAGGATTTTCGTTTGTTGGAATTAATGATGTACTTTTTATTAGTTTACTGCAAGCTCTCTCACAACCCAGGTAGACTGGAGGTTAAGTTAGGTGAGAGGCAAGGAATTTCAAATATAGGTGGTTCGGATATCTCCGTTTACATAGGAATACGGTTTAGAGCAGGGAGTTATAGCGGAGCTAAGGCCGGATTTTATGCATGGAAAGGGGTTAAGCATCCCCGGCTTGCATAAACTGGGTCTTGCGTGTTAGCTGAGCGGCTCCATCGTTGGGAGTAGTTGCTATATTTACGGAGATTTACCATGCTGAACTATTTTCAGGGGTTACGACCGGTGGCTTATGGTAACTCTGTGCATGAGATAGTTGAGATTCTGAATATGTGTATAGATCTTACGCATCTCTTGGTGATTTGTAATACTCAATGAATCAAGCCTAAGGTTGTTCGAATAGGGGTCTCGCGTAAATATATAAAGGACGGGAGCAAGTCGTTGATGGATGATGTATAATGCCATAGCCTAATCACTACCTACCTAGTGTTATATATACCTCTTGCACATACGCTTTCCAAGAAGAGCTCGTAGCTGTCATTCGTTCATAACCGTAACAGTGTGTCTAAGATGGAAACGCCCGAAGCTAAGCCCTACAACTTACCAGACGACGCAGTCTGGCTCAGTAAGTCTACCTTCCTAACCCAACTCAACTTACCCCCTTCTACGCCGCGAAGCGATCGACCAGAACTATCACGCTGACATATACCCACCCACCACGAAAAGTCACCGGCTGCTCGTCCGGCATAGGCCAAGCCCTCGCGCAGCACATAGCGACCGCCCACCCGGCGCAGCGCGTCGTCGCCACGGCGCGCAACCCCTCCTCGCTCTCCGCCATCCCGGACGGCCCGAACGTCCTCAAGCTCGCGCTCGACGTGACGTCCACGGCCTCCATCGACGCCGCCTTCGCCGCCGCGCTCGCCGCCTACGCGCGCGTCGACGTCGTCGTCAACAACGCCGGGTACAACGTGATGGGGGACGCCGAGGCCTCGCCGGCGGGCAACGGCGCGGCGCGGGCGCTCATGGACGCGAACTTCTGGGGCGCGGTGGACGTGTCGAAGCGGGCGTTGCCCGTCTTCCGGGATGTGAACCCGAACGCGAAATCCGGAGGCCAAGGGGGACGGGGAGGAGGGGTTATTGTGAATGTCTCTTCGCTGGGCGGGTTCCTCGGCAGCCCGGGGAACGCGTTCTACCACGCGAGCAAGTTCGCGCTGGAAGGGTTCGCGGAGAGCCTGGCGAAGGAGGTGCTGCCGGAGTGGAACGTGCACGTGTGCTGCGTGGAGCCGGGCGGGGTGCGGACGAGCTACGCGACGACGGCGTTGGCGCGGCGGCTGCCGCGGCGGCACGCGGCGTACGATCGGGCCGACGGGCCGACGACGCGGATGCTGGCGTTTATGGATGCGCTGGAGCTGCACGCGGGGTTCGCGTCGGCGGGAGAGATCGCGGAGAAGATCTACGAGGTGGTGGGGGGCGGGAGGAAGATCCCGATACGGGTGCCGCTGGGGAAGGATAGCTGGGGGATGGTGATGGCGGAGACGGAGAAGGTGAGGAGGGAGTTGGAGGAGTGGAAGGAGTTTAGCTGCGCGGTGGGGAATCCGGAGGTGGAGGGGATGGCGAAGCTCGTTAAGTAGGTAGGTAGGCACGTAAGGTAGGATTTTATATATTAGGTAGGTAGTCGAGGAAAACTTGACGAATTCGAACCTACCTAGGTTAGTATAATTGGTAAGAGCTCCGTGTTATGGTATAAGGGGATAGAAGTGGGATCATGGGAGTTGATCGTTTGGAGTTGTATAACTTCGATTTATTTAAATTATGTCTCTCCTTCACTAAGCTAGATATTCTACCTTCGGTGGGAAGGTTCCAAGCTTTAGACTAATTTCTTATAGAATCCTCTTCATATAATCCTTATGCTGATTAGTGAGGTAACTAACTGTATGGCGCTCCTCGTCATTTTCATGATTATACTTAGTATTGCTTAATACTTCGTAACCTCCTATGTCAGGCATGCAAACACGGAAGACACAGCCCAATATGAGAGCATCGACGAACCTCGGAACGTTGTGCAAAGTCGACTATAATATCCAGTCGGTCCTAATAGAGTCATTGGCAGAGAGGAGTAATAGCTTGTAAGGGATAATTAATGTTAATCGTAACATCTACCTTGGGTACGCCTCACTGGGCCAGACTCTTCAAGCGCAGTGAAATACAAGAAACCAAACACAAGTATGTAAATATTAGGGTAGCTGACCCGGGAATAGGTCTTCATTATTTCATCTTTTGGGGTATCACTGGTAATAATCTCTTGTTTCCGTTATTTCTTCTCCTCCTCTTCGTCTGACAAGCTCATGAACTCGTCGTCTTCGTCAAACCCGGCAAACGCCCTCGTGACAGGTTTCTTTGACGTGGTATTCTTCGGTGGCGTTGGGGCTTTCGAGCTGCTCGATGCCTCAGATCCTTCTTCCTCACTTGAATCTTCGTCCATGTTCTCTGTGGAGGTAGAGCCATGCGATGTACCAAGCAAGTTATCCTTGTAGTTTCCAGCCTTCATGGCAGCAAGTACTGCTTCGCGCGTTCGCTCGCTCGCCTCTTCCTTGTCCTCGACCCACTTGCCATCTAAGCGGCCCCTCGTGCTATTCTTAATCTCGTGCTCTCTCTCGTCTGCGGCGTCGACGATCTGCTGCCAGCGCGCGCGTCGCTTTTCCTTTTCCTTCTGGTCCATCTCGGGCTTGATGGCAAGGTATTCGGCCAACGCCTTGGCCTCGTTGACCGTTCTTATTCGGCGCCCGTCGAGGTTTCTACTAGATCCGTTTTCGTCGCCGCGGTTCTTCTTCTTTTTGGAAGCCATTCGGCCGCCGGCTGCTCGAAGCTGAGAGCCGAAACCACCCTTGCCACCGCATAGCGGAATTGATAGTCGGAGCGAGAGGAATGCATCATCGGTGCCGCAAAGAGTAGAGACTAATTCGCTAGAGTTGGAGCGGATTGATTTGTTTGATATGGTGGTTAAAATGAGTCGCGTATCTAATTGCGGCAATCTCTCCTCGATGCGATGGTGAAGATCTGAAAGAGTCGCGGTTGGATGTATAGGAAGAGAGAGAGTAGGAGGTAGGCCTAAACCTGAGAAGGTCGTAACTAAGACGTTGATGTTTCCCGGCGCCATTTTGAACTTCGCGCGGAAGATGTGAATGGGTTCGCTAGATGATGTAGGTACCTTATGGTTTAAGGCGTCGCTTATAAAAGATGTTTTGTTGAAAGGTAAAATGCTGGGCTTGACGGAATAGGATTGATAACGTTAAAGTCTAGAATCTGGGATCTGGATGGCTAAGGTAATTCGTAAAGCGGGTCTTATCAGCTGCATGCTTAAGTCCTTTATCTAAATGGGCAGATGGACTCTTCCACAGCCACAAGGTACCTTGGTACAATAGAACATTGAAGGGGGAAAATGAGAAATGTCGGGCTGTGCAGAGGCTTCAACATTGACAACTGTAACAGGCTGTCAGACCATTACATAAGCGATAAGCGTCAGGTGTGGCACCCCCCACTCAAATTTCGTAGTTGTCGCTTCCGTCTCCACCATAGGGTTTTTGCGCACAACCAAAAATTCCCTGGACCTTCAATCCCATCGCAAAGTATCCATCAGCCTGTCGACTTCACATCAATCACGCCCACCCGCCCCCCGAACCAGTTCAACATCTTGTCAACGTAACCAACCGCCAAGATGCTGATTCCGAAGGCTGACCGCAAGAAGATCCACGAGGTTAGACGAACAGCTCAAATTCATTCTTCCAAAAATTCGAGAAATACCGAACTAACGTTTATTTTTTTGTTCGCCATGTAGTACCTCTTCCGAGAGGGCGTGCTGGTCGCGAAGAAGGACTTCAACCTTCCCAAGCACCCCGATATCGACACCAAGAACCTCTTCGTTGTTAAGGCTCTCCAGTCGCTCGACTCCCGCGGCTACGTCAAGACCCAATTCTCCTGGCAATACTACTACTACACCCTCACCCCCGAGGGTCTCGACTACCTCCGAGAATGGCTTCACCTCCCCGCCGAGATTGTCCCCGCTACACACATTAAGCAGCAGCGATCGCACGCTCCTCCCCGGGGAATGATGGGCGAGGGCGAGCGTGAGCGCCGACCGTTCGGCCGTGGCCGTGGTGGTGACCGTGGCGACCGTGGCGACCGTGAAGGTGGCTACCGAAGACGGGATGCTGGTGAGGGCAAGGAGGGCGGTGCCCCTGGTGAATTCAACCCTCAGTTGTAAGTTTCCCAAGTTCCCCGTTTGGCAAGATTATTCTTGTCTTCGCAATGGTTATACATACATACATATATCCATATCCATATCCATATCCATATACATATGCTTACTCTTTAATCAACAGCCGTGGTGGATTCGGTCGTGGCCGTGGCGCTGCTCCCCCTTCGTAAGAAGGAAGAAGGTTCTACTATTACTCTTGGAAATCCCTTCGACGCACATGGTGGCCGGGTATGGACATGTACTCTAGGGAATGGAGCACCTGCATAGTCTCGCTTCTCTGCACGTGATAAGAAAACTCGTGGGAGGAACCTCGGAAGCACGGTTGGGAGTTATTAGGAGGCTAAATCCTCGGAAATCATCAATGAATTATGGACATGCTTTTTGCTGTGAAGAGACCAAAAAAATATTCCCCCCCATTGAAACTTCTCGCTCGGATCGGTGAAATTCAATGGACTTACGAGGAAAGACGTGCAGTGCAAGCCGATACGAACTCTAGGATTGGCATGCAAACGGCTACAGGCTATTATGGAAGTGTATATTGTATATACCTTTCCAAGTTCCGCAAGGGATATATGCCATAGGTTGTATTCAGAGCATTCCCATTGCCAGTTTCCGATCAACTTTGGACGTAGAAAAAAAAAGAGGGAATGTTAATATTGTTAATGTTGCATGCAATGGTACCTAGGTAATCTAGGGGAATAGGATTGTTTTTCATAGGTGATCCCGAGAGAAAGCTTCCAATCCAATGTGCCTCTTATACGGAAAGTTGCCTGTACCTCTAGGTACCTCTTATCCGTCCATATCCGCTCTCGCTTCTTGTCCGCAACCCGAAGGCACGGAAACTTCCGCCGGGTTCCGGTGTTACTGATTAGGTAACACCTGCAGTTAGACATGTCGATCCTCACTGTCGTTTCCTCAATTGTCTACGAAGTAGGTACATTAGTCATAAATTTCTCGTAATTTTCTTCTCATTAAAGTTCGGTGAAGCTCCACGGCAACTTTTATCCCCCAAGACAATTTCATCCATCAAGACAATGAACTGGACCACAATGGCGCGTTAAGCTCCGAAAGATCTCTCGGGTATCACTCCGATGACGACCAATTATCTTATGAAAAACCTAACCTAAACATAACAAGGACGGCTTGCGTGTATCGCAGATTAGATCATTTATCATTTCTTCCAATGTCAACTGTGAAACTTTCCACATCCATCTCTTGAATCCTTTTCAATCGGACAAACCAAGGTAAATACATTGATATTCGTTCAAGCATCGTCACGACCCTTTTACAGCGTAAATCGACAATCCTGTATACGTTAATCCGCAGGTGGTTCTGTGCCGTTTGCGAGAAATATTATCTGGCACACGACCATTATGAGTTTTATCGCGGTTATTATATCACCAAGCAAACTATAAAGCTTCTACTAATATAGTAATTCTCTCACGATGTCTAAGTGGCGCTCATGATAGACGTCGTGTTACAATACATGAAGCCAAATTTCGCATCCCACAGCGTTCGATCTTACTTGGTTAACCAGTCAGCCTTAAGGTGGGATACTTACATTGTTAAAAAGTATGTGTCAAAACCAATTTATGAGGGGTAAGCTCACCTCAATGGATTCAATGTAGAATCTCTTACCGAATTACTTACATACCTTAGGTACAGGTATCTAAGATAGCAGGGGTCAAGTGACATCTGGGCGCCTCCAATCTCATCAAGAATGTGAGACCGAGCCATCCGATTTAGCAAGTGGTCAAAATTGAGGCGTTGGCCAGGACGTTAGCAGATGATACTCGTACCATTTACCTAGGTACGAATTGGTAATTCGAGTATGAGCATTCATATCCACCCAGACGTATGAAATACCAAGACATACATACGTCCCCCTACCTAATGGAATACCGGGCAGATCATCTTCGACACGCTTCTTTTTTTCCGTAGAGAGCGCGACGGTGCTATGAAAAGCTACGTAGGATGACGTCTTGGCTCCATTGGGGACAGTTCTCCAGCCAAACATTTTTATCGGGCCATTTTACCAGCGCTGTGTCTTACCCAAGCTAGTCAGTTTCTGCAAGGCAAAGATATTACTCAAGTGGAGTCACTCACACGCGGAACACTGCCTAGCCAGGCCAACTTGGACGTAGTGTTTACAAGTTCTTGGTTCTATCAGACTATACCTCCAGTGGAACGATTTCCGACTAGGTAACCCAATCAGCTACAGTCTAGCTTGTCGGCCTATCTGCGAGGTGAACGCATGCCGCTGGTTATGGCGGGGTGTAGCAGCATAGGTCGAAACTGTTGCCCCTCCTTTTCCCATCCTTTGTTTCTTGGTGACATGGATAGCTTTGCAGGCAAACCCGTCATTGAAACCAACCCTATTAGAAAGTGTGAATAATGGGCTGGGGTTGTGTGCCTCTTCTCCCCTGGGCGAGGCCTAATAAGAAGACAGCACTCCCGGACGCCTTCGTTTTCTTCGACTTCCTTCTTGACACATTACACCGCGACCGCATACCTCCATTCTGAAATCTGAAATACAAACAGCTTGCTCTACTTGTTTGTCTCTTCTCCCTCTCTTCCATCTTCCATTAGAGTCATTGTATAGACTTTGCGTGTCTCCCTCTCCTACCCCTCATCCTACAACAGACTTCCAAGTCTTTAGCAAATCAAAATGGCCTCCCTTCCAAAGACCATGAAGGCTCTCCGGCAAGTCTCCCCTTCCACATATATAAAGTTATATACTTCCAATTGAAGACTTTCTATGTAACTCCCCATAGAAATCTTTCGATCAAGTCTCTCCCGACGTAGTCCACTAACAGTAATTCCCTTGGTAGATATGAGAAGCCGGAAGTATGGGGTATTGTTGAGGTTCCTCTGCCTACCTTACGACCTGGTGATGTCCTGATCAAGGTCAAGGCAAGTCAATTCCGCTTGCTCCCCGTAACCTCATAGCCATAATAACATAGGATCAATCCAGGCCTGTGGTGTTTGCGGTACCGATTTACACATACACGAGGGAGAGTTCATTGCCAAATTCCCTCTAATTCCCGGCCACGAGACTGTTGGCGAGGTTGTTGGTAAGGATACTTGGCAACAAGATGTATCACATTGGGAACTAACGAGTATCGCTAGCGGTCGCCGATGATGTTAAGGGTTTCCAGGTTGGAGACCGTGTCGCTGCGGACAACTCAGAGCTCTGCGGTCATTGGTAAGGAAAACGCAACCAGGTTTTGACCTCTCAAGAATAAAACTAATTTGTTCCCGAAGCTTTTACTGCCGAAGAGGTCAGGAATTGCTTTGCGAGGATTTCAAGGCCCATGGTGTCTTGGGATTAGACGGTGGTTTTGCCGAATACGTGCGTATACCCCTTAACCATTGATCAATTCTTGGTTAGCTGACCTCGACGATTTGAGATGTAGACTGCTTACCCTCAAGGGAAACTCTTCAAAATCCACAACATCAGCGACGTCGATGCTACCTTAATCGAACCCGCCTCTTGCGCCTTACATGGTCTAGAGAAGATCGCCCCGAAACCTGGATCTCACGCTCTGCTGATCGGTGCTGGTCCTACCGGTCTCATGATGGCCCAATTCCTGTAAGAAACATAAATCTCGGCTCCTACCAGAACCGATACTGATAAGTGCTGAACAGACGACACAACGGTGTTTCGCAATTAACTATTGCTGCCCCCGAAGGTTCCAAGATGGAACTAGCCAAGAGCCTCGACGCTGCCGACTTCTATGTACCTCTCTCCAGATCGAACCCTGCCCCGCAATGGGAACAGATCAAGAAGAACAACCCATACGGCTTCGACATTGGTAAGCGAAAGGCTGAGATAAGACATATGTGACGATGCTGACAGGGACGGTTTAGTTGTGGAGGCTAGCGGTAGCTCCAAGGTCCTCGAGGACGCCATCAACTATGTTCGCCGGGGAGGCAAGCTTGTCTGCTACGGTGTCTACCCCAGCGCCGCTCGCGTCTCTTGGCCCCCGTCCAAGATTTTCGGTGATGGTAAGTTATTCGACTGCGCCCTGCCACGAAGAGGATATTGGGTAGACTAACCGAAAAAACAGAAATTACCATCATCGGCTCCTTCTCCGAGACCTACATGTTCCCGTCCACCGTCGACTACTTAGATAGCGGCAAGGTCAAGACCAAGGGTATCGTCAACAAGACCTTCAAGCTTGAGCAGTGGGGCGAAGCTCTCGAGAGCATCCGCAACAAGTCGGCCATCAAGGCGGCCATCGTTTTCGACTAAGCAAGTGAATTTGGGAAGTGGGAATAAGGAGGACATGAGCGAAGCGAAAAAAGGATAAGCTATCTAATGTTTATATGATTTTCAAGACTACTTACTCACTACTTACTACTACTGATCTAGACGATAGAGTTAGTTGAAATTGTATGTAGTCAAAATAATCTTTTGATTCTAAACACCTAGTTGAACAAAATTCTCCGATTCGTTGCCCCCCCTTGGATCCGCGATTAGATCGATGCTTTTCATCTTGCAGTTAGGATGAGCCAATAAGAGACCATGTTGATTTCCGAAATAGGGATGAGGACTAGAAATGGCGTAGAGAATTTGTGTTGAGATGAAATATAATTTGCCAGTTCTGCGGTCCGTGTCGTCAATGTAAAGTAACCATGACCCCACGACCTTGATGGCCAGCTATGCTTTCGTGAGTTAACCGCTTATGCACCCACGGCATTAATAATAATCTAATCCTATTCATTCCATCCGTAGGTGCTCTTCTTTTCCCTCCTCTTCAACATCCTCGTCCTCGTCCTCGTCCTCCTCTTCTCTCCTCTTCTCCCCGTCCGTCCGTTCCGTCTCTTCCGTGTATCATTTCTCTCCAGTCTTTTTTTTTTCCTTTTTTTTTTTTCAATGACAAGATATGCCAATTGCTACTATGTCGGAAGCTAGATAACTCTGGTATTGGCCATAAACTCGCCAGGATCCTCAGGAATGACGTGCAGATGACAAAGAGCCTCTCATAATTGACTGAGTTTCGTTCGATACGACCGAGGAATGTGTTGTTGAATAGCGCTTGTGTTATGCTGGCACATGGACAGGGGCAGAGACAGGGGCAGGTGCTGGAGAGGTTGTCGTGGGAAAGCTTGCACTCGAGTTGTTGAAGACCTTAGGCAGAGCCGCATAAGACCAAAGTCTTCCTCGTGGTTTGATGAGATTGCTTGGAAGAAGACGCTGAAGGTCTGCAGTAGGTATATGAGACAATTTTCAATGAGTCCCCTAATAGAATAAATATCCCTGAACCCTTTTCCCCTTCCATACTATATGTATTCTACCACCTGATGATGAATCGCGCAACGAGTTAGTCGCCGTTGACGATAATCTTCAAGCGACGGGACTGGAGGCTCCTCCGTCCTCGTATGTCCCTTCGGGCCATCTATTCTCGGCGGAAAATTGCGGATGGTGTGCTGCCACCAGATGTTTCCGTCTTAACACGGTTCTCTCTTGCCACTCTGACCAAGACGTGCAGTCCGAACACCTTCTGCCCTCTGCTGCTGGTATAGGCTGTACACTTGAGAGTCTGTGCTTCCAAACCTGCTGATGTCGGAAAGGCTAACAGTGGCCGTGATGTCGAGCCGTGTGGGCAGTGTCGCGAATAACAGCTCGGGCGAGTCATGTGCGCATAGAGCCAGCAAGACTATGGTGAACAATGTGTTTGAGAACATCGCGGTGGAGCTAAGGAGGAAGGGTGTTCCGGTATAGTTGCATCCTGCGGTTCGTCAAGACTCCCATGATAAATATAGCTCAGACGGCTTCAGAGGCGATCATGCGTAAAAAAGTATAAGGGCCTAGACGATACAGAGAGGCTCTAGACACCGTGAGAGGCGTGAGTTGTCATGGTGAATAGGCAGTGAATAAGAGCCAAGAAGGATGTTGGCAGAGTCTGGGGAGGCCGTTAATGTATAGACAATTGTGATGGCGATAAATAGTGTTAAAGGTGTGCTGGCAACGATGTTTTTGGATCACGACTACTTCATCCAGAGTGCCTGTTCAAGTTGGTTGAATAAAGGATGTGTAGTAGTGGTGGTCTTCCTTCTTTCATTTCCTTGTTGGTCAAAGTATTAGAAAGCCGGTCACTCATTGTCTTTCCAGGACCTTGTTGTCCTATCCACACGCCCGGTCTCTCTTGAATCTACTGCGTCGACGTCCGTCCTCAAGAGAGATATGTTGTAGCTTTGACACTATCCCACCAGCATCTTTTTGGAGGGGTTTCGTCTCCGTCCGTCCAAGAGATACCTTGGACAATACTTGGTCATCCACCTATGTACCAGAGTCTCAAGCAATGCCAGCTCCTCCGGCTTCAACACTGTTCCAAGCTCGGCGGCTCCGAGAACTACCAGAGCAGCTTTTTGGGATGGGAGCTAGTCGATAAGTCAGACCGTGTTTTGTGTCTGGACTGCCCTGTCCGGGGTGGTGATCAAAGCAATAGATGTGATCGTCCCGTGAGAAAATAGGGTGAATAATAATAACGGTAGAGTGTTGTGTTGTTCAGCTGCTCCCGTCAACCATGCTTTCGGCATGGAGACTATCCCAGTGTGGACATGGTAGCATCTTTTGGCTGGCCCGGTATGTTGTTCGGACGAGTTGATTGTCCACAGCCACATGGGAACGCGACAGGCTAGGTCGGCATTCATGATAGCAAGGCAGTCTCTAATAACCAGCCTTTATCTATCGCAACAATACAAGTGGTGTTAATAGTTAGACCGGGGAGAGTAATGGAAATTGTCGTATAACAACAGGATATGGTCGTTGAGTTGTATGGTTTCTTCGGGAGAACCAGAACCCGAACGTCTCGAAAGCCTAAAATGACGGGAATTAGAACAACTTCTCTAACTAACTAGGAACTTAGACACAAGATGTGTAAGAGGAGTTTCACATACTGAGTTTTTTTTGTGGCATCAACCGTCCATATGGTTGGGAGAAACTAAAGGGATGTTGTATGAGAGATACTCTGGGAGAAGAATAATGCAATCGACGTTTCGGATTGAGGTGATAGGAGGGTCATCTGCGGCTATCCAGTGAAAAGAATGAAGGTTAGCCATTGGTTATCCACGTTGTTAGGTTAAGGTCGTCAATAAAGGGTAAAGATGAAAAGTGAAATACGTACGGGATATAGGTATTCCCTTGGTCTTCCATTGGCTACTTCATGTCTTCCGAAAGACCGGATAAGATGGGTGGCCAGATAGGACAATAGAGTGCTTAGTACAATAGCCGTCGTTGAAGGCAAAATATTTTCCTCTTGCATTGGAAGGCGAGAAGGGCGTCAATTGTGGTGAGTTACTGAGTATCTCAGAGGCTTTTAATACAGAGCCATAACTAACCGGAGCTTGTATCTTTCGAGCTCTGCTGTTTGCCATTGGACCGGTTTGAGAACTTACACCAATGCAACTTGAATGGTTGGAGACAGGGCGTAATAGATAATATAAGAGACCGCCGGAGACGAGTAGGCTTGCGGCCACATGTCCTCTCAATCACTAAAACAGATTTTCAAGTCAGTATATGTCTTAGATTAACTGGGTACCTAGGTAGGTATTAATTGTGAGTTCATAATTAGGGGATTACTTACGCCTCTCCGATCGCAGCTTCTCGAGAACGTATCTCGAGACACCCGCCGTTCCGCGTGGCCCATCTGGGCCGCCACGGCGTTCCAGTCGACCGACTGGAGAAGGGACCTATCCGCGTGCCTTAGCACGGCTACCATCAGTTCTATCTGCCGCCTCGTTAGGCGTTTGCCGTTCAGGAGAACGTATGCCCTTTCTCCAGGCATGTTGGTCAATGTTGTTGAACTTTGATCTGCCGTACTTTATACATAATTATGTTGATATAGTGCACAACACCCTGTAGTTTGTAGTTGATTTAATGGCAAGATAGATGTCATGTGGCTATACTGTCGCGCAAGGTTGAAGTTAGTTGCAGATCTCAACGGCAGACAAATGGGGGGATAGAGAACGATAAAACATCAACTAGAGGAACAAGTCTTACTTACCAAGGTATTCCCCATCTCAGGCTTTTGCGGCAAGATACCTGAGGCATTCCGTAAGAGTTGGAGGAATGGAAGGTGTGATCTGTTTCACCAAGACGGTAAACTTGAAGAGTTGCCAGGGGCTTCTGTTGTTTATTAGTATTGACATAACGCCGACACATTATAGACATACAAAACATATCAGTAGTAGGCTTACTATTTGAATAATGTAGTTAGTTATATAGTTAACTACTTTTATTTTGTTTAGGTTGTGTCGCCGTTGACTTGTGCTGCCATCAGGTTATGCTTTTGAGAATTTAGGGATGTTGCCGTTGTGTTGTATGGCAGAAGGCAAATTGGTTTAGAATAATTGTTAATTGAATAGGTTGTTGGATGACGGGAAAAAAAAAAGAAGAACGGAAGGAAATTTTTCTTGTGCGGGAGGGAGGGCAGGTATTTATACCCGTCTGACGACCGTCAGTAAGGCGGTAACTAAGGCGGTGATAGCAAAATTTTCGTATTTGCCGACTTACTGTTTGTTTGTTACCATAACTACAGAGATAAGCAGGTTGGCAACTGCCAGTTCCAACCTGTTTGCTTATCTTGTTGCCTCAGTTTCGTACAGTACATAGTTCTAAGGCGTCTTTTCCAAACTACTGCAGAAGGTGCATTTGCTTGTTGCCTGATAAGTACAAAACATACGGTACGGCCATCTCCTTTCTTTCCAAGGTACCTACATGATTCCTCTCGCCGTTTCCTAAAGTGTTATACAGAATAGATCCAAGTACATTGTAACTAGATTAGCAAGTTGCCTAAAGGGGTTAATAGATGCTTAAGATACCTACCAGATACCTGGCATTAGTAGATGTGATTTAAACAAGGAGAGAGCTACGTTTGGTGTCACCTAGGAATACGTCCAAGTCTATCCCGTCCAGGTCTATGGTCGTTCAACCAGAAAGAGCGTAGAGTTGCTTTACGGGCACTTGTTTAACCAAAACAAACTACGTAGTATCGTCTGAGAATCCGCTTAGCGAGGGTAGTTACCAAGGGGTTGATACTATTCCTCTGAACCTAACCGTGCTTCCGAATAGTCAGGAGGTGATAAAGATATCCTTTGAGGCTAGGTACATACCACACTCTATGTAAGGTTGATAAATGGCCCCTTACCTGGGCTGGTGGTGATGATGACAGTGACGTCTACGTCTATTACGATTATAACTAGGTGCATAGGTAGCTATAGAAGCTTACCTATGCCGCGTTTAGGCGAATTTAGGCGAAACCATAGCTCTGTCTCCCTTGAAGGGGGTACTCAAGGCGCCTAACATAAGAGATCCTCCACTACCTGTCTGCCTATAGCCTTCCGCCCCCACCTGCTTATAGCATTACTCTATTCAGTGGTCGCCGGGTCTGTATAGCCGGCTTTGATTAGAGAAAAACTCCGGGCATAGCTATATACCTATATACGATGTTGATTCAGCAGCCCCTATTCCTAGACGGTACCTATAGTTTAAGTAAAATCGCATACTAACTGGATTAAGGTGGTTCAAACCTAGTAGGCTTTGGACCTACTTGCAGTGTTTTCTTGAGACAAAGTCCTCAGGTAGGTATGTCTAAATATTAGCCATTACACCATAGGGGGCTATCTTGGAAGGTAAAGGATCCGTAAACGTCACCGTGGTACTATCTGCTAGACCTTTATACTATGGCGAAACTTAACATGAATAATGAATAGTGTGCTACTAACAAGTAAAGCGACGGACGTATCTGGTGATATAATTTCCAAAGTGGGAGTGTTGAAAATTACTTAGGTACCGATGTAAACTTTTTTAGACACGTATATGTTGAGGTATCCCGGATATGAGAACTACAATAATCCGCCAACTGTTTTATTTTCTTCTTTGGCGTATTGAGCTACTTTAGAATTCTCTATTATATATTATCATGGGAGTTCTCTATGTGTACAAAGGAATCTGTAGTGCCCCAACCCCTGAGACGAATGTTATGGAGTAGGTATTAACTGAAGTTGCTAACATTTACAATAAAGGGTACCTTCACGCTTCAAAAAGTACTAATTAAGAATTCCTTACGGAAATAAGATACTTTTGTACTCCTTAGTTCTTTTCTATGATAGTTATTATTATTCGACGTGCAGCCTGGCTGAAGATAATTCTCTAACACCTCTTAAGTACCTCCTCATACACCAACAACTGGTTACGTAATCCAGAGTCTATTCTCCGATATGGTCGAAGTTGTGATACAATTCTCACTTGGATTTGGTTCACTTGGGGAGTGCTTTGTGGCTACCTAGGTTGCACCTCTGGAAACACTATTCCCATATCTTCTTAAAATACAACAGGGTTAACCCAGTTATTTAGACGATCATAATAATGGTTATTATCCTAATATTCCACTGCGGCTCGTGACCATTAAATGTGATAAAAAAGAAACATCGTGCTGGGTGATGAACTGGTGTTGTGTTCTTAGAGCTACAACATGTTTCAAAAAATTATTCCTTGATATAAGATAATAAACCTCGGTTACCTACTTAGAGGTTGGATATATTACCTAAGGTACGATTTATCAATATCAATTATCTAAAATCTAAATTATTATCGGGATGCTACCCATTAGCGTACCTTCAGTTGAAACAATTCAAGGAGGTATTTATCGTGAGACTTGTGTAACAAGAAGAGTCTCTTAGGGATATTGGATGAAGTTGTAATTACAACGTGCCCGGCGTACTTGCATGTTCATTTTATATTTAGTTAAGTCGTAGATTTTATTGCCCCTACCCAAACTTTGATAAAGATACATGCGAATTACATTAGGTAGATCACAGGTGCCTTCCAAGTTAGTACAGGGAGTACGCCATATTGTTCACTACCTTAGGTAGGTATCTGGGAAAGGTACCTCGTCATGTCGTGTAATGCAGGAAGGTGGGCCACGCTTTCGGAGACTGGGGGGCAAGTCAGGCAGTTTGGGGGTAAGTGGCCCACGCTAACAGGCAAGAACGGCTAGGTTACGTTAAGTTACGTTAGGTACCTACCACAGGTACCTGTCACACTTAATTCCAAAGGGGTTTTCGGGAAGCGGCAAGCGCTATGGTTGGCTCGTTTTGTTTCACAGGGCTCCTCCAATTTCCAAAACGGCGCGAGGCTTTGGCCAAATTCATCTTGTTAACGAATTCCTAATAATTTCTAATATAATCTTTCCCACTCCAGAGGGTACGATCTACACCCCATGATACATTGCTGCTTTTTTTCTTTTCTTTTTGCAATGATTCCTAGATCTATGTCTCCTCTAAATATTTTACACGAGATATTGTCACCGACGAATCTTGTTACTATCCCAAATAAGTGTTGCGTCAGTGTTTGTTCACGTCGAGATCTATCGCGGTAGAGATTGCCGTCATCGTCAAACGATCCCCCATCTATCCATGAGCTTCTTACTTGCCCCCCCATTTTCTCGGGCTGGATTCTACTTACCTTGCCTGGGCACATTTTGATAGAAAAACTGGTTAGATGCAGAGATAGCTCTCCGTTCTTGCTACTGGGTTTGTCTTATTTCCACAATTGTGAGCTATCTAAGCAAGCACCATGTCTCGTTCTAATCGGCCTTTGGGCCATTATGACTTTCCACCTCGTAATCCATCTACGAACGATCAACTTCGTCGCCCTAGAGGTAATTCAAGACGTCACGAGATTGAACCGTTGAGAAGTATTCCTGTACAAGTCGATTCAAGTTCCGACGACGACGACATACCCGTCACGAAACCGAGCCGTGCTGCCCAGCACTCACGTTCAATGAGCCATCCGTTTCCCTCGCTGTTTTCTAGCAAGAAAAAGAAGAATGCTCGACCCGAAGATGAATCCGGAACCGGTGACTTCGCTGCTGACATTGGCTCTATTGGCCCTAAACCCATACCGCAGCAGAATATGGCTCCTAGGATGATACAGCGTGGGCCAGCAGATTTCGCGACGGGCAATTGTATGACGTGCGCTAGTTTGGTTAGATGGCCCAAAGAGCTTTATACATTTAGGTGCACCATCTGCTTGACCATAAACGACATTAGGCCATACGATTCTGCTGCTGGCCACACGGGTACACCATCCGGCATTAGTGGTGCCTCACCACCAAATGAGACTGAGTTCGGCTCCTCGCGACGACCTTCCCAATCTCGTACATCTCGTACGTTCTGCTGTTATATTCCAGGACCATGAATCTTTACTTACCCTCTCATTCTCGCAGAACATCATATATCGCTCGATCGTACCAAGCATATCATCAAGCAATGTTTGCATTCATCCTTAGAGTCATATATATCAGCGCAATCACATCCAGAGCGCACCCAGTTTCCGCCAGAACAATTCTTATCGCATTCACCCAACGAAAATTCCGCCAATATCGACTCTTCACGTAAGCAAGATGGTTTGCCCGCTTCAAGTAATTGTCCGCCCAGTCATGCCTATAATGCCGTGTTCGATGACTTTGCCGATCTCAACCTTGAGCCAAATCCATTGAACCGTAACGTATCTATGCCAAGGTCATACTCGACGTCGTATCCCGACGTTAGAAGCTCAACTTTTCCTGTGACTAATGACGCCGGTAAAGATCGAGATGTCACTGTTTCGGAGTTGGAGCCTAAGATGATTTTCAAGAAGTTGGAGGAATACTTAGTATCGTGTTTTAGTTCTCATCTATGTATCAACAATTCATTTCCTACACGGCACATGAGTGCTAGCTCTAAACTCCCTAGCGAAGTTGTTAAACAGCAGGTTCCTGAGACCAAGAAGGAATCAGTTCGTGATGATACACCGATATCAGAACTCGATCCTAAACTTCTCCTCTTAGGCGATTTCGCGGAGAATGGCACATGGTGGACTGGTGGCCAAGAGGAGGTCCAACCTTCGAAGATCCCACCCCGACGGAAAAGCGATGTGCCTTCCATTGTATCTTCTAGGTCTCCCCGAATCGATTGGGCCGCAGTCAGTGAATGGTACCGTGTGGTAGTCAATGCAGCCCAGCTTTGGCCGGAAGTCTACGCGGAGATGGTTCGACTTGGTCCGCATCGGGCGCTACCGGATGCAAAGCTCTCACAGTTCGAAGCACTCGTTATCTCAGCTCAAGAGCATCTACAGCAGGTCCTATTAAAGTGCACAGAAAGTCTCCTGAAGCGCCCAGGGCGATTAATGAAAGAGCCTCAGGATGTTCGCTTCTTGCTCTTGATGTTAGTCAACCCTCTTTTTATTTCGGGGTTCAAATCATACAGCGGCCAGTACCAGAATCTTGGTAAGGAAAGAGAAAAGAGAGCAGCTATCGGGCAGGATGTAATAGAATCCCAGACCAAGACTTCTGAAAGATACTCCGGGATTATCAAGCGGATTTTTGGCTTATTGGCGAACTCGTCTGAGCCGTGCCATCAACACTTGATTACCTGGCTCTCCAGAGTACCCGAGCACCTTTTTCTGCAAACGAAGGACCTGATCAGTGGTTTCATGGCCTATAGGTTAAATCGACAAAGCCAGAAGAAAGTCGAGCCGCGGATCGACATGACGGGTGGCTTAATTCCGCAAATGTCTAATTCTCGCTCTAGTAATACAGCAGCGTCTCTTCACGCTGCTCTGGAATCCTCCAAGTCCAAGAAGCGGAAACAACCTGTCGAACCAGTTCGCGCGGCGTACACAGATGACTGGCAAGTTAAAGCTGCCGCAAGGGTCATGGCTCTTATATATGCAGCCAATAACTTGACACACGTCCGTCGTGTTGACAAATCCGGCGGGCGTAGCCATGGCCATCTATTACCGATAAGTGATTTTTACAGCTCGTTGGTTGACGGCTTGGACTTCAAAGCCGATTTTGAGCTATGGGAATCAAAAAGAGGCCGTTTTACCTTCTGTCAATATCCATTCTTTCTCAGCATCTGGGCGAAGATACAAATATTGGAGTTTGATGCCAAACGGCAAATGGCTGGAAAGGCCAGAGAAGCTTTCTTTGACAGTATTCTAACGCACAAGAACTACGCGCAATACCTTATGCTAAATATCCGCCGAGAATGCCTCGTGGAAGACAGTCTCAAGCAAGTGAGCGAAGTTGTGGGTAGTGGGGGAGAGGAAATCAAAAAAGGGTTACGCATCGAATTCAAAGGAGAGGAGGGCATCGACGGGGGAGGTCTTCGGAAGGAATGGTTCTTGCTTCTCGTGAGAGAGGTGTTCAACCCAGATCATGGTTAGCGTCCCTCTTTCTCGTTCCATCCCCAGAACTGTTTCTAATGTGTTTATTACAGGACTATTTGTTTACGATGAAGACTCCAATTTCTGTTACTTCAATCCGAATACTTTTGAGACATCCGATCAATACTTCCTTGTCGGAGTAGTACTTGGATTGGCCATCTACAACTCGACTATATTAGATGTCGCATTTCCACCCTTTGCGTTCCGAAAGCTGCTCGCCTCTGCTCCTCCTCCTACCCCTGGGACACCCGCACACTCTCGCCCATCGATGAGCTACACCCTGGATGATTTAGCCGAATTTCGTCCAGTCCTCGCAAGGGGTCTACGGCAGCTACTAGACTACGAAGGGGATGTACAGTCGACATTTTGTCTAGACTTTGTGGTTGAGATCGAGAAATATGGCACGAGAGTTCGGGTGCCTCTTTGCCCAGGGGGCGAATCGAAAATGGTGACGAACGCAAACCGGCGGGAGTATGTCGACCTCTATGTCAGATATCTACTTGATACTTCGGTTAGCCGGCAATTTGAGCCTTTCAAGAGGGGTTTTTTCACTGTCTGTGCTGGTAATGCGCTGACGCTTTTCAAACCGGAGGAGATTGAACTACTTATCCGCGGTTCAGATGAACCGCTGAACATTACTGCCTTGCAAGGAGCTGCGGAATATACAAACTGGCCAGGACCACCCGACCGATATCCCACAATACGGTGGTTCTGGGATACGTTTGAGAGAGCTTCGATTACGGATCAACGTAGGCTGCTATCTTTTATAACAGGCAGTGACCGTATCCCTGCTATGGGTGCGGCATCTCTAGTAATCAAGATCAATTGCTTGGGTGATGACGAGGGGCGCTTCCCCTCTGCAAGGACATGCTTTAATGTCTTGGGGTTATACCGCTATACGTCTCGTCAAAGACTGGAAACATCTCTGTGGCGAGCAGTCAATGAGAGCGAGGGATTCGGACTCAAGTAATAGTGAAGGACATTTCACGAGCTCATGACAGCATTTCAGCGGCGTTTATGGATTCACGGAGCTCAGCGAAAATCGGCGTACTAAAATATCCTATAAGCGGACGAGGCTTGACAAAACCATATGCTACCAGTATTGTACTTGGATGGCGGGACTTCTCAGGACAAGAGGGGATCTGTAATTAAAGGGACGTTCACTGATTATACCCAGCTAGCTGTATCGTTACTGTACATGGCTACCATAGCGGATGATAAATCGAGCTTTACCTAGTAGATAATGCATTACCTACGGGCTTAAAGTACTCGGGTGCTAGTAGGAACATGTTTATCAAATCATATACGAAGAAATTCTACCAAAGCCCCATTGTATCTAGAGCCGATCGGTTACGGATGTAAGATACGCATTTACTAATATGGTACTCGTGATGTCACCAGGTGCTCAGTGTGTTACTAAAATGTCTGATATGGCACGGAATTAAACCAACAACGGCGTTTCCTAAGAATATGACTAACTAGTGAGCTTATTCCTGATTACATACGGACAAGTCGATGTCACAGGGACTTTCAGGGGTAGAAGACAGACAGGTACATATGATATCAGCTAAAGTACCATGCATGACTTACAATCACCACCATATTTAGCAATGCACCGATTGCATCACTATCAAGACGCTATTTCAAGAAAAGGGAACGAAGAAAAAGAGGCTCTCGGGGATTTTAATGCTGACATAGACCCACAGATATATACCTTGTATGTATGCCATGCCATGCCATGCCCGGCTTCCATACGGCCCTGTACACTCACTCACTATATGCCATTATCAGGTAGACAGACGGTGCTGCTGACAAAAACACTTCCCTGTCCAAGTGCGGCACTGCATGAGCAAGCAGGATCTTCTTCTCCCTGCGCACACGAACGATCGGACTTGACGACCAAGTTATGCTTGTTACTTATTAACAAAGTACCTACCGTGGGACTGGGCTGGGGGGTCTTTGGTTCCGAGCCCCCGCGGCAGCAGCAGGAGCATGAGGCATGGGATGCGCGTCAGCCACTTTGGATCGGGATCTTCGCAAGTATCCAATCGCAGGCGGTCTGGTTTACGAAAAAGGCAAAAGACAAAAAGACAAAACCGTGGGACGGAGCTCGGGGCTGACAAATACGTTCAGGGATAAATGATATGGGAAAATGGCTTTATTGGGCATTGGACAAGGGGTTTAGGTAGGTAGGTAGAGATAGGTAGAGATAGGTAGGTACCTACCTTAGATAGGTGCATGGGAATTTGCGATTTTTTGAGGCGATAGGCGAGGGCGATCTCGTGAGATTGTTACTGATGAGTGTTGAGTTTAAGTTTATTAAGGGTTTTGGTTACCGGGCAAATTATGTCTAGATAGAGAATAGAATCACATCTGGTATTGAGGCAGTTTGTAATTGCGTCGCTTAGGATGAGAAGTTTAGCAGGGGTATCTGGGCATGGATTGGAAGTTGTTGTCAAATGACTGACTGTAAGTTCAACGGAAAAGGCGACGATATGCTAAGTAAGGATATTGATACATCTAGGTTGTAGTTATTTCCATGGGATTCTTTTTTCAATGCTACAATATATTAATTATGGTATGAGTCCTGTTTGTCATGCACATATAATATTAATATTGGAATGCTATCTGCTTTGACATCGACGATGTGTATAGGTAAATGCTCCTCTCATTGGTTAATAGTATAGCTTCGCCGCTCACACATTGTGCAATTTTATACTCCGGCAATTGTGTCAAGTCTATACGCTCACCTAGGACTAGATACTTTTCTTTGTTTTTGTAGTGATTGGCTTTTGAAAGATAGCTCGCATACTTCTTTCAGGGTAGACTTAACTACAAGGAATAGAAGTAAATACCGCACCTTTTCTGTTCTGTTCCGTTCCGGACTTTGGTTTAGCTCTTCTCGCGGAATTCATCAGGGAGTATAACCAACAAACAACAATTCGTCATTGAATCATGTAAATAGATGTAAATAATGTAATGCGGACCGTATCATACATACTTGCACCTAGAAGCTCGTGATTGAAAAAAAAGGGTTTCAACTTTCTTAGCGCCATTGGCTCCGGATGCCGGAGCCGGGACCCACGAAATTACCGAAGTCAGAAGTTCTAGATGGAGTCAAGTTTCCACCGGAAAGTTGGGACGTGGCCTGGGCAATGGCGCCATGTAATGTATAGCGCGGATAACTGGCGCGAAGAGAGGTCTTGCTACATAGTACGACTTGTCTAGGCCTAGTCGACAGCCTTGGGTGCCCCTCTTGGAGGTGCTGTGTTGCCGTAGGGAGCAAAGCAAGGTTAGAAACCAATGATCGGGCCTATTTTCCCAGCCTTGTGTGGCGTTGCCACCGTCCAGTCATGTCTTCACTAGAATAATAATAATAAGCTTGATTAGCAAGAGGATGCTGGTAAGATTTTTTTGGTACTTGTTATGCTTACTGCTGCTATCTATGGCTTGCGTATGCTTTATTGGCACGTTTAGCCCTTACCCATCCACATTGGTTGGTTGGATCAGGGAGTTGGCCAGCCAGGTGGAAGGTTTTTTTTTTATGTTCATTTTGTCACGCACATGCGATGTCGGATACAGCGCATTATCAGGTTGAGATAGATGTTTTTGACTCACGGGTCACACGATGAGGGTGTGACGATCAGTAGGGGAAGTTTTGATGGTGAGCATTGATAGCTATTTATCAGCATTCGCATACCGCATACCGTGTTCCCAACTTTCCTATGTAGAGCTCGTATGGGGGGTTCGTACGGGGCTATTACGGAGTAGCTCTGCTCTCAAAACTCCGGTACCTGGCGGGTTTTTAAAACGCATGTTAATGGGGGACCCTGAAGGCAACATCGAACTAGTAGGGTCGATATCTTTGCCCGCATGTGGAATGTGTAAGCTGAGCCGCCGAACGCCGTAAACAATAGTTTCGCCATCCATCTATTTTCTCATTTCTCATCACAAGCTTCGGACCAACGCAACTATTCTATTTTGAATTTGATTTTGTTCATTCAGTACCACAATATTGGTAGCCATTAGAATTGCGACGAAACTATTTTTGAGCCTCTTGTCTTAGCTAATTCGGCTATGCTTCTCAAGAGCCGAGCTTATGTCGGATAGAATCGTGAATTGCATCCCGTCCATTGGCCGAGAACCCGTTTGACATTCGTGCCATTTTCGTTCGACACAGTGAAAAAAGACGTTTCTCGGCAATGAAGTATGAAGTAGTGACTTTGGATATACATGAATGTCGGAGCTCGTTTTTTTGAAACTCTTGGGAGCATTTTTAGGACCCTGTTTAAGACTTCAGCTTCGAAAAATATAATAATAATCTCTTTCAATTATAGGTTTTGAGCTATTTTTTTTTCTCACGGGATAATGCATTTATTGATTCTTGGGGGGGGGGGGGGGGGGGTTGATAACTGACAAGCCCAAGGAGCTAAACTGGATTCTCGAGTAAGGTCTACCTACCTATGTGATGTCAACGGAACTCAAGTACATTGTTCTAAGGAGCTCTCCGGAGTTACAAGTGCTGTACATGTTACCTAGCTGGGTGGGTTTTGTCCGTCATACTCGTTTCGTATAAGTCCCCTATAAGAGAGATAGAAGGTAGACTGATATCGAGCAACGAAGATCATAGAAAGTAAGAGGATGGAAGACAGCATTGTCAATTTTTGCAATCGCTTGATTATTGCGATATTGACTGATATATGATAGAGGGTCTTTATCTTGTGATTGCATGATGCTTCTCGTTTGATTTTTTATAAGTCAGCTCATATGTCTCTCGCCATATATAAGTTAACGCATCATGTTATCATGTTCTGTAGAAACATTCGATATTAGACGTGATTATGTTATTAGATGTTATTAGCGTACTATATACTATGTACATAATAGGTGTGTTGAGAAATAGACATGGCGGAGTGATGCGGATGTAACTGTTAAGTACAGTTTAGTAGGGAGTACAGTAGGAATTCCCCGAAGAAGGTTGCTTTTTTTTACCCCTCTATGGGAAAAAACAACAGGAACATGGGAAACTACCTAGGTACTTATAGGACCTATAGAGGTAGAGGGGAGGGGGGCCAAGTCTATGGGAAAGCTATGGAAGTAAACCGTAGTAGCTTCATGGGCTGCAGCAGTGGGAGGGATTTGGACACCCCACTTACCTAAGGTACCCACTTGCTGCATCATATTTTTTTTTCTGGGTAAGGTCTCGTCCCTCAACCAATTTTATTTATGTCGCTCATATGCCATCATAAATAGAGACCCCTCCATACCTATCCCTCCTTCCACTCAACAACAACCAACAGCCAACAATAACATATTTAATCTAGTCCGTCCTACCTCCTTTCAATCCAATTTCTCTTGAAAAGTTATTTTTTCTAACCAGTTTCTATAGTTCTCATCTAAACCCAGCAAAAAATACAACGTTTAAACTCTTCTCAATCCCATAATTCAGGTAAGAGCTCTTTTAAGCTTCCCCTCCCCGCCAAACAGCTCACTTTCATTACCCCGCCATTCGCTTGTTACATGGGTTGTCGTAACGTCGACGTGCTTTTGTCTTCCGCCCCGCCTATTTCGAATCACTTGGCTTTGTTAGAGGGTATCGGAAGCTCCTTTCTGAAACGATAGGATCCAAGACGAGAGTTTCCTTTTTTTACAAAAAGGAGGGAAATTTGTTTGTGTGCCACGAACACAATAGCAAGCAATTCTTATATCATTGGCTCGGACGGTCGCGATTCATTGAGCTGAATGAATTGAAATACCTCGTCTTGCGGCTATTTATCTAAATCCTATCTCCCTCCATTCCTCTTTATATATATTATTATATTCCCTACACTTTCTTCCTACATTCCAAAACTTCCAAAACTTCAACTAACATCGTCGTCCCCGCAGACTTAGTGAAAATGGTTGTCAAGGTCGGCATCAACGGATTTGGCCGTATCGGCCGTATCGTCCTACGAAATGCCGTTGAGCACGAAGATATCGAGGTCGTTGCCGTTAATGATCCCTTCATCGAGACTCACTACGCTGAGTACATGCTGAAGTACGACTCCACACACGGTCTCTTCAAGGGAACCGTCACCTACGAGGACGATGGTCTCGTTATAAACGGCAAGAAGGTCAAGTTCTACCAGGAGCGTGACCCCGCCAACATTCCCTGGAAGGAGACTGGCGCCGAGTACATCGTCGAGTCCACCGGTGTCTTCACCACCACTGATAAGGCCAAGGCTCACTTGAAGGGCGGTGCCAAGAAGGTCATCATCTCGGCCCCCTCTGCCGATGCCCCTATGTACGTCATGGGTGTGAACGAGAAGACCTACAACGGCTCTGCCGATGTCATCTCCAACGCCTCTTGCACCACCAACTGCCTTGCCCCCCTCGCCAAGGTCATCCACGACAAGTACAACATCATTGAGGGTCTCATGACCACTGTACACTCCTACACTGCTACCCAGAAGACCGTCGATGGTCCCTCTAACAAGGACTGGCGAGGTGGTCGTACCGCTGCTCAGAACATCATTCCCAGCAGCACTGGTGCCGCCAAGGCTGTCGGTAAGGTTATCCCCGACCTTAACGGCAAGCTTACCGGTATGGCCATGCGTGTCCCTACCGCCAACGTCTCCGTAGTCGACTTGACTGCCCGTATCGAGAAGGGTGCTACCTACGACGAGATCAAGGCCACCATCAAGGAGGCCGCTGAGGGTCCTCTCAAGGGTAAGTGATGCATTAAATCATCTCATACAGTAACTTGTGTGACCAGTAGCTAATAAACCGTAATAGGCATCCTCAGCTACACCGAAGACGCCGTCGTCTCTTCCGACTTGAACGGCAACCCCAACTCTTCCATCTTCGATGCCAAGGCTGGTATCTCCCTAAACAACAACTTCGTCAAGCTTGTCAGCTGGTATGACAACGAGTGGGGTTACAGCCGACGTGTCGTCGACCTCATTTCCTACGTCGCCAAGGTCGACGCCAGCAAATAATTTTCCCCTATTAAATCTAATGAGTGAGAGCTCTAATGGCGCTGATCAACAAAAACGTGCGGGTTGGGTTTCCGTCCGAAGTTAATGACTGCCAAGGAACATGGCTGGGGCTCTATCGAGAGCAGTACGACATTATTATTATGATTCATCATAGATAAATGAAATAAATGAAACAAAAAAAAATCATCCTTCATATTGAGGTTCTCGATATATTGTGGCTATCAGATTGGTTGCATTGCATGACTAGCAGTATCACATCACATCTTGTCCTATTACTACGTAACTACCGAATCTTCCATTCCTCGGGACACATTAACTTAAAACCCACACATCAATTCGAGCTCTGGTTCGAAGAAGTAGTAACTGTAACTCCGCAAAGTTTCAATGTTGCAACCCGCTTACGCCGATGTATCGTGTCTATGAATACACACATCCCTTATACCTATCATAAACTACTCACCCGGCAGTAATAGTAGTAGTAGTTGTTGTTGTTATAGTAAGTAATGATAATATTAGTAGCTTTGCATGGCCTCTCTCTCTTACTCTCTTGCTCTTTTACTCTTCTCTCGTATTTTTGCCTAAGCTACCGGCTTTTTTTGGTATCCCACATAACGCCACATTCACATGAAAAAAAAGAGGAAAAAAAAAACACAGAATACCCTAAAATCAATCCCGCTCAGTTTCAGCTAATCTCCATAGCATCACCACCAGCCGCCGCCGCCGCCGCGACGGCAGCAGCATCTTGGGCGTTGGCCACGGCGAGGTCGACGGCGCCGTCGTCGCCGATGAGGCGCTTCTCAGACTGGGTGACGAAGGCGACGCTGCGGGCGGGGTCGTAGAAGAGCTTGAAGCTGCGCTGGACGTCGTGGACGGAGACCTGCTTGGCGCGGCGCTTGGCGCAGACGAGCTGGGAGGTGGTGATGAGGTTGCTCGCGTAGCGGAGGCCGGCCTCCTGGCCGATCTTGGTGAGCAGGGCGAGGGCGTCGGCCGACAGGTCGATCTCCTCCTCGGCGGCGCGCAGGGCGAGGATCTGCCGGATCTCGTCCGGCGAGTACGGCTGCGTCTGAATGATGACCACCCGGTCCAGGAAGTCGAGCGGCAGCCCGTGCGGGCTCCGGTAGTCGGTGCCGCGGATCTTGGAGTGCCCGCGGTTGCTGGCCATGATGACAATGGGCGCCAGGTCCACCTCCAGCGCCCGGTTGATGTAGCTGAAGCACTCGATGTCTAGCATGTGCACCTCGTCGATGAAGAGCACGCCCGGAACGATCTCGGCTTTCCCTTCCTCCTTCCACTCGGCCACCTTGGTGTCGATCTGGTCGCGGATCTCGCTGCGGATCTCCCCCGTGTCGCCGCTGAAGAGGGCCAGGAAGCCCTGCGTGCGCGAGTTGATGACGTCGATCTCGTGCAGGGTGACGGTGTGCACGACCTCCTTGCGCTTCTGCAGCTCGCCGTCTGGGCACTGCAGGAACTTGGTGTCGGCGCCCATGGCGTCGTAGTCGCGGCTGCGGGCGTAGCTGCGGCCGAGCTTGGTGATCTTGCCGGAGCCTTTGTCGATAGAGATAATGTCGCCGGCCATGACGCGCTCCTTGGTCATGGCGTCGATCATCTTGGCGCCCATGTCGTAGACGGCCTCCATGTCGGTGGTCTTGATGGTGAGCTTGCCCTGCTTGGCGCCGCCGGTGACGCTGCGGTCGATCTGGATCTCGACGACCTCGCCCTCCATGATCTCGGACTCCTCCTTGATGCGCACACCGATCGACTTGCGGAAGGCCTGCGTGAGGGCCTCCGTCTTGGACATCTCGAGCGAGAAGATCTCGGACGAGGCGAGGGATGTGAAGGGCACGTCGGGGCCGAGGGATTGCGCCATGCCCATCGCGATGGCTGTCTTACCGGTGCTGGACAATTGATTGCGGTCAGCGACGACAGTCCCATGAAGATTTCAAGTTTTGATGGAAGTTATCGCACGATGGCTTAGCTTAGCTTACCTTGGAGGTCCAGCGATGAGGACGGCCCTACCGGCAATCTTCCCTACCTTGATCATCTCCAATATGACGGCGGCCGCCTTCCGAGCCTTCTCCTGGCCGACGAGGCCCTGCGACGCCGAGCGAGGTTCTAGCGTGTCGGCATCTACGCCTAGGCCTCTGATATGCGAATGCGCCGCGATGAGGTTCAGGCCGCGCAGCTCTTTGGTCTCGCCGACGGTTACGACGGGCTGTATGTTTCCACCGGATAGATTGATCAGCTTTCGAAGCTCCATTTTACTCGTTCGTTTATTATCGGTAACAAAAGAAAAAAAGAAAAAGAAAGATTTTTCAATGTTAGGAAGGTTAGTTACTTACAGTAGCCATTTTTAGAGAATTCAGATTTTCAATTCCTCCCCGGTTGTTGAGTGCTTCGAATTTTTAGAACCTCTCTTTGCCTGGCGTTTTCTCTTTGCTAGTTGAAACTCTGAAGCTTTGCTGCAGGTTCAAGTCGCAGCTCTGGAAAATTGAGCGCGTTACATGGGTACACGGCTTATGGTACAGTTAGCGTTATCTTATCGGGTTGTCTTTACAAATTGTGGCTCGTTGACTGATAGCACTAGAGGAAGTACACAAACTGTACTGTAATGTGGCTACATAGGCTGGAAACAGTCTTCCCAGGTGGCTTATCGCAGTGACTTTAAGCTTACAAGGCAACTAAAGGGGTTACGCAGAATTATATAACTGAGACACTATTGATTGGCTGTTGGTACTTAAGAGCTGATAATGCTAAATGCAGTGGAACCTAAGCTGCCTGACAACGGATGCCCTACCCCACTCCACTTATTTTGATCGTATTCCTTCGTCACCGATATTCTATTGAAATAACCTGTATGAACCAGGTATGATAGCTGGGTATGCTTGGCTAAAATCTTACAACTTTAAGAATCGTCCCGTTGGAAAAAAGCAATTCATTCAATTTCAATCATGGACCGGGTTTATATTATGCTTGTTTTTTTGCCACTTTCGCTGGGTTTATCTATCTATCGTGTTTCATCGCGTCGATCTCGCAGTTGCAGCACTAAGCGACTTATACACACCGAATATGGAGAAGAAGTGGCAGAAGCAGTAAAATTACGTGTAAGATTTTAAAATACCATATTCCTTCTCGCCTCTATAAAATTCTCCTATGTCCGGGATAACTGCCGATTTGTTTATTAGGGTCTACTGGTAGACAGACTGGTTGGTTTACATACATCCTTTTCGTGATCCGTTGGACCTATATCCTGCCTGCCTACCTAACCTACTTACCTACCTACCTAATAGATACCTATTCTACATACTTGGCTCGTTTGAGGACTCACCCAACAGAACTTACAACGCATATAAATAGCTAACTGATCGACCCACCCATCGTTCTTTCCCCTTCTTCTCTGTATAAACTTGTCGAGTCGTAAATGCCTGCAGAAGATCAAATGGCAGCTGAATTATCTACGTGCACAAGCCAAGCGCCAATAGCGCTAAAAAATCTAATCACTTTTAACTTTTAACACTGTTACCGCTACCGCTACTGCTACCGCTACTTGTTGGCAGTTGCTGCTGTTTCTGCGGCTACAGGAGTACTTCTGCCCGTACAATACAAATATTTATTTTTTGCGAAAAAAAAAAAATTTAAAAATAACAACCCACCAACTCTTAATTTCTTTCCAACTTTTTTTTTTATTTCTTTTATTACAGACATCCTACCTTCGATTTCTAAGAAGATTCAATCACCCCCTTCATCAGAGACAGTGGCTACTGTTATCCACTAATAAAGGGGTGTTAAGTTTGGGGATAAAGTCTAAAGAATACACACCACCCCCAAGCAGTATTAGGCGTGATTCTACGTTTGCCCGGCTTCTTTCTTTAACACCCCTTTCCATATACAATACGATACCCACTACCAATATACCCCAACTCTGGAGTGAAAAAAAAAAGATAAAAAAATATTAGGTTAAAAGGCATTTTAGTACCTACCTAGGTACTTGGGTAGGTGTCTATTGTGCCTCAACCTATTTTTTTTTTCTATATTGGAGTCTGAAGACTGCTGATTCCAGTTTGCACCTTGGCTTATAGTTGCTTGGTATCTAAGTTCCTCACTTAGAAGAGACAACGTCACCTAGCCTGATTACCTAGGTACCTACTGGAGCAGTCCTCTTCACTTGGAAGGCAATGACAGAGCAGTACATGAAAGGGTTGTCAGGAAGTTGCAGTTCAAATTGCAAGAATTGGGGAAATCGCCAGTTGATGTTGTTTCCTTGGTTAACAAGATAACCAGGTAGCTACAAATAATCTTACATAACCTCGGCTGAGTTATTCATTTTCCTTCTCAATATGTCATACAATACGAGGGTTAGGGTAAGTGGATTTGAAGACGAGCGCCGCCGCCCATACGGTGGTGATTCGTATAAACCATCTGAAGAAAGGCAAACTCCCCGGGATCATTCCCGTGACCTGAGCAAAGAGTTCGACCGGGATAAGGATAGGGACAGGGATCGCAACATGGTTCCAGGTCAGCGCGACTCGGCTGACGCGAAAGATACGCGCAGTCCGCGCAGTATCAGAAGAGATATGGGCAATCCGAAAGACCTCAAAATAGACACAAGGGCTCCCCCTACCGGTCCTAGGCGGACCATGTCCGATGTCTATTCTCCCGCTAGTGGCCCGAATAGCCTTCCGGCCTCGAGTGTCAGGCCAACCCCGACTGAACCCGGTGAGTTTTGACTTCTCTTGATAATCTTCTAAGCTATCGACTAGTCTAACATAGAAAACAGCGGCCATTAGTATTTTAAGAGCAACTGGACAATGTAGTCCAATAGTCGCTCCGAATATCCCAAAACCTAAGGATCCTAAGTTACAAGAAGTTTTTGAAGCCATGTATAAATGGAACGAGACTTCACAAGAGCGCGTGCTTATGATCCTCCGGAGAAATAATTCCTTGCGCGAGGATAATCGCCGCCGAAGTGAGCTTAGCAAAGTAGCTAACAAAGTTAATGATTATGCACCATACTCGGAATTCCAGCGAAGATTCGACGAAAGTCGAAAGTCAGAGCGGGACGAAGTCTCGACGAATCTCACCAAACTCGATCATCGATGTGCTGAAGACTTAGAACGGGCTGTATCTGCTATAACATCTTCTAAGCCACAGGTAGCGGATAATACCTCGCTCCAAGCACTAGAAGCCAGGTTTGCCGAATTCCAAAAGCAAAGTTCCGAGCAGCAAAAGCAAATATCTAGAGCCCATGCCCAGATTGAGACCCTACGTAGTGATAGGGAAATGTCAAGCCAGGCTTTCAATAACCTGGATAAGAACTTCAAGATGTTGAAGTCTGATTTTAATGCTCTCCAGTCCGAAAACTTGCAACTTAAGAAGCAAATTGCGGATCTGGATGCTCTTAAGAAAACTCAAGATGACATGAATCGGCTAAGTAAGGATTTCGGATCCTTTACATCTAGAGTCGATGATGTCGAAGGGAAAGTTGCTACCTTCATGGGAAAAGTTGAAGATCTTGATATGGAAACATATAACGAGATACTTGGGATCTGGATTGATCACGATTTCAAAAGTAAAGTCTTTACGAATGAAAAAGCGATCGTGGCTCTACGTCGAGATTTCAATTCTTTCCAAGAGACAGCCGTGTCTCGTTTTGAGAAGAACGATTCCTCTATTCAAGAAACGCGGAAGCTTGTGGAGGACGTTGAAAGTTCTCGGCCAGCCGCATCGCAAATGGGCAATGAGACACCAATAGACAAGCATGAGCAAAACGTCTTCATTGGAAATAAGCTGGATGAGTTTAAAAAGGTTATCGAGAAGACGGTCACCACTTCAAATGACGTTTGCGCCGATATGGTTGACGAAGTGTCTGCTAGAATGGACAAAGTTGAAGTGGATGTTAAAACCCTTGGACAGTTGCTTCATTCAAAGCATCCGGACATGACGATACAAATCAATAAGCTAAAACAGGCCATGGAAGAGCAGCGCGCCGAGTTGGAGAATCTACAGACCCGTTTAAAACTCCTTGAGAACGAAGGATTTGATCCCAAGATTAATCCACTCATTATAAGATTGGCTCATGTAGAGGAAGATATGCGTCATCTTCAGCAGAGCAATGCTCCTGGGGCAGCGACCGATTCCGATGCTGTTATGAATGCCATCAAATCGGACATGGAGGACGCCAAAAAGAGATTCGAGGCGCTTGAGTTTTCTATCAAGACTCTCGATCATCAATGGGCGAACATCAGCACACGGCAAATGGCAGCTCACATTCTTCAGCATCTCGATAATTACGGACAGCGAAACGAGAGCCGAATCGCTAGCGTCGAAAATGAGGTTAAGAAATTGAGGGACAAACTTGCAATTCTCGAGCACAATCTCACTTTACTAAGGGATCCGAAACATCTTGTAAACATTATAAAAGCTTCACCATTAGGAAAGCGACCAGCTTCTCCAGCATCACCTGCCGAAGACCCAGCGAAGAAAAGAAAGCTGGACACAAAAGGCCAGCACACAGAATCATCTACTACCGAGGCACGCGTAGTTTGATCACCGGCACCAGTTAGCAGCATCATGACTACTACACTGCCGCGAGGACGCATGCGTGAAGGAGTTAAGCCTAAAAATAAGCCACATAGAATGGCATTATGGCTCAGGTCTTTATTTTCCATGTTCACCGTAAGGCGTCTATGTTACGTAAAGCCAACACATACGCCTACGACTCTGATACGTTAGGGGGATCTTACAAAGGATCCCGTTTGTCTAAGTTCTTGCGGTAGATACCTGACGCATCATTCAAATACCCTATCGTTTTGATGCTATTAAGGAAGGGGGCTCGCCAAAGAAAAGCCGGCTAGAGCTTTGGTTGGGTCAGATAATAAGGGGGTCTGCAAAGACCTAGCAATGTGGACATTCATATGTGTAATTGGAAGACTTAGAGCTTCTTCACTTTGTAAATCAGGTCCGAGCCTTACAACTTAGGGGAGAGGGAAATTAATAAAACCGCGAAAGAAAAAAAAATCATAACCCGACTTGGTGTTGTAACTCCAACCTATATGCACTTTTATAAGCAATCCGATGATGGGTGTCCGCCTGCGGCTGCGGGTATATTTCGCGCTCCTTAATGTAGTTCATACTGCCCTGCCCGTATTACCCACGTCTATATGCCTACCTCTAACCTGTCTAACTGATATTTGCTTCGGTGATATGCATTGCCGACCATGTTCGCGTCATGAAAGATTAAGCCCTATGTACCTAGGTAGTAACCCATCCCCACCCCCCCGATCATATATCATAACAGCTTGAGCGAACCGGTGACGCTGTCGACGAGGCTCTTGGGGGCGGGGCCGACGCCCAAGACGGTGAGGCTGCCGGGGTCGATCTGGGTGCGGCCGGCGTCCTGGATGACCTCGGCGGTGAGGCCGAGGCCGCGCGCCTTGGCCCGCAGCTCCCGCAGCTCGCCCTCCGACTTCACCTGCACGGCGATCTTGGCCTGGCCCCGGCGCTCCCAGCGCTGGAGCAGGCGCGCTTCGGGCGAGGACGGGTTGCGCTGCGCGGCGCGCGAGAGCGTCTTGTAGCAGGCGAGGGTCGCGTGGGAGCATTGCGCTGCGATTTTGCCTGTGGTGGGGTGCGTGTTAGTTAGTTGGATGGATATGTGACAATGTGGAATTTGGATAGGAGTAAGGGAACGCACCTTTCGTCATGCCGAGATCTGTTCGTACGACCAGGACTAGCTTGCACTCCTCGTCTGCGGACCCTTCGGCTACGGTTTGTTGCTGCTGGGGAGCCGTCTTGTTCTTGTTCGGCCTGTTCGGCGGCTGGGAGGCCTTGAGCCCGTCCCTGCGGTCGGCGTCCTCGCCGTTGGCCCAGTTGGGGGCGTGGTCGAGGACGGTGTCGTCGTCGATGTCGGACTCCTCGCTCTCGAGGGGGTCGTTGAAGTTGCCCGCGCGCTGGGAGGCCAGGGCCGGCGAGATGAACAGGTACCCGCGCACCGAGTACATGCCCAGCAGGAAGCCGGATATGAAGACCACGACGCTGGTGGAGAGGAGGAGGGAGGTTGGGACGACGGCGGCGGCGGATTTGTCTGCCATTTTGGGGGGTTTTGGGAATATGGGATGAGATGGGATGGTATGGGTTCTCGTTATGGGATAGGAAGAAGATTCTTGGGCGTATCTCTTGTGTCGATATTTGTTACCGATCCATAGGTAAAAGATTGTGCAGTTTTTAGATTGGCTAACTAGGTAGTTAACAGGTAACTAATAAGTTGGATCGGATGAATGATTAAAATTATAGTATGAGGCTGACAAAACTGCAAAGGACCTGCAAGAAGAGCTGGGATCTTGAACCAGAAAAAATGGTTTAAGATCTGACGGTAAAGATGTAATACATAATATATAGGAACCTTATGAAAGCAACCCCACATCAGCCTTGTCTTCCAGGTCTACCCAAGTCTGCCCAGGTACGTACTTGCTAGGTAGGTCTACCGTCCCGGCCGTCTTACCTATGGAAGTGCCTTACAAAGTTGCAACCCATGTTACCCTCTGCCAGCGGCTCTGATTTTCTAGAGCCACACCCTTTTCATTTAATTCTTTTTTTTTCTTGTTTCGGGTTTAAACAAAGGCATTGAACAATTCAAACTTTTTTTTCGAAGATGGAAATCTTCACCGATTTGCCAAGTATACCTAAAGAAGTATAAATGAAAGTTGTCTTGTATATATTATGATCTCGCAACCTGCATAGGTACTATGTAAGAATTGCACGTAGTATCGCCTATCAGATGAGATACATACATATATATATCTCGCTTACTTGAAGTTACGTGTCGTGCATATCGGAGAAGCAGGCGTCAAATTGCTTTTCGATATGGTCTCCCAGTTTCCCTGTTGTACAGTCCCGTAATCGGTTTACGGCCTTAGGTACACGTAGATATGGCAGATAGAGTAGTACCGTAGCACACTGTAGCAGTCGCGTGCATGTCCATGTCATGTCCGAGATAATGATGATGATGCTAGTGGCAGAAATAGCTCCTAGGTACATGTATTATGGTGTTCTGGTGTCCTATCAAATCATTCCGATGCGTACCGGTGGGGGTTTTCCTCAGCTGGTAGTAGGTACTAGTAGTACTGGTACATGTATTTAAAGGTAAGGGGGGGTAGTATACATGTATCGATGCATTACAATACATGCATTTACCACCGGTCAAGCCACATAAAAGCCACATATAATCCTGCCTACATAAATTGATGCGAGAGGGAGAATTAGGTAGGATAAGTACGCCAAAAATACGTAAGTGTTAGTGGTCTTTCCCCGAACGTTATGAACCTTATGTAAAGCAGGAAACGGCCAGCCGCAATACATAAGAATGAGGTAGGTAGGAACGTTTAGCTCTGGGAGGGAAGGGGGGGAAGGTTACTAGGTAAGATCAAACTGGGGGGTTCCATCTTTGCCCGTGAGCCCGCGTTCTCCTACCCCGTTTAACGGTTAGAGGTTAGAGCCATCAATTACCATCCGGTCCCTTCACCATCGCTGAAGACGTGAGCGACCCAAGTAACCCAAGCGCCCTAAAAAACCCCAGGCACAAGCACCCAAAGTACTAGAAACATCCTTGCAATTTATTGTGTAGCGTCCATACCTACCTACGTCCATACCTCACTCCGTCCCCCCTACCTGTACCAAAAGCCTAACAGGTAACTACGCCTACTACCGTCTGCTGCTACTTTCGACCGGTTCGGTGTTCACCCACTTCGCCAAACTTCTTCCCGCTGTCGATCATCACGCATCATCTGCAACAACAATAGTCATCAGTACTGCAGACTTCAAGACTTTTTGACTTCCCCCGACACTCTTTGTTCTCTTTCCTTTCTTTACCTAACGAACCTTATCACCAGCCTCCTTTTCCCTCATTCATAATAATATTTATCCGATACTTACCTCTTCATATACTATTATTATTATTATCTTTATTATCTTTACTATTATTTTCTCTCTCTTTTTTCCTTCCTCCCTTCTCTTCTTGTAGTCTTTCGCCGACGCGAACCACAATTTGACGAGCAATGCGCCGGGCCGAATGCCACGAGGGTCTATTGGAGGCTGGATAAATCAGCAAATAATGTCTACGCGACAACAGTAACTTGTGTCTATCTATTGTGTATTGCATTGTATTTTACAGGTTTGAGGGCGTGCAAAGGTGCCAAAGGTGCCAAAGGGAGAGAACCGAGCGTTACCATCGCACCCAACTTTGAGGTCAGTGAATAAAAAACTCCATGCAAGGTACTTTGAACATTCATCTTTTTCATTGTACACATCCCCATAATTTCCAATTCAGCCAATCCTTTGTCGAATTGGCTTGTCGTCGCCATTGCTTCGAGAAACACACGTCAAATCATTGTCCGATCTTTTAGGTCATCTATTTACTTGTTACTTTTTTTTATACCAAGTCAACCAAGACCGGAAATACTAAACCCTTACCTGGCAGAAGTAAAAAAGAGAAGAAAAAAATATCCGTCTTATCGCTGTGTCCTCGAACCTCATGATATCTACAACAACATACCGATCCATACCGATCCTACTTAATTCGCATCCGTTACTGTAACCGCGCTTCATTTCATGATTCCTAGCACCAGGTTCGCGTGCAACATTTCGAAGTTGCATGAACACAGGAAATCATGGAGGAAGTAAGGAAACCTATTGACACATTAGTTAAAAACGTCCTCCCTCCCAAAGCACATTACCTATCATTAGACACCACGCGCCGGTACCGACCACACGCGGATGACAAGAGATTAGAAGAGCAGGACATCAGACCTCTTCAGTACACCACTTTCGTTAGTGACGCAGAGCGTGGCGTTCTTCTGACAAGGGCCTATTTCGACGTCCGGGAAGAACCTTTAAATCCAGTCAGTGCGCGTGGCGACATAACACCTCGAACGTCCGATCCCAGCAAACCTAAAACAAAACTATCTTTAAAAGACTATAAGAACAGGAAAAGGTCGCCCGACGGCGGAGAGACACCTAAGCCAACAGCACAACTCCCAAAGACGAATGCGCCCCCAAAAAAGAAATTGGATCCTGCTGGGAAAGAGACGGAGGACCATCGTGTTATTAATAAAGAACCCCCCGACGCAAACTCTAGCATGAGGCCGGAGGCGCGTCATCCTCGAAGCCCCTCGCCGGACAGGAAAAGACGGGCCGTAGAGGCTGAGCACGAGTCCAAGCCAATTAAGAGGAGCAAAGTTGAGAGCTCGACGCCCAACTCTATAAGCTCACGTTCTTTTAAGGATAGCATTACTCAGAAACCCGAACGGCAGGCGGCTTCTGAGAAGAAACTTAAAGAATTAAAGAGCACACCGACCATCAACGCAAAACCTGCACCGAACAGCACAGGGAATAAAGGTGTTTCTCCCAGACCTCCTAGTTCTCAAGTAAATGGTACCCAAAAGGTAGTTAAAAACAGAGACGGATCGGATAAGAAGATAGAAAGTAACTCAACTTCAAAGGCGCCTTACGTGCCCCCATTATTATCACCGATTGATATATCAGACTACATGGACGATTCTAAGCCGTCGCGGCCTAGCCCTAAGAAGAAGCCGACGGATTCAAATGGCTTAAAACCGCCAGCGAAGAAAAACAGAGAAGATCGCGAGCCGTCTCCTAGCCCTAAGAAGCGGAAGATCCCGCCGCTCCTATCTCCGACGCTCCCACCTGTTGTGCTAGAGGAACTGGCGAAGGCAAAATCGGCCTCTTCAAAGGACTCGAGTCAAAAAAGCAGTCAGACTATTTCTGACTCTCCTAATGGACAGAAAAAGGCGGCGAAGGTTCCGAAGCGCGAAGAGACCATACATGTGGAAAGCGGCAAGGGGCAGCGGGAGTCACTTATGGTCTCGTTAAAGTATAAAAAGCGAAATGCCAAGACGATAGAACGGCTCTTAAATCTGCCTTCTGGCGGCAAGAGGAAGAGCGACTTATTAAGAAGAGATGAGCGCGTGAATCGCGATCGTTCCGATAGCTTGGAACCCGGTACTGCACGTAAGCGACCCGCGGCGGATCCTCCTAACGAAGCGATCAAACGGCCAAAAGCCGTAGAGAATCCACGGCCATCTACACCGCCGGGAAGATCATCTGCGATGACGCGAGCTGCATCCAATAGTTCTCAAGTTGGCACTCCAGGAGTTGCCAATGGTCTCACTCCAGCCGCGCTGCCACCCGACCGGCGCCGCCCACCTGTCGACCCAGAGAAGCTGCAGAGGCTACAATCGAGAGCCTTAAACTTCATTAGGCTTGGTACCCAGCTAAAACATGAACGCGATGCAGTATTGAAGAATCCGGGGGAGGGGGTTACGGAACGCGACCGCCAAGTTGCCATCGCTGCTGGTATTCAGTGTTTAGTCTCGTTTCTCCTCGGCTTTAAGCTTCAGAGCGATGTCTCAGATCTCGAGCGCAAACGAGCTTCAACCCGGTCAATGCGAGAACTATTACTATTATTCCGAGTAACGAGATCTGATTGCGCAAGGCACAATGCATTGACGGCATTAATACTACGGCTTCAGGGTATATGTCTTGTTTATATCGGTCGCATAATGTGGTCATACCCCAGTGATGCCGAGCTTGCAAGCCAGATCGTCGCGAACTGCAAGGAACAGCAAGAGATTTGGCATCAGGCCGACAGCGCGCGTAGAGCCATGGGTGTATATGATGGAAGTTCTAAGTCAGATGATGGAGGCTCGATAGGCAAGCTCATAGATCGACTTGGACCGTGGACGATACCCGAAGAAGCTATACCGGTTACTCTTGATGTTTTGCGCAAAGTCATGCAGGCTAACGGCCCATGGAAGCCAGCGGAGTCCCTAACTAAACTAGGACTCTCCACGACAAACGGGATTTCCACCTGAAACTGGAGCCAATGTTGTGGCCCTCGAGAAGACATGGCGGTTCTTACGGCGGTACCAATTCTCATCCTAATGTATATTACGAACCATGATTTCTACGACGTGATACCAAAACTCTTGCCTTACTTCCACCTCTGCAGCAACAATCCTTTCAAAGTTTGGGTTATCGGAACGTGAGAAATATCGGTCGAGGGCGACCCGGAATGTCATGCGGCGTCTCGCTGGAACGAACGGAATAGGGGTTTGGTTTTGTGATAGCGTATACAGGTACTGCGACTAAGGAACATATCTGTTTTTTGATTTTACGTGCGTGATTCTATCTATCTGTCGTACAGACAGACGAAGGAGTACAGAAAAGAAAAAAAGTTAGATGAAGCGGCGTTTCATAGGAGAGAAAGCGAACGGGAGGGAATCAAGATGGATGCTTGGCCCCTTCTTTCTTTTTTGAGCGTTGGCCGTTTGTGTATTCTGTTTTTTGTTTTTGTTTTTCTACCGTTTTTTATCCCGCAGTCGTACTTACTTCGATGATATCCCGCCGGCACGACCGAGCAAAATGGTACTTTAAATGACTACCTCGTTAACTTCATGTGGCCATTGCTCCTGTTGTGTTACGTATGTGATAAGTTTTGTGTAAATAAAGGGTATTTATTGCTACATAATTACGTCGATATCGACTCGGTTGGTAATGGTAATGAAATCCAGAACTAAGAATAAGTTTTATTTGGATTCAATATTATTGGAAAATCAGTTACTAAGTGGAATGACATGGCAGTCTGTCTTGCTTGAGCTAAGATAGTGGACGAGGTTTACAATATCTCGGTAGCCATGGTTAGGGAAGTAAGTGTCTCCGAAGTCCATATGTATACACGATACCCAAGTTTAGGAGAAAGGTACCTAATGCATGAGGATATGACAGAAGTGATAGAAACTAGAGGTCATCGTGAATTATTACTTCGAAGCCCATTGCTTAAATCCCTAAATGGCTACCTGACCTAACCTAATCATACATCGTACTATACTTAAATCATTACTAACGCCGTGGTATCATTTCGTTTTGCGGTCAAATTAAGACCTTGCCAATTACCTCCTTGGGTACCTAGGTACTTATACAAAGTCGGCAAGGCGAGTCCAACCCTCCTCGCCAGCCTCCCTAAACTCGACTCCCTCGCCGAAATAGCCCGCGTCCTGCCAGGCTTTCATCGTGGGCCCGTCGAAGGGCCCTTGCTTGTCGGCATTGTCTCTGCCGTCGATCCAGCGGTATTCCCACATCTTCGTGGCGGGCGCCGCCCCGTTCGGCGCCTTTTCCGGCTCCACCCAGGGCTCGTCCGCTTCGCGCGTGTACTCCCGGATCAGCCGCTCCCGCTCCCGGTCGTAGATGTCCGGCCGGTCTCGGCCGAGCAGCCTGTCGGCTGCTTCGGTGATCGCGTTGATGGCTTCCTTGATGCGCGTCTGCTCCGGGTCTTCGGGCGCTTTCTCGGCGTCCACCTCCATGGCCTCCGGCTTTTGTTGCTGCTGCTTCTTCTGCTTCCACTTGGGCACCTTCTTGGCCTTCGTCTGGCCCCGCCCCAGCCTGGCCAGCGCTTCCAGCGGCGTCTCGCCGCGCTCGAGGTGCAGGATGAGCGAGCGGAGGAGATCTGACGTCAGCACGCTGTCTTCTTCCCGGCGGCGCCGGCGCTGCTCCGCCTCGCGCTTCTCGTGCGCCGACGCCGCCTTCTTCATGTCCTTCTTGCTGACGCCCTCGAGCCACCGGTCGTGCACGGCGTCCGGGTCCGCGGCCTTGCGCACGAAGTTCCCGGCCTCGTCGAACCGGCCCTCCTCGTGCTCGGCCTTCAGGTTGAACGCCTCGACCTTGGGCGCGTGCTTCTTGAGCCCCCCCGCCCCGACCTCCGCGTCGATGCCTTCCTCTTGGATCGCCAGCTCGATCGTCTCCGAGTCCTCGTCCCCCGACGACTCCTCGTCGAGCCGCACGTGCCCGCCCGACTTGGACTCCGCCTCTTGGCCCTCGATGTCCGCCGTGTCCACGAAGTGGACCTCTTTGCTCGTCTTGCCCGTCGAGTAGTCCGCCTCGTCGTCTTTCTCGTCGCCGTCCTCGTCCGCCGCGAACATGTCGTCCATATCCTCGTCGTCGTCTTTATTTGACTTGGATTTGGATTTGAGCTTGGTCGACGCGTGCAGCGTGCCGAGCTCCTCGCGATCCGAGTCCGAGTCGTACCCGTCGATGTTGACGGCCCCGCGCTTCGTCGCCGCGCTCCCGCGGATCACGTCCGCGTCCGCCGCCAGGTAGTTGTCGTCGGCCTCGTCCTCGTCGTCTTCGTCCTCGGCGGCTTCGGGGGCCAGCGCGGATGGGTTCCGCATGTCGAACTTGACCTTTTTGGAGTTGGGCTCCGCGTGGTGCATCCGCGCGTAGTTTTCGCCGGCGCGCTTGGGACGCGCCGCGCTGAATCGGGAGGCCATGGTGGTTTTGTGGCTTGTGGTCGGGGTTGTCCTTGTGATTGAGGTTCGTTGAGGCTATCGTGGATGCCAATTACCTATTGCCAATTATTTAGGTAGTATGTACCTAAAGTTAGGTAAGTTTAGGTAAAGTATGGGTTAAGTTTGAATTGAGGCCGAGCCTCCAATAGTTAGCGAGATCGAGACCCAAAATATGACGTTGAAATTTGCCCCTGTTTTTTGTAGCTGCTGCTCATCGGCGGGGCCATCAAAGCTTACCTACCAGCCTACCTATGTACCTAGGTATTGTATCCCGTGTGCCGAGTTACATAAAAAGGTACATGTCCTAAGGCTGGCCAGGTGGAAAACAGGTAGGTACAGGTACCTAATACCCCTGACGGATTAATCCACAGGCCGAAGTTTCGTCATAAGCAGTTGCCCTCCGGTACATGTAGTACATGACCTGTTAGGTAGCTGTGAGGAAGGTCCAAGCAGCTTCTGTGAAGTTGTCATGGAAGCATTAAGTAATCGAACCCCCAAAAAAAGACGAACGTTTACATGTTTTCTTCCGACTATTCACATTTACATCCACTTTTTACATACATAATTCTTAAGCCTTTTCATCTTAAAAAAATTAAACAAAAATAAATAAATACGTCTCCATTTATTCCCACCAATCCTCCATCCTTCACACCTTTTTCAGAAGAGGTAAAAAAGAAAAAACCCCCCACCTCGTTATGGTTAGTTACACGATTACACCACTCAGTTCCTCTACTCCAATCTCTAGATTTCTCTGCTTACCACAATTCTTATTTCGTAGTACCGTGGATTCAACGCTTTTGACGTCGACGACCCGGACGCCATGTCGTACATGGCCCGATCTGGAATGATGCGCGGCCCGGCCATGCGCCGCTTCGACGAGTACTTCCGCTGCTACCCGATCATCATGGCCCCCGGGGCCGAGAGACCGGAACTGAACTACGGCTCCAAGATCTTCCTACCCCCGTCCGCCCTGCAGAAAATATCTCAGCTACACGTACAGTGGCCCCTTATGATGGAGCTTATAAACGGCGAGAAGGAGCGTCAGACACACGCGGGCGTGCTGGAGTTCGTGGCCGAAGAAGGCAGAGCGTACATACCACAATGGGTTGGTTTGGGTCTTGACAACGGATAGGAATGATCACATAGCTGACGGGGGTTTAGATGATGCAAACGCTACAACTGGATGTCGGTGACATGATCCAGATCAAATCGACGTCGCTGGAGCTAGCCAAGATGGTTAAGCTACAACCTCAGTCGACCAACTTCCTCGAAATTAGCGATCCTAAGGCCGTCCTAGAGAAGGCATTCCGAAACTTTGCTACTCTAACCAAGGGCGATATTTTCAACTTTGAGTATAACGACGAGGTTTACGAGGTAGCTGTATTGGAAGTGAAGCCGGAGACCGAGAAGATGGGCGTTTGTATGATAGAGACTGATGTTTCAGTCGAGTTCGCACCACCGGTAGGATATGTCGAGCCGCAGAAAGGTAGCGGTACTAGTACACCGAGAAGCACGAGGGGTGGCCTACCCGCTGGCGGGCTTATGCATCCCCAAGGGACGATGGCGCAGTCCATTAACTACGATGCGATCGCCCCTAATTCTGCAACGGCCGCTGCGGGAGCCCGAGCAGTTTCGTCTCATTTCTTAAATGAGGGCCACAAGCTAAACTCCAAGAAGGGCTCCAAGGCCCCAACCCCAAAACCTACAACGCCTGTTGCCGGTGCTTCCACAAACGCAGTGCCCGTCCCGCGCCGACGGACGAATGGACCTATGCCTCTCCGCTTACCTCCGAACAAGTTGTTCTTCGGCTACGAGGTCAAGCCCGTGAAGACTGACGCAGACAAGGAGGCAGACAAGGAGAACGCGAGTAAACCGCACTTCGCGGGGCAAGGCCAGACCCTTAGAGGAGCCGTCAAGCGGAAGGGCGAGGGGGAAGATAAGGGCAAGACACCAGAGAAGAAGCCTCAAGAGGGACGTCGGCTGGATGGGCGAAAGGCGTGATGATATTGGACCAGGAGGGGGCGGGGGGTTGTGCCAGGCGTTTATGGAGTTTTCTAGGTAATCCTGCGGGTCTGGTAGATTAATATGACGACTACGATATTCTCATGAAATATTTATTAACATTAACATTATTGAGACGAGTTAGTTGATTGGGGTTGTCAGTTTGCTTTGATGAGCTATAGAAAGGATGTACTCGCACGGGCTCGCTTCACTATGAGGATTAAGTCTAGCCTAAAAAAAATTTATATACAGATAGATGAAGCTTGAGGGATGTTAATTTTGACACTCTACCATGGAACAGAATATCTAGATCGACGAATGACCCTGGAGACGTCTTCCTGCCTATCTCAATGAGAAGCTCAAGCGAGTCCATTACTGAACATTATATACGGCAAAGAACTTTTCAATGACGTAGTCTCTTCTCCAATACGTCTCGTATGCAGTCACTTTTGAGAGCCTCGCAGTGCCGTAGTGACCTAGTAGACACGTCGCAAGAGGCGAACAAACATTCCCAAGAACGGTAATGGAGACGCCTAGTAACTGGGTGCTATTAGTTAGTTCAACTTCGTTGAAGCTAGCCTCTAGAGATTGATCTAGCATGGCTTCTAGAAGCTTGGATTTCATGGGCACTTTTATAAAGAGTAGAGAGTAGGACATATTTGGAATAGCCTGATGTTACTAAAAGTAAGTTCACTTTTACAATATACGCTAGCCATAACTACAATCATTGCCTAGAAGCAATAGGGATGAGAGTTTACTGGCTTGTAAACTTGCCAAACTTACTTAGAGCATATGATCCCGAATACTTTAAGAGCGATGCAAGCCATAAAAGCTTGGTATAGCTAGCCGGAGGAAAGACACAATAAATTTTGCCATCTTATAATAGTCATTCTTGGTCCCCTTTTCTACGTAGTACTTAACAATAGAAGTAGGTGTCATAATCGAGTTAGAATCCTCCAACTTCAATCTGAGCAGTATATTGGGGTCTACGACGAATCAAAAGCCAAACACGAGTGAATAGTTGCAAAGCGAGTTAGTTAATCGAAAAGTTCTAGATTTCAACTAGTCATTGCCATAATAAAAATATATACCTATGTACATGTGAAAAAGGGTTATATGTTATGTTAGGTTACGTATTCCTACAACGAAGCGAATAAAAATATCGAGTCTTTCAAGACTCGTCGCAGATCTCTGATCTTTATCGTTTAGATACCTAGATACCCAGGTAGGCAACCTAGCAAGAGGCACCGCCCGAGGGGATGTTGGAGCATGCGGTGCTCTTCTTGCCGCCCTTAACGCTGACGCCCGACCACGACCAGTTGCTGCACGAGCCCTTGCCGCAGAGGATGTACACGTTGGTGGCGCTGCTGGACACGGTGCCCGTGACCTTGTTGAGCTTGACGTCGGTGATGGGCACGCCGGTGGTGGGCTTGCCCGTCGGGCTGCCGTTCTCGTAGTCCTGCTGGATGACGATGCCGTACTTGGAGATGTTGCTCAGCGTGATGTCCGAGTACGTGATGTTGTTGACCACACCCGTGGCGCCCGACACCGTCTTGATCCGCACGCCGTTCTGCGAGTTGCTGATGCTCGACTTGGAGATGACCACGTTGCGCACCTCGTTGTCGCTGCGGCCGCCCACCGATCCGATGCTCAGCCCGTGCCCGCCCGAGCAGCTGCCCCCCGTGAACTCGATGTTCTTGCCCGAGTTGACCGCCAGGCAGTCGTCCTGATTCTTGACGTTGGCCCCGATGATCTTGACGCCGTCCGAGGACCCGACGTCGAAGGCGTCGGTGTTGTGGCCGCCGGCCGAGTCGCCGGCCGAGTTGTCGATGGTGATGTGGTCGAGGGTCAGGCCCTGGGCGTTGTTGATGGAGAAGCCGTGGACGGGCGTGTTCTTGACGTTGAGCTTGTTGATGGACGAGGACTTGAGGTTGTGCGCGTAGAAGAACTTGGGCTTCTTCTTGCCGCCGTTGCTGCCCTTACCGTCCCACCACTTCGCGCCCTGCCCGTCGATCACGTGTCCGCTCGCGCCGTTCACGGTGATCTTGGTGCCCGAGACGCTGATGAGGGGACCTTCCCATTCCTTGTACCCGAAGGTGGTGGTGCCTTGGAAGGTGACCGTGGTCCCGTCGCTGAGGCCCGTCAGGTCAAGGGTCTCTCCGGCCGGGACGGTGATGCCGTTGAGCACGATGTTGGTGCAGGACTTCTTCTTCGAAGCTATGGTGTCGATGGAGGTGAAAGTGCAAGTGCTGGCTCTCTCGTTGAGAACCGAGCTAGGGGCCGCGAGGGCCAGAGTGGCGAAGCCGAGAACAGCGAGGTTATGCATTGTGTATAGTTGGGTTGGGTATTGGAAACGCGTCTGTGGTTTGCCCAAAGGAACGAGAGTGTCGACTAATGCGAAAAGAACGAAGTTATATATTCTCTCTGAGCGTGAGTATAGAAAACGAGGGACTAGCCTGGAGAAAGAAAGGAGTGAATGACTTGTTCGAGTCGCTATTATTCTACTTGTAGCAGTGGTGTCTATTGGTGGGAAAGTTCGAGAGACATCAACAATTTATATACACCTGCCCCTTTTGCGAAGTGGTACGACGACCTCCGAGTATTTGCATTCAAGGCAAGGTCCGTGATTCGCACGGGAAGCTGGTGAGACACGGAAGTGGAGGAAACGTTGATCACTTTGCTAGTGGACCACCTCCACCTGGGTCCATGTAGCCCACCGGGATGTTCCCTGGCTTATTTAACGTGACGACGTTAGTATTAGAGCGTGGGCTAGCTAGGCTTTAAAGGGAGATGGAATTACGTACGTAGCCAGGTGTTAGTATCAACTCATGATGAGAGGTTCATGCGATACTATGATGATTAGTGGAGGATAATATAACTTCAAGGATCATGCAGGGGCCTTGCTGATCCGGAGAATACCCAGCGTACGCTATCATTCGATCTTGGGATGGAACGGCCCTTAGCCGGATTGCGGAAGGATACCGAAGGGTTGGAAACGCTAGGCTAGGGTCCATGTTGAATTCCCCACCGTCGTGATACAAGAAGGCTTCTTCGAAGACGTATACCCGCTCACTTACCGCTAGTCTTTAGATCTATGTAGAACATTAAACGAGATGGTTGCAACGTCAACTAATAAACCACCAATAGGCGTTTTGGGTAGTTTCCAAACTCGATGATACTGTCGACTAACCTGGATAGCCTTGATGAGAATTAGTAACCCGGCTTGAATAAGAGGAGAATCCTATTAGTAACCGGAAGACTTATAGCGAAAGCATGGCAGAATTTTTAATGATAGTTGCGTAAAGGAGAAGTCATATCGCACAGTTAAACTGGGTACCTAACTAGCTGACTCAAGTATCAATTCGCGTCTACTTCGCGTCCACCATCATCGAACTCTTCGGAATAACCCGCATGAAAATCACTGGTCAATATCACATCTGTGGGCCGCGGTAACTCTTATGAATGTAAAGCCTGAGACACCTCAACGTAGATGACGATGTGGACACAACGCGGAAATTAGATGAACGCAAAGCTCTCGTTCATGCAAAGGACCCAGCTCTCAGTCTTCATCTTAAATAGGAGGCGGTCGTGATATTTAGGTAGCAAACGAGGACAGTCTTTTCACTCGTGATAAGTTGGAAATTAGTTCAAGTCTCGAAATCGTCAAAATTGTCTGGTAAAGGTGGTTGATTAGCATCATCATCTTCGCGAGTAGAGGCAGCCGAAGAGGAACCAAGGAAGGAAAGTCATGGGTTCCTGTTTTTCGAGCTGAGCTGTAGACTCACCCGAATCTTTGTCATCCTGAGAAGGCGAGGGCATATCATCGTCCTCGAATTTCATAGAGATACTTCTAAAGCAGTTAGTCGATATGCCACTGTATTATTACGCCTCCAGAACAGACCAGTGTAAGGTTAGGTGCTTACTGGTTCTTGGATCGTTTCTTAGGAGTCTTCTGCTCTTCATCGTCCTCGTCGTAGTCAACTGGTATCTTAGTCTTACGTTTGGTGCCGGCGCCGCGGCCGCGACGAGCGGGGGCGGCAGTTGCCTTTTTCTTGGTATTAGGCTGATTGGCATCAGGAGAGGCGTCGGGACTAGCGGCCCCCTGACACACCACCTTTTCATCTCTGATCATCTTCTGGAAGTGCTGTCTATAAATCCAAGTTAGCTCGCTCCGTGAATGAAAAGAATCGAGGGCTAAAGACATGTGTAGTGGAGAATAGGCTAGCAGGCATTTGGGCGGAAAGTGAAGCTATGATACAGGTGCCGCAAGAAGCTCCACGCAAGAAAGCCACCGCTGAACAGCTAGAAGTGAGGAATCCATATTATTGCGTAACTAATCGAATGATTCAGGTAGATAATCGCATAGCAGAGAATGAAATGGGCTTGCAATGCTGCAATATTGACAAAGAGCTCATCCCAAATCATGATACATCATATGCATCTAGATCAGCCGGCCCGATCATTCTTTGGACGTGGCAGCAGTGTTGATGGATAAAGGTAAGGAGGTTGATGCTTCAGGCATGTTGGGCAACACCGTAGCCAATACATACTTGTGAGATAGAAAAGACCGGGATGAAATAGCGAGAGAAAGAACGTATATCATACCTCATTCCGTTTGCAGTCATTCCGTGGCCCATCTCACGAAGCTTTTCTGCAATTTGCTCCTTTTGCTCCGGCGTCAACTTGGCGACTTCCCAGACAGCTCTTGAAACGTCGCGGTAGACCTCAAACGACCAAGTTGTCCCGTTCTTCGGCATGGTGACGACCTGCGTTAGAGTTGGTTTATCGATGTCAATATAAGAAGGCTTGCAGAAGTAAAGGTGCAAGAGGCAGATAATATCCTTAAGGGTGTGATGGAGAAAGATGAACAGCTCAGGTTATTCGTTGGCATATAAACCAATAGTTATTGATACGTGCCTGGAATCAAAGTGTGTTACCTGCTTGCAGAAGATACGCACTGTTTGGGTAGGAAGGCGCGAAAGAGATTAGAAAGCGTGGGATAGACGAGATGATGAAATGAACGAAAAAGGTCGCGTAAGATAGACTGAATAGGGCATGAGGAAGGTGGGAGATCCAGATGTGACGGAATTTGCGTCTTGTGACTTGTGATGTAAACAAGCTATGTAGAGAATCCTGGCTATAAGTAAGCACCTATGTAGGTGATGAATTTGCTCCGGTAGTCCTTCCACCAACGTATGCGTATGCCGTCTATATTAACAAACTGCATGGGGTATACGTATATGTGTGTATCCTTCTGGACTTCTGCATTCGTATCTTTCTCAAATATATAAATAAGGAATACTAAAGGTCCTTTCCTAAAAGATGGCTGAAATTACTGGCCATCTACGAAATATATCCCGATAACTATCCCGCTCACAACTCCAAATGACCGGTAGATGTGATGCCGCACTGTTGTACAGCAGTTTCCTGGATACATTCCTCTGATTCTCCCATTCCCTAGAGAAGCAAACGTGAGTATTCGTGCTCTATTGACTTCAGATTAAAAACAACGCAGCTAGAATAAGCAACCATATAATGTAGACCGATAACTACTGAAATGTCGCTGGGTGGCTATGGTCTATTAATTATGCCTTTCAACAAAGGGTTCAATATAATTATATGGCGAATTCTTGAATCTTTTGGATTTTTATTCTAGGTGATAAAAATCCTGCCTTCGTAGGAGGTAGCTTATGTTTAGGCGTCCTCCCTGAGAGCGGAGATGATTGCTCAGTAAACGGATTGCAATTGCTATGCTTCGCCATAGTATCTACTACTCGCTTAGTTCTAAACGTGTAAAAATGAGCGGCGGACATAAGACTTACTCTGGATCATAATGATCGTCTGGTCCGGATAACCCGTCTGCTGCTAACGACAGGACAGCTGCGTCATCTGTCTGCTGTTGATCTTCTTCATCGAGGCGCTGACGCTTTGACGGTTGTTCGTCAAGACCGGAGTTGTCATGCACAAGGCCTAACGAATCGGCCTCCTCGACAGGGATCTGAACGGACATGCTATGATGTGAAGCAGTTGCATCCGACTGGGCATCCTGACCCTGGCCTTGCTGTACTCCTGGGGAAGACATAGGGTCAATACCAGCGATGGGTGCTGGTGGCTGTTTCCTAGGTCGTCCACGACCTGGACCGGGGCGCCGTGTGATAGGGTTGAGAGTGGGATCAGATCTGCGCTGATCTATACCACCATTCGGCTCAGCCTTATGCTGGGCCCTGCGAAGGCCTTGGAAGTGTTGCCTAGCGTATGTTACTTAGTTTCTGCATCGTAATAAGTGTATCACACATTATAGATGCTATGTAGATGTGATGTTGTACATGTTGTGAAATGAATCTAGATGGTCATCTCGACCTTCTACTTTTGGGTTACAACGCGTCAAGTACTCCAGTTATATACCAGGTAGTTATTGAGCAGCGTGAACGTTAAACAAAACCCTGTGTTTAATTGTGCGACTTGACACATTTTCTGATAGCTGATCTATCTTCAGCATATCGGAGCGGTAGGCTATTATATGATTGACCTAGTGCATTGCCGGATACGCTAAAGGGGAAACGGAGATGGATGGAAAATGCATAAACCGGATAAGGTAGGACAGTAAGACGATTAGGTGCTCTGAATTTGGACCAGGTACGTGGGAAAAGATGCAGAAATGCAGAGATACAGAGAAAAAGGAACGGGTTTTACTTACCGGCATCCTTCATTAGTAAAGCCATATCCTAACGATCGCATATGATTACCGATGGTAGTCCATTCTGCGCCACTTATTACGCCGATGTTCTTGACAGAAAGTATAGTGAAAAAGAGATCTTTATCGGCTCTGTCGTTCCAATTTTTGTTCATTTTGGACCTTTAGGTAGCTCGGAGCCTTAGAGGCTAGAGCTTGAAGAAGGCTGGTACTAGGTAATGGTACTAATGGTACTAAGCTGCTAAGGTAGCGATGTGGAAACAGCTATAACAATAAGCTACACTCTTCACGTGCGAATTAAGAAAATTGATAGAGATGGGAGCTTTTAAGAGGTTGAGAAGAATGGGTAAGGGAGCTTTGAATTGGAGCTACCTGAATTACGCGGTCCTGAGAGGGTGTGATAAAGTGGGTCGAGTCCTTTAGCGTGGTTGTTCGGTCTAACCCCGAATGGAATTGAGATTAGCGCGTTACCCTTTTCGGGTACGGCTTATTTGATGATCCGGAAGGTTCAAGCTGGAGGTCACGATTTCGGGAGTTAGGTACCTACAGTAGGGAGTTATAGCACTTAGATACCGATCATGTGACTTTGAACTTAAGCCATGCGTCAACTGGAATTGTGTAATGATGCGGTCATAATAAGGTATCATGATCAGGAAACATTTCAAAAGTCGTGCATTCTCCAAATGTGACTTGAAATCGACTACGGTTAACCCTTTCAAAAGTTTTTTCCATAAGGATACCCTTGTCACCTGTCAACTACACCTGCCAAGACCCACTTCCAAGTGTTAAAACTGGATAACCTCGCTGTCGAAAAACTCGAATAACATTAAATATTTAAGATATTATAATTAATTTAAATATAAATATTAATTATAATGTGTTTACTTGTAATTCGTTTTATAAAAAGGCTATTTAATGTTAATAAATATGATAAATTATAAAGTAGCAAGTTTAACAGCTAACGCGACAAGTGGCAGCGGGCACGTGCCATCGCCCTATGGAAAAAACTTTTAAAAGGGTTATCCGTAAGTTTACTTAGCTTTAGGTCAGCCGGGAATTTGCCGCGTTTCCCGGTACATCGTCACAATTCCTATTACGAGGTAACCACTACATAGTAGTTACATTATGTACCTAGGTACCCAGCTTTTTACTTTTCCACGGCGCTTTCTTTTCTTTCCTCGTTTCCTTCTGAGAAGACGTTAAATGCATGCACTTAAATCTCAAAATGGAAAAGTGTACTCATCTTAAAACATCACGTGAGAGCGTGAGGAGACCCTGCAACACAGTGCTATAAATGTCTACTCCAACGCGTCTTAATCCCAACTGCCCCCTTTTGCTTTTTTGTATTACTTCCCCCTCCAAGTCTTGTATCTTATTCGTATCTCATTTGTATCTACATAATGTATTCAACTAAGCCGATCACCTATTTTATCTTCAACATTTTATGTCATACATTAATGACCTCGGCGCTATTAGGTACTTAAGGTAATCATCATTCGGTCACAAAAAAAGCAAGGCAAACACAATAATAAGCTATTTCGAACCCAAAAAACATTTCATAGTCGCGCAAAGCCAATTTCTCCGAGGGATCAAGAAGCAAACACCAACAAATGTGTTGAGAGACGAGTCGGCAGAGGAACATGGTGGTTCTCTCATGATTCATCTCACTAGCTAATTCCAGTACTATTTCAAACTTATTGGAATAACTGGCTGCAGCCTGCAGGACTAGCTACCTAGTACCTGAAAGCCTCTCAAGATAGGGACAAGGTTGTTACCAGATCGAGCATGCATATCGTTGAATGACTGCTGACGATCTCTGCAAAACTACTGCAGGGCAATTGCGCATTAGGACATAGTAAATCCAAGGTATCCGCTTAGAGGCAGACAAGAAGTAGTTGTTTACAGGTACACCAATCATTAATCTTGACCATCACCCAATCGAGGAGTATACTCGAGTACCAAGTCTCAAATTCTTTCGTGACTCACCTCTCGTTCCACTTCAAATATCTGGTGGTATCCACCCTACTGCAACAGAACGTACCTACCTATCCCTTTACTCAAAGATACCTATACTCAATACATAATATAGGAGTAGAGAAGGAACGAAGGAACGAAAGCACGTGTTGCCAGGTACACCGTACTGCAGGGGGGGCTAGAAACCCACTTTACGCGGTATGCCGCGTACCATCCCACTTTCGCGCAACCACCCCACCAACCCTTTTCTCTTTTCACCCCTTGATCTCTCCTTGATCTCCTTGGCCAAGACAAATTTCGTTCACAATGTTCGCCTTGTTGAGGGTTGGAGTTGCTGGGCAACCGTGCCCTTTCATACTGTTCGTCATATAGACCCATTAATGATAATCCTAGTGCAAGTAAGCGTGCTTTTCATGCAAGCATTTAAAGAAGCCCTGTCAATATCTATTGCCGACCCTTCTCTTCGAAGAGAGAGAAAAAAAAGCAACTAGCAAACCCGTACTAGACGCGTTTCTCTCCCTCTTTCGTCTTAGGCTTCGCTCTTTTATCATCAGAATAACGAATACAACACTCTTTTAGTCCCTTTTATCTCGGCATCAAACGGCTTCTTGATCTTGTCACGGACCATCTAGCTTGTCTCCACCCTTTCGTCATATTTCACCTCACCGAATTCGATCGACGGTTTGGTGTGATCCCTCTCAACGACCTCTCAGGCCTGATAGAATTTATCTAGGAGCTCTTTACATATATTTCACCAACTCTCCCTCACCGACTTTCACGTCTACTCTGTTCGTGACTCACTCATTTCATTTCAACTCCATATGTTCAGACTATCATTGAGGTTGAGGGCTCTCTCCAGACACTTTACACCTAGCTGTGCACTTCTTATTGAGAAGACTCGCCCTCTCTAAACCTCATCCATTACACCGTTCTCGAGATATTTCTCTAGCCGCAAGCCGGCACAATGTCCGCCAACAATGATAGCACTATGTCCAGATTCCTATTTGCGATTCTGAAGCAGAAGAATCTCAAGGATGTAAGTCCAAGATATAGCTACCTAAGCTAGCTACAAAGAGCATTCTAGATTCCCGAGCTCTAGATTCATTAACAAATATCTTAGATAAATTGGGAGGCGGTTGCTAAAGATGAAGTTCTGGAAAAGCCAATCACCAATGGCCATGCCGCTCGAATGAGGTTTTCGCGTTTCCGAAATGCTATACAAGGCAATGAACCCGCCAAACGAAATCGAACGGGGCAAAACAAAAATCGAGTAAACAAGTCAAAGAAAGATCCGAAGGAGAAGAAGGATGTACGTGTCAAATTGGAGGGCGCCTTGCAGTTCCTCCCAGACTCATCGGCCACACCAGAGCCGTCTGAGACGCCCGCTCCCGAGATCAAACAGGAGAGGGTTCCCTACAACTTGGGAGACCGCTTCACTCCGCGTCTCACCCCGGGGCCATCTAGCGCAATGCTAGCTGCTTCAGTATTACAGAGCAATCATGGTGTGATTCAACCTAGATTCCTTACGCCGTGCAGTGATACAGACTTTTTCTCTCCATCTCCGGCCCTCACATCCAGCCCCACGGGCGATATGATTGCTTCTCCAGCTTCATTCAGTTTCCGCGACTCGCCATGTCCTGAACGCCCTGATCCGATGTGGTCGAGTGTCCCGCATTATTCTGCCTACGGAGCTGGTGCCTCTTTTGAGGACTTTAGATCTAGTCCTTGCGAGGGACCCTACGCGCACTCTCATTCACAACCCCCCCAGGGACATCATCCATACCGGACGATCGAAGTCGATGAAGATTACGTCTTTGTGAAAACTGAGCGGGAGGAGTGCCCTTGATGGGGCATGGACATGTCATTCGTATGACCTGGACAGGCTGGTTTGGGGGTTGGGTTGCCATCTCACATAGTTACCTATATGTTGTGTGGGCCACGAGCTTGTTTCTACGAGGAATTGGCCGAGGGAATAGTTGAATTGCTCATCTGCTATGAGATGTTATCATTCTGGCTGCCAACTACGAAATTCGGCGTTTGGGGATGTCAATCTAGTTTTTAGGGGGGGTGGGTTAACGCTCATGATTTTTGCAGCATGATCTTTGTAAACTTATTGCTTGGATGATGATATTTCGGCGTTCGGAACTTAGGGTTACCTTGGCTTGGTTGATGGATCGGGATACACAGCATGTATCATTGGCAACGTAGTGGTGGTCAATATCACTCTTTAAAAAAATATTCTATGAGCATACCGTGCTTTGCCTAACGTTTATGACGTCTTTACCTAAGCTAATAAGAACCCCTTAATGTAATATGCATTTAAATCGGCCCTACGAGCTGAACAACTTCCCGGGAATATGATTCGTAAAAGACTGTAGCAGTAGCTGAAAGGTGCTGAGAAACTGGACCAACCGCATACTGTCGGGGTTTACTAACTACCTGAAATGCTCCTTCATTACGACTCTTTAGATCACTTGACGTTGTTATCTATCCGCCTTAGGCAGGACATGCCGTAGTTAGAAGCAGGGGCCGTGCGCGGGATCCATCGTGAATTCTGACATATCATCTTCAAACTTTCGGTATCTCTTCGTATCCAAGTCCTTTAGTACCTACCAAGATCGCGATCCCGCACAATCCGATGTTACCGTCACCATTGTCTACCTAGTTACCTGGTAGCGGGGTAGCACTTGAGAGGCAACTTGCAAATAAGATTCACGCACCGACCCGGAGTAGGTACCCCAGCAATGAGGGGGCGTACTAGGGAGGGTAGCGCCTATCGACGATCCAAGATCTGGTATCTAGATGCGTAACAGGGCTGAAGTGGAATGTGACATGGGTCTGTCAGCCTCAAAATGCCCTCGACAGCTGAAGAATAAGGGGCCCATGCGCAGCAGATAGGTAACAAAACGTATGTGGCGTGTGGGGGAGGTCACGTTACCCCCCTTCCTCCTTTCCCCCCTCTCTTTGATTCCGGGATCTTTCTTCATCATAGCGGTCTTTCTAATGCAGGAGACTAGGCTAGATGCCCGGATGCTCTCGAGAGTCTGTGAATAAAGCTGTGATAAGCACGGAAGTGGCTTGAGGCCTACATGATGTACCGTGTATGTACCTCCCAAGTCTTGCAAGCGGGACAGAATTTGTTGAGAGAATCCAAGTTGTTGTTACCTAGTTGCTTCGTTAAGCCACGCTTCCCGGGCTTCTCCCCACTGTCGCACAGACAATGTGAAGGATGGTAACGTCACGAGCGGCGGAAAACGGGGCCGGGCCGTAAGAGGTAGGACTTGAAGTCGTGCAGAAAGTGCAGGCCGTTCTGGAATTTGCACGCGTTATCTACCTGTTACGAGGTAGGCGCCTATCGTGGGAAGGCGTGGTCAGAAGCCGGGCGAGATCGTCAAGCCATGTATGTACGCTCAGATGCCTCGTTCACTGCAATTCACCCGATTGAGACACGGATTTCAGAACTCACTCTCCGACTCTTCCAGATATCACTAGTATCTATCTCTGTATGCAGGAATCCGGGGTCATAGTCCTAGCCTAAGAAATACACTTACAGCATTCACATTCACATCCACACCACTCAACGTAGCACAGACCTCGCCCAGTTAGCTAGTCACGATCATCTGCTGATAGATGTAGGGGTGGCTATCGACCAACCGTGGATTAGCAAAGTCTAGCCTACAGCTACCATCTATTTAGGCCTAGCCTAAACTTACCTCCTAATTCAACCATCATCATACCACCATCTATTGCTACTCATCCCCGAAGCTTGGCTTAGCTGATTACGGACGTTGCCCGGCGCTGCCGTAACGCGGGAGCTACAACCCCCCTTCCCAATCAACTATCGTGGAATTCTAAATATGACATGTCTATAGTGATCAAACACGGTGTCTTGGCGCCATAGCTCAGCCCTACGAATCTGGGCCGCGGGGTTATTTCCAGGAAGTCTTACATAGGAGGTACCTACCTAATAGAATCTGCTCAGGCCCTCGTCTGCCCTACTAGTGTTAATACTCCCATCCACCACATCTGGGGGGGTCACACTATTCTAGCATACATGTACGACGAAGGGGGGGTGGAAGAAATTTGTTTCCTTACCTTTTTGGTTGCCTTGTGACATTGCCACTTAGCGGGCGTCGACATCCTGGACGGATTCCCGCTTCCTCTTGCACGATTCTTGATTCTTTTACGTTTCAAGCTTGCTCAAGTGATCATATGTATTCCCTCTTGGTAGCGGGGTTAATCATTGCGATATCTTATTCATGAGAGAGACTTGATGTATAGCTCAGGAACGTACTAGAGTAGGTAAACTATCAGAGGTTAGGTATCAAATATAAAGAACAAAGGAGATATTTGTATATATAGTTCTGGGAACTAGAGCTATCTTGATTAGAGCTCCTTGCGGAGCAACTAAAAGTCGTTTCCCTTGGGTACATTTTGCTCCACTTCGTGGCAGTTAAGCGAAGTTTGTCTTTGGTATTAGATTTGTTCGGAGCCATTCCACCCCAAAAGTTCTCCGATCCGAATACTCAAGACCAGAACAACTGCGACAGTCGATAATGTATACGGTTCAGCTATAAGACATAGGTATGTGATCTCGAAGAAGGTCGGATAAGGAGTAAGAGTGACAAATGTTGAATTAAAAATCATCAACGCAGCTTTTTGAGAATATAAGCTAATGGGTAATTCAACAAGAAGCTCTATTGAACTTATGGAGCTTCTGACCTATTGCATATATAACTGGGCCTGAGGGGTCAGCTAGTGTTTATATGAATTGCTAGTCGTTTTTTGAGGATATTTAGCATTGACTTAGTATAAATAACTTCATATCCAAGCTCTACACGTCTAGCCTCCAGATATGTTTAGGATCTTTGTAGATTTGGTACGTTGTTGATTCAGATTGTTTGTTGTTTCAGTCGGTGGCGGCTCGTCGAAATCTGGTTCTCTCTCGGGAGGAACCGAAAACATCCCGAACTTCCGGACCGACTAACATCTATCGGCAGTGGAGCCAAGAAGCTAAGCCAAAAGGGCAAAGAGTTGAAACACCAGAGACGCTAGCGGCTTTGAAAAGCCAGGAAAGGAAACATCCCGAATAGACAAGCCTAGATTAAAGAACGCAACTGTCACATGATATGTGACCCTAGACCCATATATTATAGTGGGGGTACCCACTCTACACATTCCCATCTCCCATATCCTAGATAGTTACCCATCTTAGAGAATAGAACAACCATCACAATACTATCGTACTATCATAATTGCGTGACAGCAACCCGGAGCCATCTTGCTAGTCTTTAGGTGTGTTGTCGGTGAGGAAGCAGGGAATACCATGATAGCCAACAATCGATTGATTGGGACAGGCCTTCGGGTTGGATAATAATTTGGGAGACCCAGAAGACTTCTAACAAGTTCCGAGGTAAAAGAGGACAAGTGGCAACTGGATATAACGAATGTTGTTTTGATGCTTTCGCATTTTCGGTATTCTGTTATGGGCCGGAGGACCCGGAGGTGGCATCCCCTGAGTTAGCAGTATTTATATACAAGGTACCTACCTAACCTAACCAGCTACTAGATTTTTCAGATTTTGACTAGTTACCGGGTTATGCAAGTATATTGGCTTTGCGTGTCATGACATTTTAAGAAAAGAGATATTAATTCGAGCGGCATGGGGCGATAACTCGAATTGAATTAGTAGAAGTTAAAAGACTTCGCAAAGTACATAAAGTAGAGCGGTGTAGAACTCATTTGATATGCGTATGAAATCTACGCAAGTATCTTTTAAGATGCAACGTACTATGTAGGGAAACTGCCCAGATTGAAAGATATCTATTATGTAACTAAGGTCAAACGATGTTTTCGGTGGTTTTTCTTGCGCCATCAATGCTTAGTTGCTTACCCTGGTTCATACCTATGCATATCTATATACCCCTGACTATCCTCGTGATAGCAATAAACTCAACCAAACTTCACGAATGCCAACATGCGAGGAAAGCTAGGGTGCAAGATGAGGATATGGTAAAAATATAGTTTTGGTGGTATTCTTCTGTCATGCGGAGATAACTTCATTATCACCGCTAGGTCCATCGTATTAGCAAAGAAAGAAAAAAAGATTTGCAAAAATACCGAGGAGTTACTACTAGTAAGTATTAGGTTACTTCCACGTGCTATGGTTGTTACTAGGTTATTTCTCGATTTCCTAGCGCCATACTACGGGATACTATGTAGTACCTAATGTACGTGTCACATATCTGTCACCGCAGATATCCTAGCTAAGGTAAAACTCCTATTCTGTCGCTTTACTAAGGATACGCGCATTAGCCTGCATAACCCACCTAAGCCAATGACGTTTAACATCGAACCTTAATACACCGTGAATATGCCTATCTACCTTTTTTTTTTTTTTTTTCTTCGCGCAATTTCTATCTCTCGCAAACCTTCCAGCCTTTCCTGTATAAGAATTAGATTGTATTTGTTTAGTCAGCCTTTACTAGTCTTGGCATTAAAGTCCGATACAGTAAACCCGATCAAAGTTAAATCCGACATCACGTATCTTAGCGGATCGTACGGTTTAGGAATGTGTTACTACTAAATTTTCATGGATAGGTTAGGTAACTATCGCCATCAATGGTCGCGATGCTAGTTTTGTCTCTAAAAGACCAGAACCCACCCCCTTTCCCCACCCTTTGTACTTTCTCTATCCATATATATATGATTAGTACATGTAGATTTTCATCGTAGAGGTTGCTTACAAAACACTTGTAACTTGCTCTCGAGGTCCATACAAAAAAGACTGCCCTGGCAGTTTCCATTTATTTCCGGCTACTGAAATTCTCAAGGTAGGCATAATGTATTCAGTAATGTATTGGAACTTCTATCCACTACTACCTCCACTTAGCGTGATAGATCAGAAATCCGCAACAGGTTTTTTTTAGACTAGAAGGGGGATCAAACTTAGAATATTTATGGGATGAGTCGGAAGGGGGTTGTCGTCTTTCTTCTACTTAAATGTAGACCACCTGCACTGAAGTTCGAGTCACAACAAACTTTAAGGATTCTTTTGAAACTTAGCAATACCTAGATCTCAATATTAATACCCTACCTTTGAGAGAAGTCACGAAAATTTTGGTTATCTCAGTCCACCTCTAAATCGTCATATATCTTCAGCATGTCGGCCCCGGAGAGCTACAAGTTCCAAGGCTGGCTGGGCAAGTCCCCAGAAGCCGTCAACGGAAAGATGTAAGTAGTACCTAATGAGAAAAGGCTATTTTGCCGTTGTCCTCAATGCAACCGGAGTCGGTTATTTTTTCCCTCCTATACACCAGAAAGAGAGACAGATGTGCTATGTTCCCGAGATATATCCGAAATACTTGAAACTTCCCCCTGAGGTGCATAATGGCTAACTGATTGACCAGGGAGTGGGGCGAATATGAGCCCAAGAAATGGACCGAGGATGATGTGGATATTGAGATCTCCCACTGCGGTATTTGCGGCAGTGACTTACACACGTTGAAGTCTGGCTGGGGACCGACACCCTACCGTATGCTTCCCTTTCGACCCGTCAAGACTAGTTTGTTCCTTTGCTGACATTTCGCAGCTTGTGTTGTGGGCCACGAGATCGTTGGCAAGGCCGTGCGCGTAGGAGCGAACGTTAAGCACGTCAAAGTTGGTGATCGCGTCGGAGTTGGTGCGCAATCAAGAACTTGCCAGAAGAGCACCTGTCCCGCATGCTCGAACGACTTGGAGAGCTATTGCGGTGAATTATTGGTCAACACTTACGGCTCTGATTACCCGAACGGTGAAGGAAAGAGTTACGGCGGCTATGCTGATTACAACCGCGCCAACGGCCATTGGGTCTTCAAGATTCCAGATGAAATTGACTCAGCTGCCGTTGCGCCCATGCTATGTGGCGGAATCACTATGTACTCGCCCTTGAAGCGGAATGGCTGCGGACCTGGCAAGACCGTGGGAATTATTGGCGTTGGCGGTCTTGGTCATTTCGGTATTCTCTTCGCCAAAGCATTGGGTGCCGATAAGGTCATAGGCATCTCGAGAAAGGCGGACAAGAGGGAGGATGCGTTGAAGCTTGGCGCCGATGAGTATATTGCCACGGACGACGACAAGGACTGGGCGAACAACAACCGAAGAACAATGGACCTCATCGTCAGCACGGTGTCTCATTCGAAGATGCCTTTGAATGACTACCTTGGTCTCCTGAAAGTGAGAGGAACCTTGATCCAAGTCGGGTAAGTTTCTTTCCATTTCACCTTACTGACGTTGCGGTCGAACTTGGCCCAAAAACTAATTCGTTATGTAGTGCTCCTGATGGAGGCGAGCTCCCCCCTGTCAATGCCTTCCAGCTGATTTTGAATGGGATTAAATTGGGTGGCAGCATGACTGGATCTCCTTCGGAAATAAGAGAGATGCTGCAGCTTGCAGCGGAGAAGAAGATCCAGCCTTGGATTCAGGAACGGCCTTTGAAGGACGCTAACCAGGCCATCGTTGACATGGAAGAAGGCAAGGCTCGTTACCGATACGTACTCGTCAACGAGAACTTTGGAAAGCATTAGATGCGAAGTTGATTTTAGGAAGCGCGAAATAGACGGCAAGGGTGTCAGGCCAGATAGAGCAAAATGATTCATTTCTACTAAAAGACTCGAGATACCATAGATAGCTTAGGTAGGTACCTAACCTAACTGAATTATCAATATAATTATCATCAAATTCAAGTATATTGCTACTGTATCCTTCTGATAAATATTTCTGTCTCCGTTTAAGATACCTAAGTCGGTTTGACCCTATCGAATTTATCCCTTAGTTCATAGTAATATATAGAGCTTGGACCATGTTTTTCCAGAAAGTACTAAACAATGTGAAAATCGAGCAAGTACAATTTTAGTACGAAAACCTTTTTCGTAATAACTTGAAAATCATAACTTCGTTACGATTTTAGATTCAATAGGTGCATGTTTTACTTGTCTAGTTGCATACATATTTTTAAATTAAATGTTATTCATATATACCAGGGGGACACCCCCTGGGACCCCCAATGCCTCCGGCGGCCCTCCCGGGGGGCGCTTGCAGCGGGATAGTGCCTGCGGCAGGCCTGTATTTTAATCAAATAACCTCTACAACGAAGCGTGTATATCACAAAAAGGGCCATATCAAGTAATACATATCGAGATATTACATAAATGCACGTACCTAGCAAATAGACGTAGATTTGGCCTATAGGGAGGCGTGGTATCGGGTTCGAGACGACGATAGGTAGGAATCGGGGTAGGTGGAGGGCATCGGAGCTCCGAAAGACTGGATCGAAATACGATTAGAATTGAATACAGCCGTAAATGGATGACGTCACGAATTACATACTTGAAAAACTATTCAAAGCTGAGTTGAAGCAAAAGTGAGGCTCACGATACTGTGATATTAGTAGATTAGTGACACGTGTGTGGTGGTAAGGTAAAAGGTGTAAAAGTTGAAAAGAGTCGGATCTCGAGTAGGGGGTGGTGCTGTATATATAAAAAAGAAATTACGTTAGACTCATCCCCTATCGAGGTCAAAGCTAATGTTTTGGGTAACACCAATTTGGGGCTGTGCTTGATTTGATTGGCTTGTTGACTAAGGCGTCAGTCCGAGGCTTCCGGCGAGGTGCGTGCGCTTTGTTTGATTGGCTGAATTCGTGCAGCCGACCCTACCAGCGCGTTCTAGCGCGTCTGCCTGAAATTTAGCCTTGCCACCGTATCTTTTAATTGGCTCGTCTTATCTTATCAATTAATATGTCAAAATGGCCCGTGCACTTGAATTTTAAGCCCTCCCCCCCCACCCATACGAATTTAGAAGCGAAAACTTTACTCCGTAAAAAAGGTGATATAAGCAAGTTAAGAGTAAAGTTTTCTTAATTATTACATTATCGGTATTGCCATTGATGCCATTCTGTCATATCAAGTTGATGAGCTATCAAAATACAAATTGAGAAAATGACTGGTATATTTTGAATACAGATCCCGTTAGGTCACAGTGGCGTTTTCACCCCGACTTGTTCCGTCTAAGGTCCTAGCTAACTCTACTTGCGTAAGCTCAACTTTCAATCCCTTTGATTCACATATATACTTTAAATAGAAAGCCCTCCTAGTTAATATCACAATAGTAACGGGTTAAGACAATATATACGTGAATAAAAAGAAACTCCAACGTGAATTGCAATATCATTCCTAAATATTACCCTATAGCCACCTTTAAAAGTACAGACGTCCTTGTATTAGTCTAATATCTATTAATGACAAGGGTTAACAAATCGGCTTAAGTTGAGATAACCTATATTATCCTGGCGGTTCCCATTACATCTTATATGTTATTTCTCTCTGAATTATTGTCAATCGTATTGATGAAAGAGTACTTTGAGACACGCAGCCCAGTTCGTAAGCTACCTCTCATTTATCTTAAGTTCAGCACAGACTTTCGGGTGCTGGTACCCAAGTTAGGAGATTGTCATGAGATATTGCTGCTGGCAAGACTGACAAGACTGACGTTGTCTCCATTCTAGGGACTTCATTTGCAGATAAAGGTAAGTAATCAGAACTATTTTCGTTTGTTATCCCACTAGTTACGACAAGCAATTACCAACCCCTACCTATATCGTTGAGTTTGCTCTTACAATAGTTTGTTGGTTTCTGAGTTCAACTTACTGCCGAAGCGCTTGACACCAGCGGCTGTTAGACTTATACGACTATACAAGTTACATAGTCTTCGTCATACTTATACGACTATTTAAGCTACATAGTAATCGTTTATACAACGTCAACTCTATACCAACGACTCAAGTCATAAGTTGAACGGCATAGATAGACGGGAAGCTCGACGACGAGCTCCATAATCTATCTGATTTAGGTAGTATCTACCCAGAATCTGCCTAGGTAGGTTTTGATTTCCCCGAAACATTTTTTCCTCCATCTACATTGTTTGTATCCTCCTTCCCATAAGATTTCTATTTCTTCTTTAATCCTTCCCACATTCCACTCCCAAGACCAACTTCCTTCACAACCTTCAACCTCTTGTATCTCTCCAAGAAACTAAACCTCATATCGCATTTGAATACATCTTCAACATCACCAAGAAGCCTTCCACAAGGATATTGCCATCACGCAAGGTAAGTTGCTCAATTTGACATTGTCGCACCCCTCTACTTCATCTCCTTACACTTGGATCCCTACTGGAGATCCCTATCACAACTTCTCGCAATCTGTCTATTGCTTTTCGAACCCCAATCTCCGTGACTGTACCTTCAACCCTAGGTATAATTTATCCCTTTGATGTAAGGCATCAATCCATTACCATCCCACCTTCCACCCCATTCGACTGTACCTAAACATTCCCCGAATTTTCAGCCTGTGCTCATACCGGTTTATGAACTTGGCATAAAGTCAGGTAGATCGTTGTATCTATCCCCGGAGGTCAAGTAAATATCCCTATATGTCCCTGAACCCATCACACCAAGCACGATGCATGTTTCATTGATGTCCAAACCCCTCCGCTACGTCAAGCATTACTCTCTCTATACTTCCGTTTCTGTGATAAGGCCCCAGGAATACTTCTGTCCATTTCATATTTACGAAGCTCCATCTTTCCCCTCGGTTTCCTCTTATGAAGCGCTTGGAGAATTGAAGTGATAGGCTATCCCCAATCAACCGTCAGATCACATTGTCGTTGCCACTTCTCCGAGGTTTATTGTTTGACTTCGACTAACCGCTGGAACTATCACAGCATCCAATACCTACCAGTTTCCTTTGATCAAGTCAATCATCTCAAGGAAACATGCCCCCCAAGGAAGTAAGCGTGCCCAGCGCTGGCGACTTGAAATTCTTCACCGCCATCTTCAAGTTCATTCCCAGTGGACTTGATCTTGACTGGACCGGACTTGCCAACGAGCTTGGCTTGAAGAACGCAGCGATTGCCAGAGTTAGTACAATACCTGCTGCCAAATTTGCATTGCTTAGTACTAATGATTCAAAGACTCGATTCGGACAGATTCGAGGCAAATATCAGGGCGACTCGAACGGAAATTCCCCTCAGAAAAACAAGGTCACCAGGGTTGTCAAGTCTTTCAAGGGAAAGAATGCCAAGGTCGGTGGCAGGAACCGAAAGAAGAACATCAGCAGTGAGGATGAGGAGGAGGACATGAAGGTGACTGTGAAGAAGGAGCCTGAGGATGATGATGATGATGATGCAAAGGCAGTCAAGGTCGAAGATGACAAGGACGAGATCTAGTCTGGTCAAAAGCGAATGATCGCATCGGTATCTGCTTTCCTATAGTCTCGATGGCTGACGCCTCGAATGGGATTTTATGGCATTTTATGGCCTGCTAGCTTTAGTATTACCCCTTTATGGCAGAGAAACTGGAACTTCGCGCGCAAATCTCTAAGAGGGGCTCACGTTTCTTCCACGATGCAGGTAGTATCATAATCTATTTACTGCTATCCATATATGTTTCCATTATGACTGTTGCTACTGCTGATATTACTGTGCTGAACCTAGCGATGCTAAAGCAAGACTAGAGTCCAGTGTAGGGACTGATAAGTCAGGGTAGGCGGTAAAACTAACCAATATTGTAGCTCCTAGATCCGTAGAATAGTAGCAGGCTAGAGGATATGCCTCCCTAAGACTAGCCTGTCTTGCCTGTATCACCCCTATTACTTTGGGTTAGGCCCTTGCACTCAAGTTCCAGGTACCCCATAGGCTTGTATCTCATGCGCCTTCTCTTCCCTTCTTGCCTTGAGAGCAACCACTGCAGCACTTGCCTCACGATCTTTTGTGGTGGGGTAGCCAGATAAAGGGAGCCTAAGCATACATTGTCAAACCCTGTAGGAGCCTTAGGACCTGCGAACCTAATAGGGTAAGTAGCCACTGTCGACAAAGTGACAACAATCGTGAGAAATTTTCCTTAGGCTGACAGTTGTAGCAACCCTTTCTTGTTTCTTCATCCAGTTCCAAGTAAATAATTTCGGTTTCCTTTCACAACAACAACAACAACAACCAAGCTGCCACTGTCTTTCAAACCTTCCGTCTACTTCGAAGCCAACCTGATCCAACCTAGTACCTAAGACACCACTGTCTACATCATCAAGTAAGTAAAAGCTTAAGTTGATTTTCCTTTTCCTTTCTGTTCTACCCAGGCATTGTCTTGTTTCGTAGCCTAAACCTCGAGTATCCTCAAAGATATATCCGTCGAGGCTGAGCGAATACACTTCATCCTTCTTGGAGTCCAATGCTGACATTGACGCAGCATGCCTGGAGAAAGGCCTTACGTTCTCCCCAGCAGCGAGCGCCTGACCAGGCGACAGCTGGAGTTAGTGGTCGCTGTGTTAAGAAACGCAGATCGGTCACTTCTCCAGTCTGTCGACTGGAACGCCGTGGCAGCCCAGATGGGCCACGCGGAACGGCGGGTGTCTCGAGATACGTTCTCGAGAAGCTGCGACCGGAGAGGTGTAAGTAATCCCCTAATTATGAACTCATAATTACCTAGGTATCCAGTTACTCTAAGACATGTACTGACTTGAAAATCTGTCTTAGTGGCTGCGAAGAGGTGTGGCTGTAAGTCAACTCGTCTATATTGTCAACGCCGCTAGATATTGCATATCAAAGTAGAAGTATACTAACGAGTCAGGGTCCCCAGGCATCTCAGGCATCTCAGCCCGCTCCCGCTCCAGCTCCTGTTGCCGTTCCTGCCCCCCCTCTCCCGAATCCTGTCCCTGCTCCTGTGGCCCAGCCTGGGCAAGCTGGGCAGGGCTTGCAAGCCCTGGCGGCCGCTGCCGTCGCAGCGCCTGTTGGTCCTGGTGCCGCTGCCGCTGCCGCTGGTGATGGTGACGATGATGATAATAATGATGATGGTGGCGGTGGTGGTGGTGGTGGTGGTGGTGCCCCGGCATAGACAGCCCCGGCGTTGGATGAACCGTTAGTTTGAAAAAGTGAAATCAACAAATGTTGTTTAGTCTAATAGTCTATCTTCGAATATTGACAAGGCTCTACATATTGAAAGTGTCTATTATACCTAACTCACTAGGGTGACATGTCATAACAACGGCATTCGGAGCAACAAGTTGCCGAGCAATGTGCAGATATATTAAGCCTCTTAACTCATCTTACAGGCATCCTCCTGTTATTCCCCAACATCTAAACCTCCTCATTAACATCCATCAAGGCCAACTGGATGCAATATTTATAACAAAGGTATTTGTAATGTATTAGCTGGACCTTTGACACTCTATACGACAACATCTTAAAGATCAAAAGCTTGTATTAACTCCTACCTTTGTGCCTACTCTTGAAGTCTCGTCTAAGATAATTCACGACAATCAAAGACAGACTTCTGACGGTTCACCATAGTACAGCAAAAGAATATTCATATTTTATCTTGATGGTCCTGTCATCAACCGTCCTACCTAATCCCTGGGAGTGTCCACTAGCACGACATATTCCCAACCACATTAGTCTCACCGTATCTCTGTAACGACTCTAGGGCCGAGTACTTTCCTACCTAGGTAGTTATCCCGGGCTACTTCAGTTTTGACCAAAGTTCTGGCTGTTGCCTGGCATATCAAGGCGAGCTCTGCTCTACAGTAACCTACCATATTGTGGCAACTACCGTCCCCGGGAAACAAATTGCAACTTCTACTTCAGTGGGCTTGCAGGATCTACCTTTTGAAGCAAAGACTTTTCAGATAATCAAACTAGAAACTTCTCCAACTTAACCAACCTTCTCAGCTCATTTGCCCAGTTCAAGATCCTACTCTCTACCATTTACAACATCATCAACTACGAAGTTGGCTCTCTTTGCACAGTAGACACTCATAACTCATAACTCATAACTCATCCTCGTACTTTTCAACTTGATCCGTATTGTCTATTAACCTTGCAACATCCTCCGACAAGATGCCTGCCCTGGACATTGACTCCCAGTTCAAGTTCCTCATCATGTGCATCAAGCACTCGACTGCTGGAAAGGTGAGGTTTACCATTTATCATTCCCAAAGCCCTTGCGCGGCAAATTCCCTACCGCATTTTTAAACCTCTATTGACTTGAATAGGTCGACTTTACTGAGGTCGCGAAGGAATGTGAGATCGTCAGCAAGGGCGCCGCGTGAGTAATTCCCCAGTTTCAACCATCGTATTTCTCTATTCACCGTGTATCTAATCGTTCGCCCTACGCTAACCGCTTTTCTGCCTTACAAGTGCCAAGCGATATGAGCGTCTTCTGAGGGCGCACGGCATTAGCGCTACCGGTGGTGGGGGTGGCGTCAAGAAGGAGTCCAAGGACAGCAAGGACGGCGTCAAGACCCGCACCCCCAGCAAGAAGCGCAAGCTCGCTGCCATCGACGAGTATGCTGGTGACGAGGATGAGCCTATCAAGACCGAGATCAAAGGTGAAGTTAAAACCGAAGATTCGATCGCCGTGAAAGCGGAGCAGGAGAACGGCGGCGGCGGCGCGACTGCTATCGTGGCTGGTGTCCCCACTTCTGCTAGCGAGGTAGCGCCGGCGGACCAGCCTAACACATCGCTCTCTACCGATGCGCAAAACAATGATGAAGACGATGACGTCTTGGTCATTAGTGCTACAGAGAGGTGCGATGATAACGGCGTCCCGGTCTACGGCAGCAGTGGTCACCACCACTCGCATGCGCACTTGCACTCGCACTCGACTGCTCCGATTGTCCCGGGGATCCATTCCTTTGATTATGCTGCTAACATGGCTTTCCCCCAGCAGATGGCGATGACGACGCCGACGAGGGTGAATACGACGCATAATTCCCTTCCCTACGGTTTCCCCCCTGGCACGTGGATGTTCCCCCACGACGCACATAGCTATCTCTAGCAGACAAACAAGCACTAGTCCCTCGTTACCTACTTCCCCAAGATACACCATCAAAACCGTCCGTTCTCTTTTATCACGGTATGTCTTTCTATGGAATATTCGAGCGTACGCGCTTTCGCTAATCTTATACAGGCAGGAATGACTTATGACTTATGGTACACAAATTAGGGATGAATGTGGGGTGGATTTCGATTGATTTCGGTTGATTTCGCCATCATATGGCAGCTCTTATGAGCAATATTGTCGTTTCGCTTATTTCCGATGATTTCAGTATTCTAGGTCGGTAGATACGCTCTGGTGAATTAAAGAGTCCTAATGCAAACATCTTTCGTGCTGTTTTCCAACGCGTGTGATCGCTTTGTTGAAATCGCGTTGCCCCCCTTTTAACCCCCCCCTCCCCGGTGCTTATGTAAGCGGCACAGCTCCAAAGTAGATTTACGCAGGAGTCAAAACAGGTAGGTGATGTGAGCAGTTTTCGATGGGAGAAATGGGTTAGGAACCGTCCGCCATTTAAAGGTACCTAGGCATGGGTTGTATATACTTAGACGCTCTTTTACCATGTTGTCCTAATTCCTTGCTACGCTGGGACCTGGCTGGTTATCGAAGAGCTATCACGATTACTTGGTAGAAGGGGCTGACCTTGTAACCCTGAATACGCCACGCCAACAACGCGTTTCATCCGTGTAGTGCTTTTTCCCACGAGTAAAATCGACATGCTTTTGAAGACGATGGAAATTGTAGGATTCTTTCCTTTTCCATAGATTGTTGTATATTTCAGAATGTAGCCGTACCACCATGTAACCATGACTTTCTCCACTGCTAGCATGGAACCTAGTTTGGGTTCAACTAAAAGGGACTCCACTAAAGAACGACATCTCGCTGGAATACTTATAGGCATTTTCTTGTAAATCTAGACGAGCTTCCTTTCAAGGTCCGGATCAACTACACGCTAATCCACGCGTGTACACACACGTAAATCCATATAAATACACGCTGATCAACGTGGCACGTGCACGTAAATCCACAAATACACTTGAAGCCTTGAAAATGTGGTTTTAAGTGCGTGTATTTACTAATTGTGGAGTAGTAGGTGGAGGTAAGGCCGTACTTAGCCACGATGTTAGTGTGTACTAGTAATTTTGGTGGTAGCACTAACAAATTGACTATGGGGCCCCTGTGGCGTGTTGTGGCACCCGAGAATATTTACCCTATATATATATATATTAATATCTTCGTATTCTAGCCGTATTATAGCACTTGAGATAAATTAATTTATATCGTTAAAATTCCCAGACTTTTCTCTATCTAACGATATATATAAGAGGTTATAGAGTGCTATATTAGCCGAGGAATTTAATTTATACTGAAAGTTGAAAAAATAAACATTAAAAACATTCAATTTTCAAAATCAAAAACATCATCTATAAGGTCACTTAATAAAATATCAGCCAAACGCGCTACCCATATAACGAAATATATATCATTAAAAAGCCTGGAAAATTACGTTTTTATTTCTATTTTTTATTTAATTTTGCTGTAAAAGCTGCGCGAGAAAACGCGTTTCTTTTAATTTTGAATTGTTTTATATCTCGTAGGCCTACTGACGCTATGGTCCACGATACATCAATGCACCATTTCAGCCCCTCATTTTTACAATACCAACATTTACGATCCCAACATTTACGATACTAGCCGACGTCTACGATCCCATTGTTTACGACAGCAGTGTTAACGATAGCTTCTAATATTTACATTACTGGTCAACATACAGTTCGTTGTTACGTATTACAACACCAAAACAAGGTCTGAATACGTGATATACGTGGGTGGGAATAGCCTCAATTTAGCCTCTTGGCACTTGGTCATAGCTTAATCCACGCTAATCCACGCGTGTACACACACTTGACCAATTTTCGTGTATGTATTACATACATCCACGAGAGGGTTGGCCGTGGATGTATTTAGTTGATCCGGACCTTGCTTCCTTTTGATATGCGTTAGTTAGCTGTCTCTGATATAAAAGTGAGGGTGAATAACAACTATATGTGTTCATTTAGTAAAATACTCGACGTCATGCTATAATACAAGATCCTCATGGTTGAAAACAATAGCATCGGTTGCTTTCAATGTATTCGCGGTGGTTCATATAAGAGGGCCTTTGTTCTATTCTCTTTGGTGAAGCCGAGAATCCATTATCATGCCATCTTTGGATGATTGCCCTTCTCGAGGCAATACAATTGGTGTGCTCCAAAAAAGATAATGATATATGCCAAGGTTTGTGAGGTGATTCGACATGAGTGGTTTCATAAAGTGTAGGTACTAGTTTCATAAGTCTCTCAGTAGAAATATCCGGCTACAGAACGATCTTATTGAGTTCTTATCGCAGACTTTGAAGATCACGGGAAATAATCCGCAGTATTTAATTCTAGATGTTCTAGGTAATAACCTAGTATACCTACCTAAGCTATGTAGAACCTTGAATGACTTCGGGATGGCTGGGCATGACATACGATATCATGATATCTATCTTCTGCGGTACGGGTTTACTGTTCACTCTTTTACAGCACGCACATATCAGTAAAGTTGTCATTACTTATCCGGGAGTAGAGGCTCTCGGGCAAGTTTGTAAACTGCCTGAAGAAGTCACACACCGTATTGTCATTTTTTAGGAGTTGGAGACCGAGATGCTTCTCGATGTCCTCTATTCTAGCCTTGGTTCTACTATGCGTAAATAGGATTACCTGCGAGCTGCTGTTGAGGTGTTTCTACGATTTACTCACGTGTCGTATACCACCTTGAAACAAATCTTCTTCTTCTATGATACGAGTCTGGCCTTGCTACCATCGCTTTTATGCCTCTTCGTAGGCTACGTGTTGTGCTCTCTAGAAGAGATTAATACACTTTTCCCATCGGCCTATCTAAGCGTTAGTCGTGGACAGCATCTATTAAAATTCGCACAAAATACGTCACATTTAGAAATGGGGAATCTATTTTATTTGTTATCTATTCTAATACTGCTGGATTGTTCTATAGAACCAAACTCGGACATTAATAACATGACTATCTTGGAGCAAACGTATTGTCAGGCTAAACGATGGTCGTAATCATCATTGATATATTGCCCATCTACCCATCCTTGACAAACCAACTGCCACGAATGAACAACCATTCAGATTTAAGTAATCTGAGAGATAGAGGAGTTATATGACTTATATCATCGGATATTATATATACCGATATTACCACTCATCGCTTTTAAACCGGACTTAAGATAGTCCGTGGAATATTTTTCTATGTCCAATGTATGCCTCCAATGTATGCCTCTGAGGTTCTAAGATGCTTGTTGAGAGTGGTATCGCGCAATCTGGCAGCGAAGTCGAGGTACACTGGAAGTACCGTTTTGAATTAGGCATCCATTGATTGGCTTATTTTTAATTCCCCACATTTCTATTTCAATTTCTGATCTTCTGCTCTGATCTCGAAATAGATGCATGCCTAAAGCCAAGTACCTAAGTATATGGCCACTTAAATCAAGATCACAACCTTAAAAAGTCTGATTTCCATATACGTACCTTTTAGGCAAGCAATTAAACTGTTCTTGATTGCTCTTTTTGAGATCTGGCGCGCTAGCCGACCCACAATCAATCACAAATGCAGAAGAGTGTGGGTCCCTCCACAGTCCGCTAAGATATACGTACCGTAGTTTAAGGAAAGGCGCGAACCTTGAGGGTGGGACCGTGCGCCAATTCCAACGTCAACTCATTGAGCCGCAATATTTTTAGTATTATCAGTATCGTCAGAATCAAAGTACGTTAGTACGAACAGCCAGCAAACTAATACTGTAAGTTTTAAGCAGGTGCTATGACTCCTCCGAACTGGAGCTGTTTCTAGGATCACAGTTATCTATGAAAATTCTTTTTTGAGTACCCTGTTGTCTAGTACCTTGAGACACATGATCATGCTCTGCTGGAGAAAACCTCTGATCTTAATATTTTCGCTGATTATGAACAGTGCTAGGCCTGCGAAAAAACAATCAAGTAAAACTACAGCCGCTAGTCGGTTAGTACTTTGTATTTTCCTACTAGCTCATAACTACAGGTAGCTTTCAATATTGGCGTCGGTAAAAATTAATCCACGGCTGTACTTAGGAGGTCAACATGAAAATATAATTAGATCACCGAATTATGAAAGCTAATACATAGGTACCTTATACAAATATATGGTTCTAATTACAATATTATTCTGCCTAATTTTCAAAAATACAATCTAGAACAAGATCACGATATTTTTCTAGTATTTTAGCATCTTGCATTATTAGGATCGAATGGACTTATAAACACATACGTATGTTGGGCATATTCTAATTGCCTGTACGCATCGTAATTCTACGCAAGTAATTAGGCCGTATGGATATTATATCCCTAGCTATCTTGTAGAAGTATGCTCGCGAGTTGAGATATTGGGTACCCTTGTGGGTATGTGCGTAGTTGATGCTTAGATGGCTAATTTTCCGTCGATAGCTTCAGTATCGCATTATGCTATGTGTCATAGGCGACATAATTCCTAGAGGCTCAAGTGCGCATATACAGTTTCTGATGTAAACGTATGCTGCAGCTGGGGTCGAGATAAAAATTTCTATGTGATCTTACGGATGTTAGCGCAACAGATCGTGAATCAGACTCTGCAGCTGTCATAACTGATCAAAATCGAAAGCAGTAGATCAATTATTTGAATCAATTTGGACTGTGCCCTCGCAGATTTGCTGCTTCTGCAGCGATGGTAAAGTATTTTTTACGTTTCCCAGCCCCCTTATCAACTGATCTTGTGCTATTGCACAGTACCAGAACAATCTTTTCCTCAACCGCCCCGCAAATTTTGGTAGCAACTTACTTTTTTACATCAGTTCTACCTGGGAAGTGGGTCTCTTCTGCATATGGAGTCAAGGTATCGAGGATCTTGCTGTCGTCCCTCATGCGCACTTTCCTTACGTACCCACACTTCGATTTCAATCAGCCTGGCCTGAAAAGATATAAATACCTGGCCTCCCTCCCCCATCCTCCAGCTTTTTCTCTTCCCTCTTCATACTCAACAACAAGTCTTGACAAATCTCAGAGAACTCTTCAAACTACCAAGCCTTCTACCAATCTTCTTCACCACCCACAAGACAATCTTCTACTAGGTCTACCACCTTACCAGTAAGTAAAACTTTTCTGCCTGTCGAATCACCCACCACCTTGCACACCACCTTGGACATCTATATAAACCATCCCAATCCCCCACTCCAACCCTTCTCTACATTCCTCTCACACAACACAACCAACATCTTTCGTCCCCAACCCAACCTCTGGTAAGTGCACTACCTACCCTACCTTCACCCTTCACCTACCTTACCTACCTTTACACCTTTTCCATCTTCGCACTTCGCAACAACATCCTTCCTTCATCATCATCAATCCTGCCCTCTACATTCTACCCTTCCTATCTATCTCCATACCTTCGCATCATCGGCCTTCACCACCCTACCACCCTACCACCCCGCCTTCCTTCTACATCCATTCCATACACGCACAACACCTTGCAACATTCATACATCCTTTACAACCACTACCTTTCGCTTATCGCATGTGCTAACCTATTATCCTAGTCAACCACTCAAACAACTTCTCATACTTCTTAAAGTTTTCAACTTCAACTACAAGAACAATGTCGTAAGTTTCCTCTCCCTTTCGTATTATTCTACTCACTTGTTAGCGCACCAACATCTAACCAATTGCCACCTTTAGTTCTCCGAACAACCAGAATAACCAGAAGACCGACCGTGTCCCCGAGACCCCTGGGACCCCCGACTCGGGAATCGTCATCACAGATCAGCAAGGCCGTGACGCTATGGCCCAAGGTAAGCAATTCTCTTTAGTCCCTCCCCACTAGTAACTATAGTATCCTTACTTACACATTTTAGCCAATGAGACTGCACAGGGCGTCATCGTCAGAGTTGATATTGGCGGTGTCGCTTTCGAATACACCCTGAAGCAGATTGCCGAGATGGCAAATGTTCTCGCCCGCGCTCGCGCCGACGGCCACTTCCCGCCGACCACTGCTCGCGGCTCCGATGTCCGCGCCACCGTCCATGACTACCTCCGATTCATAGAGCTCTCTGCCACTCGTGGTGATGCTCCCCAGGAGGCGTGGACCCAGATGCCCGATGTCGTGCAGATGCTTGTCGACATCACTCAAGAGATTCAAGCTCGCGATAAGGTCGCGGCTGATATGAATGAGCAGGAGCGTATCCATGCCCACGTCAACAACATGATGAGTGGTGTTGGGGCTGAAGCTAGACTTTACAACATTGTTCAGCACGCTATAGCCCATGCCGGCAATAATGGAGGAGCAGACCGAGATGCAGCCATTGCTGGTCAGAACATGGCAGCCCTTCTTGACGGAATTCGAGATGTTATCAGGGAGATGGCTGGTCAAGGCGCCCACGGTGTCAACAATGGCAATGTCGAGGCTGTTCTTGAGGAGGTCTTTGGAACGATTGACCATGCCCTCAACCAGAGCCTGGGTGGACATGTTAGGCAGATGGATGGCCAGCTCAACACTGTCAATGGCCAGCTCAACACTGTCAATGGCCAGCTCAACACTGTCAATGGCCAGATCATGCACCTCGATGCTATTGGTCAACACGTCAACGCCATCAGTGGTCATGTGAACTCTCTTGGCAACAACCTCGGCGCGATGAGTACTCTCCTGAACTCAACCAACGGCAATGTTGTATCGCTTAACACCCAAATTGGCCTTCTTCAAACAATCATCAACATGCTTCCTCGCATGATTGCCGAATCTCTCCAGCAAATGCTCCCGGAGGCTCTTCAAGGTGCCATTGGTCCGATTATTCAGGCCCTTGAGGCTCAGCTTGGTGTTCCTGCACCTGCCGGTTCTGCTCAGAACGACCAGCGACAACCGCGAGGACTGAAGAAGGTTTTCAAGTCAGTCAAGAAGCTATTCCGCAAGAAGTAGAGGACTTCAAGCCTCACCAAGGCCAATTCTTGGCAATGTTTCGTCACGAGCATAAAGTAAGTTTTCCCCACTATCCCTTATCATTCTGAACAGAGTTCTAACATCGCTACAGATGCTTGTATAACAGGATGGACTGCTGATCTGCACTGACAGACGGCACGGATTTTTTCAGGGAGCGGGTTTTCTTTAAGGAGCGGGTTTTCTTTAAGGAGCGGGTTTTTCTTTAGGGATCAGGGTTTTTCTTTAGGGATCAGGGTTTTTCTTTAGGGATTATGGATTTTCATGGATCGGAGTTTCTTTGGCAAACAAAAAGGGGGCACTGGATTAGGATGAAGGGATCTAGCAGGGATGCTGGTGGATTTTGAGATCTCGAGGATAGGATCACATCTGGGGCATCTATGACTCCTGATAGGATTGATGCTGCACTTGGGCAGACAGATAGTGGTTTCTCCTCAATGAATCCCGATTAAGCCCACATATAACTTGTGTGCCTAGTAGAGTGACATAGTGATCGTGTAGTAACATTGATTGACACTATTTGCATAACATGACTTCAGTAATTGTAGGAAAAGTACGGTGGTGATACATGGTTCAGTCCGAGCAAGCATCGTGTTCCAGTCCATAAGCCCTGTGGCTTAGTATACAGTGTAGGCACTGTGTCATAGGACTGACTAGAGAATGTGATGGATTGTGCTTAGGTGTGTGTCGTCCCCGCCTCCTTTTCTAACTTTTCTAATGAAGTTGCACAGGCATCACGACATAAGGCTCTTCACGATACAAGATGGGATATCTATCTAAAATAGAGGCCAATTCCAATATCCATGGTCGTGGGCCCTTATACCTAATCATTTGATGGTCCCTCGCCAAACGACGAAGTTATTCCCATTCTGCGACAAGGAGAGAGTACTGTAGGGGTATCGCATAGCACGTCTTGCGTTGGTCAGTGGGTGATCTATCCCTATTTGAAAATGGGGATCTCTATGGTGCCTAGGGCAAGTCACCGAGTCACTAGGCGTCCTGCAAAGCAGTTGCAGACTCTACTTTTTGTTTACCATGGTAATCTCGCGACTCATGTTGCTATCAACGGCCAGTCCGGCCTCAACACCCCTTGAAGGCATGGAGGACCCCAAGAGCATATATAAAACAACGGGCACGGCGTACGGCTTCAATATTCGACAACATTTATACGAGAAATCATAGCTTTAGTAAAGATCGCGGCCTAGTATGCCCAATATTATGAAGGTGTATCGTTTTTTCCTAGCCATCCTTCTGACGAAATCGCAGCTTTTTATAACCACCGACGCATCGAGCACCTCCACATGAAGGATACACAGGATCGCAATAAAAGCATCTACCGTCCACGATGGACTGGCTATGAAACCAAGCTGCGGTATTCATAGACCATCTTGCGATTGAATCCAAGTTGTCTAGGAATGTGAGGAGGAAGCTAGAATCTAAGAGGGGAATTGAGAAGTGCTTGCAGGATGCTCTCAAGTATTACTACCTTGTACGTGCAGAGTACGTATCAAACTACTTGGGACTCTAGGTACGCTGATGCATCATCGTATGGAAGGTACGTTGTCGCACCTGAGCGCAATGTCTTTGCCGAAATAACCATTACCTAGGTGCCGATAGCAATACTGCTTCCTCGAAGACCATCTTATTCCCACGGATTCCATATGCGATCTCCCCTAGCCTCGAATGATCATACGCTTACGATTTATTGACCTCACCGACGTTCACAGCACACGAGGATAAAGGGGGCGCTGGGGAAAGTTGTCCTTTGGAGAAGCCATAAAGGGTGATTCGCCGCATTTCCCACACTAACAGAGATATGACGGCCGCCGGCATGGGCCACGCTCGTCTCCATCGGTAATCCGTCAGTACCGCAAGTCTCGATGTCGTGATCAGAGGGCGTGCCAGGGCTGATGTCGCGACACGACTATGTGGACCCTTAACGTGCCATCATTCGTGCATATAAAGTAAACGAGGAGAGAAGCCCTTCACTGTTTCTTTTTCTCTTCTCGTGTAAACAGTAGCTCTTTTTACCAGACCTTAACAGCCAATGCGGCTCAGTAGCCACTTGGACTTATTCGGGTCGGTTCAATCTCCTTCCACCTTGGGGAAGTCCAAGTTTAAGGAGGCTCTCTAGAGGAGGTATGGGTAGCCTGAATACACGATCGTATTCGTCAACCGCGTCGTCACTTTCGCATGCGCAATGCTAGGCAATGGTACCCCTGCGATGTTCCGTAAGGGTCTACTCTCCGAAGAACCAGAGAAAACGATACCGATGATGGAGTTAGCTGCTGTATTGACAAAGCTCGTTTTGCGGCGCTGAATCCTTCCAAGTAGCTCGCATTGGCTTAGTTCTGCCCTTGAGAGTGTCTGCTGTTGATTTAAATGGTAGCCAGTTTCCTCGTAAGAAGATAGAAAGCCAGGCGTTGCTAGTTCAGCCCAGTTTACGACATGTACGACCCTGACACTCACTCTTTATATGACTTCCATCAAAGGCATAAACCCCTACTTGACGCAGCAAATTTTAGATGTTAACAATGCTGAACGGAAGGGAAGAATAAGAGGTTGTGCTCGAGGATATTGTACGGAAATAGGGGTTAGGGGGTTAAAGGGGGACGAACGTGGGTCATTTGGGATTCAGCATTTAGGTATGGTATGTAGCTTTTTAATCAATAAATCTCGATATTTAAGATGGTCACAATCCAATGGAACCATGTTTTTAGATTTAATAGTCAGTTTTTGCAGTTATTACTGCCATAACTGACTATCCTACAGGTGAGTTCGGACCCATAGCAGTACATCTTAATTCAATTATTGAATATTCAGACAGAAGCTAGGATATTGCTTTAAACAATACCTTACATAATTTACTTTTACGCTCGGTATCTCTGGTGGAACCCGGTCAAGTCAAATGTACCTACGTAGTATTAACTGCCTGATTCACCAGAGCAACTCCTTTCGTACCTATTATATATCGCCAAGTAAAAGGCCGGTGGATTAACATGTGACGCGATTATCGGGGGTATCTCTCTATACGTTCAGTTCATATGAGACTTATTCTGTACATCGCAACTTGATTTTCAAACCACTTGTCTCAGCGCATCTCACCTACAGAAAGCATGGCCATCACTAGCGGTTCAGAGAGAGGGTATGATACCCAGGTGCAAGAAGAGGAAGATATACCAGCTTATCAGAGCATCGCACCCAGTATTTTCGTGCCCGCGCAGATTGATTTCACAAAACCACTACCAAGACCGCCTTCAGAACCCACTCAACGACGTGTCGAGATGCTTGCTCAGATTGACGAGCATGCAGATGCCGTATTGGAAAACATATACTACATGCTTAACCGTGAAAAGACTAGAATTCTCCAAGAATGCAAAAGGAGAGAAGCGAACTTTCCTCACCACAGAGATTTACCTGGTCTAACGGACGGCGAAGAGCGCTCGCTTCCTTCTAACGGGATGGAAATGGATGAGATCTTATACCTCAAACAAAATGCCCCTAAGCCGAACCAAATATCTTCCGACGTACCTCCCATGTTCACGCACAATCAGTGTTTACATGTAGAGACTGGCGGCCCTGAAGAAACGCCGCGCAAGTCAGCAGAGAAAATGCTGATGAACCTGGTGAAGCATGGCATACAGAATTTAGAAGGATTCGCCCAGCACATCGAAAATGTGAAGGAGGTAAAAAGACGGGAACTCGATAATGAGACGCACTCCAAGGGTCAGACTTCTACGGAGAATGTGCCTGCAGACAGGATGGATATTAGTTAATTCTAATCGGAAGCATATATATGTATATATACGAAAGCTTCCCCTATACCAACGCCCGGAAATACCACACGAATACCTACGTTTCTACTTTGATAGGTCTACTTGATGTGATTTATGTCCCGACATCATTAGAAGGACTTCTTCGAGCCTCCCACGGCTTTGGCGGTGCTGTCAGACGGCCATGGGTCGTGAACGAGGGGTCTTCGATAACCGTATCGGGAATTTCCCTTATTCCAGGGATCGGCTGCCCTGTCTGTAAGAATGCCACTATCTCTTCGAATTTCTTAGGATATGGCTCCTTATCAGGATCTGCCGACAAGGAGTCCTTCTCAACAAAAAGTTCTGCTTTCGGCGCGGAACTTTGCCAACTTGGGACCTCGACGTTGGCCAACTCAGGGGTGACCTGTTGAAGAGCAATTTGGCCTAGTGGGTCACCAAGTTCAACTAGGAGATGTGCTAGTTTCCTGTCCGCTGGATCTGACTATTTACTTGTAAGGTGAATTGAAACGCATGTGGTGGTAAGACTATGGCTTACTTTAGTCATTGCTTCTACTGCAAGTGCTTCCTCCGATATGACTCTCGGCTGTTGTCGGTTTCCTTGCGAAAGCCATTGCTTGTACGCATCACCGTCAATTTTAATTTGCGTCTGTTGCTCAAATCTTTGGATCCGTGTCTGGAGAGCAATTTCAGAGAGACTGAGGTGGTCTGATTGGGTCTTAATTAAAAAATTTGAAAGTTGTTCCTTATTTTGTTACACTTAGTGACTTGTTGTATGCTAACTTTACATTGACTGACATGTGAGAACTCACAGTGAACGCGCGATCTTTAGCCCACGGATAAGAATCGAAAGCCTGGTATCGAGCATCTGGATTCTCAGCAACACGGCGCTGAACGCCAGCCAAACTTGCTTCCGATGTAGCCATATTTCTCTATTCAATTTCGTTTAAATTCAAAGAAGTACGTCTATCGTAAGGATTCATAAGGGTTATCAGAGTGTTGGCTCTGTAAGTGACGTTTATTAATTGGAGCCGAGGTTGCGCCCATCTTTACCTTTATCGATAACGATGGCGAAGCAGGCATAACTTTAAGTATCCGCCCATATCCGTGGGGTAAATCTATCAGCGACTCCACCAATCCCGCCTCTCTCCGTTTTCTAACCAACCAACCTTTTCCCGCGTTTTACCGAAAACAGAAATTGGTCACGATCTTATTATCCTTGCAAATCCTTGCAAGCCTTTAGATGCAGAAGCTTACCTAATTTTTTACCTATCCGTTCTTCTGTTCTCGGCTACGGGATCCACTCTGGGAGGTCAGCCATAATTCCGATATTTTGTGGCTCTTTTAGCGACAACGAAACCTTCCAAATATTCAACTTTCCGTCGACGGAAACCTTCTCCCAAATGCGTCGCGTACCTGTCAGAGATCTTCGGACGACCTTTCAATGTACCGTCCGAGGCCTCACTCGTACTAGTCGCCCGCGACGTACCCTTTTCCCCCACCATCCCAACGCTAGTCTTGGTGTTCGATCCGCTGCTTCGTCCTCAGCTACATCTACTTCTTCGTCCTATACACGCCCCAATTATGCGGTAAGCGAGCCCTTACGATCTTCCATGTATATCCGCCGCTTCTCTTTCGCTTTGGTCTCTAGCCTAGTTGGCTACGGCGCTTGGTATACATACAAGGGAGGAAATACCCTAGAACAGGTTGGTGCTAAATCATATGCGACGGCACCAACGCAGTTCACGAATAACGCTGCCCCAACTCGGAATGTCCTCGTAGTTGGTGCCGATGAACTGCATACCGGTACCTTCGTCGGTGAAGGCCCGATAGCCAAGAACGCTGACGGTAGCGGAAGAAACGTTCTAGAGATGCTTACTCCGGACCAAGCTACCGAGAAGTTACGCCAGAATGAAGCATCGTTTCTAGTAAATCGAGGCCAAGGTGTCCTGCGATATGACGTCGCGCAGCTTCCTAGTAATAACCCGATAGAGGACGATCACGCAGAGAAGATTGTGGAAGTGAATACGCGGCAAAGCGAAAGCACTGATTCGCCTACCGAAGATTGGATGTTTTGGGGTGTTTTTGACGGTCATGCGTACGTACCCTCAATTTAAGAATACCCCTAGTGATATTTTAGAATTAACCTCTGGCAGTGGCTGGACAACTTCGGCAAAATTACGACAAACTTTGATCAATTTTGTGGCACGGGAATTGAATACTACGTACAAGGCAGCCGAAACTCTAGGGGCCGTACCGTCACCAGAGGCAATTGACACCGCCATCAAACTTGGATTTACACGTTTGGATCATGAAATTGTGCATGAGAGTGTAGAAAAGGTGTTGAAATCCAACTCGAAGCGAGTGGCTGCCGAACTCCTTGGTCCTGCGTTATCCGGATCTTGCGCTCTCCTATCCTTCTACGATAGCAGCTCCAAGACTCTACGAGTTGCATGTACAGGCGACTCAAGGGCTGTTTTAGGTCGTCGTAGTTCCTCCGGAAAGTGGACTGCAACCGCCCTATCCGAAGATCAGACCGGAAGTAACCCTAACGAGGTAGCGCGCATACGCAAGGCTCATCCAGGAGAGGACCGTGTTGTCTATAATGGACGAGTTCTTGGTGGTCTAGAGCCGACTCGAGCGTTCGGTGATGCCAGTTATAAGTGGAGTAAGGAGGTCTCTGATCGCCTGCGAGAATCATTCTTTGGCCGGAGATACTCGCCGCATCTCAAGACTCCTCCCTATGTCACAGCCGAGCCTGTGGTGAGCACAACGAAGATTCAGCCTGAAAAGGGTGATTTCCTGGTTTTGGCTACCGATGGCCTCTGGGAAATGCTCACTAACGACGAGGTGGTTGGGCTTGTCGGTAAATGGATCGAGACGCAAGCGGCAGAGCAATCATCAAAGTCACAGTTGGGTTCCGTGTGGACTAAACTCTTTGGCCCTGGTCGGGATCTTCCCGTAGAAGCTGGCAAGGAGGCAGGGGCTGATGGTCAGAAGACCCCTATTCGATTGCAACAATGGGGCATCTCGCCTAATGAGAAGGAACGTTTCGTCGTAAAAGATAAGAACGTCGCCACGCATCTAATCCGCAATGCTCTTGGTGGCAGGAATGAAGAGCAGGTGTGCGCATTACTTACACTAGTCTCACCATTTTCGAGACGGTATAGGTCAGTTACCTGAAACCCTTTTTTCTCTTTTCTCATGAAGCCAAAGTTCCATGCGGAAGCTAACACTTGACAGGGATGATTTAACAGTGCAGGTAATCTTCTTCGGCAATGGCCCCAAGACGGGCGCTGTGCTTGTTAACGAAGATGCAACGAGCGTTTCGCAATTAGGGATCAAAGCGAAGCTTTGAATTTATTGGGATGGAGTTTTATTATGTACACCATCTGAATCGAAGTAAAATACTCCAGGTACAAGTACAGTTTTGGCTTCACGCATTAGAGGTGCGCGACAGGTCCTTTCCATGGTATGGCGTTTAATGGATTGCAGAGCATGCCGATAGCTTATTTTCATCGACTCAAGGACATGACGGGAAGTAAGTGGTGTGCCATTCTTATTAGGTATTGCATAAATATAGGTATATTTAGGTCAATCGCATTTAATATTATCACGGGTTTTCGGACGTATGGTCCTCTATCTTTGTGAAAGGCCATTTTTATTACCATATATGTCTTCTATAACCCTATCCATCCTATGGGGGTATTAATGCTGATTCTAAGGCCTAACTTCTCAACTTTATAATTGGCTCCTTGTGAAATTTTCCGGTCATGGCTCTCGCGATGGGAATCTCGGACTAATAGAAAGCGACATTTGCAGATTGGTAGTTCTTCACGAAGAAGTTGGGGTTAGTTCTCCCCACTGAATGGTGGAGTGTCTTCCCCATGGCTCAAGGAGACATACCCCGGCGCGCCCTCGTATCTCCTCATTTTCAACGGCACCTGCAAGGGACGCTTTCAGCATTATTGAAATAGTTATAAGTGTGCCACGATGGCTATTCGCCATTACGAGCTATTTGGTTTCCCCATAAGGCATAATTTCCTCCGAGGTTCAGTCGAATAAGTGGTCGTCCGGCGACTAAAGTGGACAAAGAATTTCCTCGGCCTGACTGGAACTTGACGCACTAATAAACACATGCTTTTTCGTAAGTTGGAGATGCCCGTTGGGTTATAAAGGGAGTGGACACCGCCTTTAGATGATGCTTCACATTCCGTTGTGCTTTACGTACCTCTTACCTAAAGTATAGGGCCGCGTCTGCCGCGAAGCTAGCTTGTGTGTCAAGATGAAGCTTTTAGCGGCGCTGTGGTTACCCTATGTAACCTTATCTTACGCATCATGGGTTCCCACGCCACCGGCGTTCTCCCAAGATCTCGATCCGCGTTGGCAAAAGCAATCAAGTCGCCGTCAAGGAAATGCCCTTTCGGAGTGGCCTTATGGCCCCTTTAGAACTAAAGGGAGGGATATTGTAAATAGTCGGGATGAAGCAATTACTTGGGCTGGTGTGAATTGGCCTATGAGTGGTATGTAGTATTGAGCCTAGGTACAGCAGCCCGATACTTCAAGCAAAATGGACTAACTTTTGGGCTCTGTAGGCGAGACGATGATACCAGAAGGGTTAGAGTGGAAGTCCGCAGAAGACATCCTAGACGATGTTGTTGGAGTTGGCTTTAATTTCATCCGCATGTAAGAAATATATGAACTAGGAAAGCGACCTGGAAATAGTCCATGACTAACCTTATACTAGGGGATATGCGATCCAAATGGTTGACGAAATATACGACCGAGGAGGCGACGACGTACCCCTCGAGGTTGCTATGATCGTCGCTCTTGGGTACGAGAACGGCACTAAAGTCACTAACGATATTATTGCCAAAAACCCTAACTGGACTCGTGAGACAACTCGTTTTGAGATCTGGTCGGATATCGCCAGCATTGCCGCATCCAAGGGCGTGTATATCCATCCCGACGTCCATGTTGGCAAAGCTCAATGGTGCTGCAGCCACACCGACGGAAACGCCTGGTTTGATGACGTGAACTTCAGCGCTTCCAACTGGAGACGTGGACTTTCTTACATTGCAACTTGGGCTAAGAACCACCCCAACATTGTTTCCATGTCGCTGCGAAACGAACTACGCGAATCCTGGAACCGCACCGACTTGTACTACAACTGGGAGACGCTCGTGGGCAACATGAGCGCGGGAGCGGACGCGATCCACGCGGCGAACCGGGATCTGCTCATCACGTGGTCGGGCATGCAGTACGACGAGGACCTGTCGGCGCTGACGACGGGGAAAAACATCCTCACGGCGCCGTGCTACAAGTGCACGGCGATCCGCGACGCGCACCGCCGGGACCCCGTGTACTTCGACCTCGACAGCCACCCGTGGGCGGACAAGATCGTGTGGGAGCTGCACCTGTACCCGATGAGCGAGGACGTGGACACGGGGACCTGCGAGGCGATCGAGGCGGGGCTGTACCGGCACGGGTTCAACGCGCTGGGGATCGAGCGGCCGGCCGGGTGCGAGGTCACAGGGGACTGCGCGCCGGCGCAGCGGCTGACGCCCGTGATATTCTCCGAGTTCGGCAACGCGCAGGACGCGACGCTGTACAACAGCACGGTGCAGAGCTGCATCCGCGGGTTCACGGAGAGGCACGGCGTCGGCTGGATGATGTGGAGCCTCGCGGGCAGCTACCGCGTGCGCTCCGGCGTCCAGGGCCTCGTGGATACTTGGGGCTTGACGAACGCCGACTGGTCCGCTTGGAGGGACCCGGATACGGTGGAGAATTACTGGAAGCCCTGGGTTGCGGCTATGAATTTGACGAGGAAGGGATGATATGAGTAAGTAAGTAAGCTGAATGTGTTATATAGAGGTACGTAGGTATACGATATGAAATATCATGTGAATATGCCACGAAGTTTGCCGATATTTTGAATCCGCCCAGGTAGACATTGGCGTGGTATAGAACAAACTGTAACGACTCAAGTTTAGGTACCGTTAACATAGGCAGGACCTAGATTCTGCTCTGAGAGTATAGTGTTTGTGTTAGTCCGGGTACAGTTTCATTAATTATTCTCGTTTGGCTCGTGCCTATTCTATGTCTGCAGTTATGCTATCCTCCAGGCTCTTTGAAATACATATTGTCCTCATCTAGATGCTGGGGTGATTTGACCGTGCCCCTTATCGCGAGGCGAATGTTCAACAAGTAAGGCCGCATCCGCCGTCCAACTAACGCCAAAGCCATGTATTTACACTCTCGCATCTATTCTTATTATGTTTTTACAATCCAGGATATGGAACGTTCAAAGCCATATCTGCTGGTATCACGTACCGCATCATGCTTGATGTATAATAGGCGATCATAGTCGAATATACAGGTCCATGCATTCGATCCTCCACTCACGGCGTCCGAGCAGGCTTCGAAGCCACTCTATGCCGAGTCCTGTCCATTCTTCTCTTTTCTTTGCTAACCCTTCGGCCGCAGCACCCGCTAGTGCGCTAGCTGTAGTATTCAGCATTTCAATAGCGGTGGCGTTGAAACTGTCGACCATAGGTTCAGACACCGCCGTCCCGTTGACCGGACATGATGATGTTGGAGTTCGCGGGGCGAACCAATTGCTACTAAAATCGAAGAAGCACCGCTCAGACCAGTAGCAAGAGGTCACAAACAATATAAGGAGTAGAACGGAACAATAGACGCAGGGTCGGTTGAGGAAGTACGTGCAGACGAAGAAGAGAAAGATGAATGCAGGAGAGGCATTTGTCGGAATGAACAGGAGGGGAAGCCAACTATAAAGAACGCTAATGTTAGCCGAGAGACACAGGAATGGATTTGTGAAGGGAGCTCTGAGGCCGAATACCTTCGAAGACAAAACATTGCGTCGCGTCTGAAAGCGTTTGCTAGCGGGAGCCCACAGGCGAAAAAACGTTGGGCTGAGATGTTGCACGGTCGTCCCAGGCAAACAATGAAGGGGTCTCGCAAATATTATTCTTATAACTAACCGTTCAGACAGGAAATATATTGTTGCTAAAGAGGGTGGGTAGAAAAAACTACGAAAAAGAAACCGAAATTTATCGCGTTTCTGCGAAATGGTAGTTTAGATAATTATCACGATGCGACGCCAGCTGCGGTTGGAAGACCGGAAAGCTTTAAAATTGCTGACATCAGTTGTCCGATTACATAAGATTTTTTCGAATTTAATTCGCAAGGATGCATTGGTGTGTGTCATTATGTATGTGTTGTACATATATGCAGGTAGGTTATCTCAGGGAAGTACGAACCAACTGTGATGCAAATACAATTTAGAATACTGGTGAGTCTGCATGAAAGAAATACCTGAAGCACGACTTTCAAGTACCTAGATACTTAAAGCGCATAAGGTGATAGGTTTCTACCGCAAGTAACTGCCGCCTCTAGGTTAGTTCCTATGGACTTGCCTTAGGTCCTTAGGTAACAGCCATAGCCTATAGGTTCTCACGGGTGTTACACACACTGCTCCACGGCAGGCACGCACATAAAATATTGCCCAAAATTTGATCTAGGCATTGTACATGGAACCTTCTAAGTACCCAGGTACGGAATAGGTACCTATGAAAAAAATATACCTCTAACTTCTCAGGCCCGTTGGTCCAGACCCTACAACGTCCCTGCCAGCCTGCCTTGATTACCTCTAATTGGAGGTATACTCTCCCAATTAGCGTACAGCTGCATCGCCGCCCAACTCGATTCAACTCGTCACATATCGTTCAACGTTCATTCCTTCCACGCAGAACGAGATTTCAAGACCCTCTCCCTCTTCTCACCCACAAAAAATTCCCGGTTCTCGTCTCTCGACGTACATACATCGTCGAACTGTTTTCGCTGTGTTTATGGTAGCTGGGTCAGTTTTTTAGTTTTTTTTTATCCAATAATTCACCTTCGGTTTCTACCTTATCGCCCCTGTCGCCGGATTGCCGATAGGAGCTTGACCTGGGTAGCTTACCTTTTTTTTTTTTTTTTCGGCGAGGCTGGTAAAAAAGAGCTTGATACGTATCGGATTGGAAGATCTTCGCAAATTCATTTTCTTTTCCCATCCTTCGCGTCAACTATCACCTAACACTATCATTATTTCCTCCCGTCTACTTCTTTCGCGTTCGTCATAAATAGCGACGTTCTAAAAAAAAAAAACCCCCTAACCTGCCGCACTTCAGGAATTGTCTTTCATCGGAAGACAAAATCTTAGTTAGGCAATACATACATACAATACATAGCATAGTACATACATCGTACTAAAGCAGCTCCACAACACAACTCCACTCTCTTCGCGCATCATGGCGGGTTATAATCCGCCTGGTAGCAGCGATTCAAACGGTTTGCACGCAATGCTTCTTCGCTTACAAGCTCAACGCAATGCGCAGAGAAGCGACGATTCTTCCCACGCCGCGAATGAGTTACTTTCACGATTCTCGTCGTACAATCAAGGCGTAGATTCTCAAGACTATTATAGTCATAGCCATTCGGCTACGGAATCTCCTCTGATAGGGTTAGACGAATTTCCTCCGCCTGCTCCGACACCCCCCAGTAACCCGAGCAGCTTCGCACACTCACACCATCCCACTGGGCCAATGGGACTGGGTCCAATTGGCACTATGCCTTCCAACGCCTCCAACAAAATTGATCAGAGTTCGCACCTATTGAACCTCCTGAAGTTTAGCGGACAGAATGCTCAGTCGGTGTCACAAACCTCGCCGCCTGGTCATTCACAACCTCAAGCGCCCTCGTTTGATGTTTCCGCTGGCATAACTCAATCGAATAACCCGCCGCCCATCCATGCACCGGTGCCGATGCCTGCTGATCCCCAAGGTCTTCTGGCTACTCTTATGAAGGGAAATTTGCAGAATGACTCTTCGCGAACAGAGCCTCAGGCTTCCCCCCAGCAGACCTGGAACACAGGTCTACCTTCGATGGATACTCAAGCATATCTACTCAATTTGCTACATCGACCGAAGCCTGCACAAAATGACCAACCATCATCTGTAAACGAGTCATCTCAACCTCCGACATTGACTCCGCAGTCAGCCAATGGTTCTTCCGTCGACCACCTCAAGGAGTATACTCCTACTAAGCATGGTCATTCTGATGCTGGTTCGCATGATACGACGCCGATGCCTTTCAGATTCGGATCGAGGGAGCACGCTGAATCCCCTACTACTAAATTTGAATATCATTCTCCTGTATCCCAATTCTCGCAGCTGTCTCAGCACGACAGTAGTCGCAAGTCTTCTAGATATGACCATAATTCGTTTGAGGCAGTCAGTACACTCTCGTACCAGAATACTGCATCCAAGTCTTCAACGCCGAACGCGCCAGTCAACCCTGGTCAAATTCTATCCGAGCTTCCCGCACCGATCGCTTTCAAAATTGCTAAGAAGACCCCTAGTGTTGCGTCTTCTTCCGGAGCTGCTCAGGAACATAAGCGACTTGGCAGTCAACGAAGTCCTATTACGAGCCCAGACCATGTCAGGCGGAAGCTTAACGACTCTCCCCAGTCTATCACCGAGCAAGAAGCTATCTCTCCCAGTAAAGCAGCTCTTATTATTCCCTCACCTACCGAGGAAAAGAGCACAGAGACTGTGGCAGAAGCAATCAACGGCCTTGCCGAAAAAGTCGACAGGGAAGCTCAAGAAGCCATAGAAAGGGCTGAAACCGAAGAGGTACAAGCTAAGATTGCCGCCGAACTTGAACACATGATGAGGGCGAAAACTGATGCTGAGTTCCAGGATCTGGCTGAGGCAGCAGCGAGAGATATCCAGAAGGAGCTTAACAAGGAAGAGAATTCTCATGTACTCGAGGATACATACCCGCCAAGAGTAGCACAATCAATTCGCGAGATTGTCGACGATGCGGCCCACGGCCCTGTTGCAGACAGCTGGGAAAGCGCCGAAGCTGACGAGATTGTCGTAATTGAAGAGACTTCAAATCCCGTGAAGGTTTATAACTTCCCCATGAAGCCGTGGATTTCAATCACTATGCAGGAGACGGAAGAATCCCGTCCCCAATTCCGCGACGAAGTCATTCTCGATATTGCGCGTCTGAAGAAGGAATTTGACCAAATTGATCGAAATCTTGTCACTGCCACTGAATCCTACATGGTTTACGGCATGTCTAAGGCTGGTGGACTTCGTGTGATACGACAGGATGACGGTAAGGACGCCAAACTATTCACTGACACGAAAGACCGAATCTTCAATGTAGCCATGTCATCTACCCCATCCGACCTCCATTCCACGCCAAAGGAATCCATTATCGGTACTGGTATTAGCGGAACAGTCTACTACGTTGAGATCAAAAATGGTGATAAAGACCATTTGGACGATGCCCATCCGGAGCAGTATGGATTTATCCTCCCCCCGCTTACCATCTCCCAAGAGGGCGGTGGTGATAACGGAGGTGTTTTAAAGACCAGAGCTAAGACCTCGTCTACTCACCCAGAATTCTTCGCTGTCGGCCGTGGAAAAACGATTAACATCATTTGGCCGTCGTATATTATGGCCAACGGTATTTTCAAGTCCGGCCATGATCGTGTTGTTGATACCGAAAAACTCTATAGAGACTGTTCGCTCAGGATCAGCACAGGCAAGGCAGGCAAGGACTTCACCTTCAGTCAAGATGACACTACCATTGTATCCCTTGACAAGTCCGGCCGCGTTAAGTTTTGGGACGTGCGGGATTTAACTGCGGCCGATGAGAACTCTGACCCTTGGTCTCCTATGCCTGCCCACAATTCCCTCGAAGTCAAGGAACCGCTTATGACCCTGAATACCACCCCTGAAGGAGAGAAAGCCTGGCCAACCTCTGTGTTATTGCTGGATAAGCAACGGCCTTACCAGAAGGGATGGGCCCTACGGTATATGATCGTGGGTATGAAGCAAAACCATACGCTACAGCTATGGGACCTTGCCTTAGGTAAGCCGGTGCAAGAGTTCAACCTTCCACATGCGAAAGAGTCGGATCCGGTATGCAGCGTCATGTATCACCCTCCCTCCGGTATGATTGTAGTGGGCCACCCGACACGTAACTCAGTTTATTTCCTTCACTTGTCGGCACCAAAATACACGATTAAGGGTCTGTCTCAGGTTGACTACATCCAAAAATTGGTAGTAAAGGATCCATCAATCCCAGAGCCCGATTCGACTGCTGTAATTAGCGGTATACGCGAGTATTCGTTCGCCAACAAAGGTGTACTTCGCAGCCTCGATATATTGATCAACCCTGCCACGTCACCCGATAACGATGAGCAGAGTCTTTTCGAGTTGTATGTGATGCATTCGAAGGGTGTCACTGGAATCGTTGTGAAGCAGAGTGAGCTCGGTTGGTCGAAAGATAATAAGGTTATTGATGGTGTTGATGCTGCCGAGGCCGGCTTGGTCAAGATTACGAAATTAAAAGAGCTACCCAGCCCTCCGGTGTCTGAACCTCAGTCCACAGAAGATCACAGCCCTCCTTTCCGAACTCGGCCTGTGAAGGAGACGCCCCCACCACAACTCACAACAGGTTCTTCTGCCCAAGAGCCAAGTCAACGGGGCGGTGATACCCAACCCCTCACTGGACAATCCGAGCGTAAAGAGACTGTGGCCCCAGTCACGCCAGCCAGCCAACTAGAGAAGACAGAGAAGAAAGCTCGAAAGAAGCGAGATAGAGCTGCCGCTGTTGCCGGCAAGCTAACCACAGAGAATATGCATGCAAACGGCAGTTCACAATCACGAGGTGATTCGACTCCCTCGAAGCACTCAGAGAAGTCCTCTACGTCTTCACCCCAGCCTCTCATATCGCAGGAAGCTATCCAGTCAACGGTCAAACAGATAGTGTCTGGCCTTGGCGACAAGCTTACTGGAGTTATCAACAGCGAGTTCAAGGATCATCGGGAAACTGTCGACAGTGAATTCCGCGCGCGTGACGACAAGTTCACCAAGAATCAACACCTATTACTGGAGAAAGTATCTAACGTGCTGAATGCCAATGTCCAGGCTGTACTCACTAAGACCATCAGTGATCAATTCGAGACCGATGTGGTACCTATTCTAAGTGCTCTGATCACGAAGACAATTTCGGAACAGATTGATGGGAAGATGATTGGTCGAGTTTCGCATTCGATTCAAAATCAGATGCAAAAGCTTCTCCCAAATGCTGTTAACCAGGCACTCCAAAAGCCAGAGCTATCCAAGTCTATTTCCGATAAGGTTGCTAGCAGTGTAGCCGTCGATTTGGAGAACTTTCGCCAGTCATTCTTGGCTACTATCACCCCTCTCATCAACGACACGGCGGTCACATCTTCTCGTTCTATTATCCAAGAAGTGCAAGATCGAACCGCCGAGCACATTGCAGAACTTGAACGACGACATATCGCTGACAGCAATAAGATCGACCAGCTCACAGTACTAGTAACCAGTCTTTCTGACACTGTCACCGCCATGGCCACTACGCAGACACAGTTCCAAGATAGCCTTCTAAAGATGCAGCAGCAGAACTCGCGTGAACCTGGCTCTAACATACAGCATCAACCACCCCAAGCCCACTACGCCCAACCCCTACAATCTCAGTCGTTTTTGCACGGTAGTCCTACGGCAAACACTTCTCTTCCAATGGCGCCATTTGCATCGAACAATTCTAGCGTCAGAGAGCCATCGAATTCTCGGGACCCCGAGCTTCAGCATATGATTGCCAACGTCGCAGCGCTTATGGAGAGGGGTGAATATGAGACCGGATTAGTGCGATGGATTCAACAAGGCCGCCACCCGGAAGTCTTCAACGAATATCTTGTCAAGCTAGACCCCCAGTTTCTCCGCGAATTGCCAGCTCTAGTGTCACTCTCTGTGGCATCCGTCATTGCCGAACAACTAGACGGCCCCCTCCTTAGGGAGAAAATCAACTGGGTGGAAGCAGTCATTCGCATCTTACATGCATCACTCCCACACATAGTTAGTGACCAACCTAAATCCAAAGATAACAACTCTAAACAAAATACCCTACAGGACCCTCAGGTTCGCGACGTGGTTCCGAATCTCATGCGCTCCTATCTCGACCGATTCGACAAGCTGTACATTCAGATCAGCAGCCGATCTCCATCGGATCCCATTTTAGGGCGACTCTCTACGATGACTACTATGGCGAGACAAGTAAGAGATGCTATCGCCCTTCATCGCCTCGGTTATTAGCCTAGTCTTCTGTCACAGCCTTGCGGGGGTCGCATATTCATAACGGGTAGAAAGCGCCTTGATTAATCTTCAATTGGTTCGTGAATGCCATTTGTATGAGAATCCGAGGCCTTTACTGATCGTCTTTTTAGGTATTCCCAACGATTTTTATTCTCTTTCCTCCGATGATCCAGTACAGTCTCGTTGTTGAGTCGCTCTTGGGCCAATACTCGACGTTTTTTTTATTTCCAACGACGGATAATCAGGCGTTCATAGTCTTGGAGGGAGAGGCCCTTGATGCTCAGGGTATTTGACTTGAGCACCATGATTGATGAACAACATTAACTAGTCAGACATATAACACATAATGTTGCAATTGTTGCTTCTAGTTCTCATTGCACATAGCTTTCACTTGCAAATATCACCACGGTCAACATATGATCGTAACGACGGGTTTTCGGTTTTTCACGCGGAATGATACCCATCCGGTGGATGTCTTTACGCTTGGCGTACTAGATGGCATAGTTTTTATGAAAAGTTTCGATCGTTTATATTACTGCCCGTTGAGTATCTCCACGTTGAATTTGGTTGTATCGTGAATGGCAATGCATCGTAAGCGAAAATATGCCCGAAATATTCGTAGACACGCAGCCCCTTAAAAAGGCTAAAGTTCCATGAATCAATCAACCCTAACTAGTTCAATTAATACACTCAAAGATTGCAAAGAATTTCACTTAAATCAAGTTTAAATAAGGTCTTGCTATGGAATTTCCCGCGATATACGTAGGCGTCGATTTAGGTATATACAGACAACCCGTTTACATAATAGCTGGTAGACTTCAAATGATTTTAACTATAGAGCAGTAAACGCGAGCTCATACACGTAACCAAGGACGAGCTTAGAATGTTCGAGCATGTGGTCGTAGTTGATGGTGTCGAGAGTGTCCTTCGCGCTGTGGATGTTCCTGTTGTCAATTTTCCTATCGGACTCGATAACAAAAGCGGCTGGGTATCCGGCTGCCGTTGCTGATCCGTGGTCCGAGCATGCGTATCCGCAGCGCGTGTCGACGTAGCCGATGTCCGTGTACTGGTGGTTTCTACTGTTAGGTGCTGGGTGGTTACCGGGATTTCGAGAGTGAGTGACACTTACCTCGCTGACTAGGCGGATGAAAGCTGTGAGACCTTGGTCGACGTAGTCGGTTATGACGCCCACTATCGAAGTGCAGGTTAGCATGTAAGTACCTAATACAGTTGGTCCCGATCTAATGCTACCAAAGGCAGGTATCTATTTCACTCAATTCTTGCCCCTAAGTGTATGGAGCCCTTAACTGGTTCTTGTGCTGGGATAAAGGGGTTATGAAGTGAACCCAAAATAATGCTTACTCGGATTGTTACCCCAACCTGTCATATCCTGCTGAAGCATCGCCATGACAACGACTCCATCGGCAGCGTATGAATCGAAGATTTCACCACTACCAAGTAAGCCAAGCTCCTCGCCGGAGTACCAGTGAAATTCGATGGTGTTGTCAGCCTCGCCGGCTACAATTTTGGGATCGCTCAGGAGGGCCTTCAAAGCTTCCAGGTTCGTTATAGAGCCAGATCCATCGTCATCTAGCTCACACATCGCCAATTAATTAGTCCGGCTTGAGCAGGTGTTAAATCGGAGTAAGATGGTGGACCTTACCGGCACCGGGCGATCGAGCCTCCCAGCCCTCCTGATTAATGGAATCGATATGCGCGCCCACTACGATCTTGTCGGTTAACCTTCCGGGGATCGTCGCGATGATGCTGTTCTGCGCCCACCTATGCTCGAATGTCTTGACCGTTGCGCCTGCGGCCTTGCTCTCCGAGAGGAGCCCCTGGACCTCGGAGAGCAGCCAGTCGGAAGCGTCCTTGGCCCATGTGGTGTTGTAGAATCGGGAGTGGAACTCGGTCAACGTCGTCAATTTCTCCTGCACGTTTTCTCTGCTGAGCTTGGAGATGAGACCGCGAACCGCTTCGGTCTGGTTTAGCGCGCTGGGATACGATACTGCCGCCGCGGCCTTGACCGACGCGTCGGTTGTGGCGGATTGTACAAGGTTCGGCCGGTTGGTGATGTCGATGAACGACTTTCCTTGCTTCAGGAGGTAGCTATTTAGTAATTCGGATCTTGAGCATGAGTCGTATAATTACTGCTCACAAATTTCAGTGCCAACTTCTCGGCTTCGGTCACCTGTTGCGTCACGCCGGGTTCCAACTGGATCGTGAACAGGGGTTCCTGGTCGGTTCCTCGACCTATGGCGAGAGCGGTTGAAGTAGCAGCCAGAGCTGCGACGAGTAGTAGGCGGACCATGTTTCAATTGTCGGTTTCCTCGAATATACCGATGTGCAATCAGAAGGTGAGGCACTTGTAGAATGCTAACGGGGATCGAAAACGGCGAAAGTGTGACTAGAGAAAAACGCCCTTGGCATCAATGCCTAACGACTAGATGATCGCTACTTATAAAGTAGTCACGAACTAGTCACGAACACGAAGTTCTGTAACCAGCCGATGCGGAAAGCTCACTACTTCGCCTGTAACCTTAGAGGTCCCGATGGGTCGCGCAAGAGTTTATACTATCCTAAGGAGAACCTCGGACAGGTATGGAGGCAGTAGCTTAGGAAATAGAATTTCTTCTTGTCACGGATACCCGTGTTGTTTATATCGTAACATGCGTGTTCAATCATCCCACTCTAGCGGATCATCACCTCCCGGGGTCGCATCGCGAATTGCTGTGCAACTATTGGACGGGTAGCACGTAACAGTTCCACTGCGGTACCTCTACCTACCATTGATTAACGCATATACTTGGCATAAGGCATGAAAACGCGGGCTTCGGTGTAGGCGATCTACATACTCGGCAGGTGAAGTCTTATCGCACGGTCGTGCGGTAGCAGTGGCTACCTAACAGCAGCCAGTAAACCCCGCGATGGAGACATCTGGGCTGAAATTGGCGGGAAGCAATAGGTGATTTCTCGGCTGACGTCCCCTAGATAGGAAGGTTTTAAGATGTTGCCAAGACGAGATTGGTTGACCTCCACCGGATCTCGGGAGTTGGAGATCGACGGCCCTTTGCTGGTAATTAGGGGGTTGCAGGCTTGGCAGTGCGTGATCCTAGGATGTTCATGAACTAATAACTTGAACTCTTCAAATACCTAGCATCGACTTACGAGATGTTCAGTAGTCATTTTGGTCCACTGGAACTTAATACACTAATGCAGAAGTTCATTAGTTAGTAGAACTACAATATTACGATATGGACTTGTCTAGTTGATACTACATATATCTTCAGTGGTTAAGTACTCATAACCAGTTGTATAATAACCACTCGCTTAAATTTATTACGTTTTTTAGGTAGTGAGAGCAGTTTCTATGCTGTATGGAATCGATTCAAATTATCCTTCCTTAGATGGTTACTTAGATATCAATAGGGAAGCAGGCGTATCGATGCTTGCCTAAAATTACCTGCCTGATAGGTGTGTTAAATCAAGAGGTAATAATTCATAGAATACCTAACTAGGTTCTCCGGATCGTTGCCGCATTTACGATTTAAGACTGCGCTGTTTAAAAAGTTGACTGAATTGCCAAAATCACAATAAGATCATTGTCCCCCCTTCTCCCCCTTATCAAGAAACACCTCCTTCCCTCCATAAGAGGTACCTAGTATTATGAGGGTAACTCACAAACTAATCATATTCGGTCAACTTCGACAATACCCCCAATAGTGTGCGGTCTATGCCAAAACTTAACAATCTTCAGTCCTTTGACACCACCGACCAGCCTATGCCAGTCATTTTCAAATCTTTCAGCGGAGGAACATAGCGCCATCATTGTCATGTCCGGAAAGGTGACTTGTATAGAAAGTTCCCGCATGCTAATAACATCCTCGTAAATCAGGATCTTGGAATAGCCCGGTTCCATCGCATCAGCGATATTCTTCAAGATCTCGGCTGCCTTGTGGTCCGGCCAATTATGGAGTACTATGTGTAAATAGTACGCCCGAGCGCCTTTGACGGGCTGAGGAGTGAAGAAGTCGTGTGGGCACACGGAAATGGCTGGGTCTACTGTCAAGCCCTCGACAACCTCTGGTATATCCTGTAAAACAAGACTACCTTTCGGGATATCGGGATACTTCTGGTGAAACTTTTCGAGGTCATGACCTTTGCTACCACCGACGTCCACGACGAGCGGGCGGTCCATTTTGGCACCCATGACGATCTGATACGTATCGTATACTTCGGTCCATGGTAAAATGCTGCCTCGTGCGTGGCATTTCATTACATCTGCAAACTCTTTACTACGAAGGGGAGAAGCTCCTACAAACCCGTAGAGTGATGAGCCTTTGCCATGCACGCGCTGGAAGTTACCGTCTTTCTCGTCGTTGGGATTTTTAAATCCGGTTCCTCCAAGGTACGAAGGTAGCGAAAGAGCCAACGGGGCAATTAATTCGTGATAGAATGTCCCATAGATTGATGCAATCGCAGGGTCTGTCCCCAGGCTCAAAGCCCAGGGCGTAGAGGCATACGTATCCTCGCCAACAAAGGTAATGAGATGCTGGGCGGCAATGTGTCTAAGAAGACGACCTAACGGATCGTTAGTACCTATGTCTCTAGTATATGGTACTGGATACTGATTATCGTCTAAGGACTAGACTTACTCAAAAGAACAGCATCTACACCTGTCAACTCCGCGAATTCGTCTACCCTCAAAGGCTTACTCCCTTGTTCTACCCACTTCGTGAAGACACGGGCATCAATCAATGTTTTGACGGAAGCTGCGATCGTAGGATTAACGAAGCCATGAGTACTTGCAATATCCCAGGGCGACTGGACTTTCCGAAGTGTGGAGAGGATCGCGTTACTGAGTCGAAGACGCTCAGATTCCGAATCGAAAGACTCGGTATTGATTTCATTAAGTCTAGAGATAGCCTGGTCAACGGATGCCATATTGGAGGATATGAGGAGCGAAAGATGCCTCAAGGCTGATCGTATCTGTAGGTATAAGAACTGAGTGTGCTTGTAAAGTTGGGGAGGAAGTTATGGAGGGATGAAAGACGAGTATATATAGGCAATTAGAGTAGGTACCTAACCAAGAGCCTAAGGTTATAACCTGTGACCCTCTGTTGATTCTTACATTCCGAATAAGAGGCTTTACCTCGTGGTTCAGGACATAAGCCGGAGACGACGGGCAACTACTCAGCACATGATTTTTCCCCCTTACTTCTCTAGGAGTGACTTTCACACATAGCGCTCTACATCATATCCACGTGGACATTGGCATTCCAATTTGTCTGTAAGCCAAAGCTGCAAGACACGGTTCAGCCATCGGAATGGATCAAACTCCGAAATCCTTTGAGAGCTGACATAACGCCGTTCTAGTGCGTCACTATCTAGGCGAGTTAGTGCTTCTATAATTGCTTGGACTACGTGGGTGGGTGTTTGTTCGGATCTCGAAACCTTGTGTCCCCTCTATAAGTTTTGTAACTCAAAGATGGATGCTCCTGTCTGACCTGATGTCTGCGCCCGTATGGACTATCAGTCTATCATGAAATGCAGTCCTACGGCGAAGAATTAGACCGAGAACAATGTTAGTTTTCGCCTTGTCTAATTTTCTCGTCCCATGACGTCGAAGGATAGAGGGAAGCCCATAGCCAAATCTCACCAACGTTCTTAGATGGCGAAGTGCACATTGTATAATGAGGCTCGTTGGTGCTCACACCAAGTGTAGGTTGGGGAATGAATCTAAATCATGTTAACCAACCTATTCTCTCGTACGAAATAAAAGATAGGAATATCTGATCTACCTGCCTTAGTTGGTATTTTCTTACAAGTTTGAAAAAGTTAGGTTAGGTATATTCCAAGATAAGGAATGGAAGTCATCCAAAGCTTGTTGTGGTAGATAAGGTACGCAGGTACCTAGGTACCTAAAGGTAGGACTTACCCAAAAGACATTCTAATGCCTGTCAGAAATCAGATATGTCAAAACGCGGAGGCGGGACGCGGACTCGGACACAGAACCTTTGAAGCAGGCTATGTAATAGGTGGGGGGTTACCGCTTTTCATGTTGCGCAACATACCTAGGTACCTCACAATACAATAGGTACATGTGGATAGCAATTAAGTTGTCTTGGACCAGAACGGCAATATGCATATTCGAGTTGTCATTTATAAGAGGGGTAAAAAAAAAGAAAAAGAAAAAGGGAAAAAAGGGACAAGGTAGGCTTGAGTTAGGCAAGGCTTCAGGCATGCAGGCAGACCTTCTTCCCTATCTCCAAATAAACTCTCCCCTCAGCTTCAGCCTTCGTCTAAGAGCCCAAGTTAATTAATTGACTCCTCTATATTTCTCCTTCGAGATCATTGTCGTCAACTCCCGTAAATATAGGAGTTTCTTACTTCTAATATACTATTACGATTTTAAAACTATCGATGACTTGCTAGAATCGAAACAATACCAACTTCATCATGATTCACTTTTCAATTACCTTTCCTCTTGTTAGTAGCTTGGGACGCCTGCTTGTTAAATTTGAAGCTAACCTTAGGTACCTATCTTCAAAAGGTGCTGCTAGCTTTGGCGGCCGTCGCGATGTAAACTATTTCGAATCCCTTTTCTTACAGCTTCTATGCTCTCCTAGTTCCCACGACTGACATGCTACAGCTATGTCCAAGTTACCTCGAGCACTCTATCTCTCCCCATAGCGACTGGTACTACCGTCCTCACAATCATTCTACCATTTATAGCAGCTGCCAACTTCTTCTACCTACCCCGATTTTCCCAAATGCTTCGTCAGACAGTTACATCAAATCCATCCCTGTTACGATTCTTGCCCATGGTACCTCCGGTTCTACAAGCTATCCTGACGGTGGTGTTGGCCACCCTCGCAGCTGAGGGCTTCTCGTCCGGCCAGGTCACCGACTGTAGTCTGGAGCTGAACTGGCAGCGTCTGTACAAGGCAAAGGACTTCAGGGCTATGTCGCGCATACAGGATGCTCTGAATTGCTGTGGTCTCCGCTCTGTCAAGGATCGCAGTGCGCCCAACGGTCGATGCCACGAGCTCCATGAGGATAGAAACGACTTCTGTCTTACCCCCTGGCGCGCTACGAGTAAGTGATGTCGGCAGCTCTTTTTCGCTTTGCCTATCACAACCCTTCGCACTGGACCTATTTCTGGAGCACTTCTTCCTCGAGGACTCGAAGTTCCCGGACTCCCCTATTTAAATAATTGCTAACCGGGACTTCAGTGCAACGCAACTCTGGGCTCGAGTTTGGTGTAGCCGTAGCCGTCGGACTTATCCAGGTAACAATCCTTGGCTATTACCTCACCATCTTCACTAATTCTCGTATCAGTTGGCCCATCTCGTCCTTTTCGGGCTGCGCAATTCAAGTAAGAACGCCGGGCCAGGATATAGACGTGTCATTCAGAATATCGGCCCTAGTAGTCGCGAAGGCTTGCTAGAAAACGGGAGGGTAGATGAGGAAGACGACGGTGAGAATGGAAATAGCCGTCGCGGTTACGGCACCGCTGAGAACGGCGCAAATCATAGGATTGAGCCATCCGGCCTTGGAGAGGATGGAAATAACTGGTAGTAGTTTTCTCTGCCGGACGTCCTAGTCGAAGGGGTAATCAGTTCTAGCGAAGGTTCGGACGAAGCATTAGGAACACCGATGGCAACTGAATTGGGTCTTGAAAAGGAGGTAGTACCGGCATTTAAGGTTATAATTTTCTAGGGACAATGCTACGTTACCATATGTAACTGAGAAAGATTGGTAGATTGAGATACGAAGAGTAGATGCTTAAGCTAATAAACTGATGTAATTACAGAATGCCTATTTTCACCAATGGTTACCTATGACGTATCCAAACTTCTCTGGAGTGAAGGTTATGTGTCCGAGCAAAGGGGCTAAATGGGGGAGCCGGCTTCGTCGCCGGTATGGACCCAGGTAGGATGTCAGGGGTTTTGACTCTCCAGTGGCGGTGCGGCCCCATCTTGTGTTCGGCGGCGTCTATAGAGACGGATACCAAATTGGGACGTCCGTTGCCTTCTGATTCGTCGGGAGTTGACTCTATTTTGCATACACTAGTATGGGTCTCGTCTGAACCGAGTCCAATGTTAGTGTTAGGATGGGCAAGTGGTAAACGACTAGTAGACACTTCTACTGTACATCTAGTTCCTTACATTTACATAGCTGAGTACCTGGTATAATTAACTACAGCGTCTCTCGTATGACCTTTTCATAATTAGTTTCTACTAGAGAAATTTGTGGGCCGTAGAGACGCCACGGGAGACGTAAATAGGCAAACAAAGAGGTGACATATCAGCAAACATGTCATCCCAACTGGGACACCCAACGAGGTACAGATGCGAGGTCTTCTTAGGTGGGTATGAGCCTTAAAAATACTTCCAAGGGTGTGCATTTATTCAGACCTCAAAACTTTCTAGGTGCATTTAATTCCGCATGGCTTCGCCTTGAAAAACGACATAGGCACTAAACGAAAATGTCGACGTAGATCCAACATCCAACTTAGGAGAATTTTCGTAAGCATAGCAGCATCATCCCGGGGCGGAGCTTAGCTCTTAGCCCCTTTTCTCATGACCTAGAAACCGGCCTAACCAATGTTATATCATACCACACTTCTCTCAATAGTACATAAGTTTCGATTAGGTCTTTCATAACTCGTATGAACAGTTAAAATATGTGCGACAGTGGTGTAGCACTTCCCTCATTTGGTTCAAGCTGACCAGTTGAGTCCAGGCTGCTGTTCCTCGTAAAAGACAAGGTTCTCCTTGTAATACGGGCACTTATAAAGGTTTCAGGTGTGCCTATGAACCACTCCGGTGTTATTCTGTTATAAATCAAAGGATGCATAAACTGACATAGTAATTTGCATAGTCCAGTGAACGGCTCGTTCCAAATTCTTGTCTGCACTAATTCGTATTGGATCTTGTCCTCTATCTGCAATCAGGGGACCCAATGTACTTTCATGCGGTCCGACGGTTGCAATTGTCGACCCATATGAAGTACCCTCAGTCCGCGTAACACGGTTCCTAGGAGAGAGCGAAGATACTGTGGCTAAGACATCAATCAGAGCTGCTTTCTACAATGAATAGAATATGTAATTTCGTGGGCGGCTTCGGGCAGGTTACACAAGATATGACGAGATAGTACAGGCGAGCTCGAATGTCTATTTCAATATACAAAGGACTACGTCAGCTTTAGATTCCCATTCCTATGGGAAGTTACCTAGTACGTATATGCAACGCGGTGCGTGACATTGAGTGGGGGAATAAGCAAAGCCTTGAGATGGATGTCTGATCGTATTATTGAGCTTAGGTACTACTAATGCTGTCATAAAAAGGAATCAGCTGAATACATATGTGAGCCAAAACGTTATTCTCCTTCGACCCTTTCGGCCTGTCTTGCATGTAGTTGTTTATGTCGTTTGATTTTAGTATGGTATGTGTTGCATTTGAGCTCGTCGAGCTCCCGTGCCTCCTCGGCAATACCGGAAAAGACGAAAGCCCCGAGAGCAATGAGGCGCGCATACTTTACGGAAAGGGGCTTAGGCTCAACACTACCAAATTACTGGTAGCCGTTTATGAAGAGCTCCCAAGCGGGGTTTGGTCTCAGACGCTGGTGAAGTCAAGAACCACTTTCGGGAGTTCGATACTAGAGTCAACACGGTCAACCATCCGTCTGGTGAAGGAGTTTGGCTGAAGACCCCTCTGAACCCTCTCTAAACCTCCTGTGAGGAGGTTTGGTGCGGTGTTCTTCCCAGACTCAACCTCGCCTTAATCTTAGAGTAAGCTCGGTCAGGGGTAGTTAATTTCCTTGGTCGCTACATGTTTAAGGTAGAAGTGAGTATTGACTAATACTCTAATACTGGGAATAACTTCATGATTGATCTAGTGACCACAGCTCATGGGGACTTGGGTAGGATCTGTACATCTCACTTCACAATCTCCATTGCTAGCCATACCTATCAAAGGAAACTTGGTTTCCTCCCTCACGCGACCTTGTGTCATCCACGTAGTCTTTTTTTTTTTTTTTTTTTTTTTTTTTTGAAACTTATCTTCGTCTCTCAGGTGGTGGTCCATCAGCATCTTGACACTTGGCTCGTACAACATGTCAGGGACAACATACATATATAGTAACCGTTAAACTCCTAAATCCAGTATCAGGTGCCCTTATAAAGGCGCATGGTTGGGTTTATTTTCGGTTAAAGTGGAAGTACATATGATCACTCTCACAATATAGATCCAATCAGATAGGGGTGGCGTAAATAGATCGCCGTCGGCTTATCTAGAATGTATTCATCAGTGCTTCATTACAACATAGGCCTCACCTGACTACCAAAGTCTGCATAACATACTCTATCGGGCTTCCCTCCTTCATTCTGTAAAGCAGTTACATCCGCTTCGAGGCTTTCTCAGTGCTTCCCGCCCTCCTTCTTCTTCCGCTCCGTCTTCACCAATCCGTCGAAACGCACCATCGCGGGATACCCCTCCATCAGGGTATCCGCAATCCACAGCAGCCATAGCTTGCTGTACGCGTCGACGCCGTGCTTCGTCAGCCGCGACCGCGCCATCCACCATGCTTCGAACAGGTGCAGCACAACTGTAGGCACGAGGATCGCGCGCACGACCCAGAAGTACCGGGCCACGCCGCCGAAGGGGAAGTACTGGTCCAGAAACGCCCAGGCGGCGGTGCTCGGCCGCACGAGGGGCAGGGTGGCGACGCACACGACGTACAGCGAGACGCCGATGAAAGTCGCGGCGCCTATACCCCGGGGCGGCGTGATAGTCGAGATGCGGATGTCGCTGAGCCCGAGTTTCTGCAGGGCTTCCGTGGCCATGTCGACGAGGCGCACGCGCGCCTCTGCGGCAGAGGCTAGGGGCGGCTTGATGGAGACGGAGTGAGTGGCCCCGGACGCGGTACGGATGGTCATGGTCTCCGTGGTCATGTCCGTTAGCTGGGCGCCGCGGGCGGCAGAAGCGGGTAGTCCGTTGAAAGCGCGTAGGTAGTGCTCCAGCTCCCGGTAGTGGTCCGCGTTCATGTGGGAGATGATGCGGGTTTTGTGAGGTTCATTAAGGGCAGTCATATTTGTTACTTCTTCGCTTTTTTTTCTTCGTCTCTCTCTCTCTCTTTTCTCCGTATTTACCAAAACCAAGATCCCCTTTATCTTGTTGGTAGTTGGTGAAGTGGCTTGAAGTAGCGTTGCGGTGATGCCTCGCACACTAAATGAATAAAGGGATAACTAAACTGAAGAGAACGGATGTTTGAACTGATCGTCGGGTTATTCGGCGGTAGCAAGTGGGGAATTTCTTTAGCCCGCATTGCACCAATACATGCATTAAACCAGGTAGCTGCAGGTGAGGGGGGCTTGGGGGTGAGCTTTAACGCAATACGCAACACAAGTATTGTACTTAGTGAAGCCGTATCAGAGTTTACGTATCACGAATGCTATAATTTTTAATATTAGGAGGTACGTAACGTAACAACATATATGGTTGAGTAGAAAACGACTGCCATACTTACGAATAATGTTCATGACAGATACAAAACAGGGGGTGGTGAATTAGGCCTAAGCATATGGGTAATCTAGGTACCTTAGGTTCGGTACCTTAGGCATTTAAATTTTACGCAGCGCTCACGTCCAAGCACTTTCCATCATTTATATTTATATTCATTAACGAATGAAATTAGTTATAGAGCCCAATTCAAGACAACCTAGGCCGGTCCTATCCTTAAGCACACTGAGAGTAGTACGGTGGAGAAACGTCACTGCAAGTAAGACCTTCAGCACATGCCGTGCATCCCGTGTACCCCTGACCACCACACTGCTGATATCTTGCTTGCGCACATCCGGCTTGGCCTCCGCCGGGGCTGCCAGCACCCGATGTAGGCTTAGGGGCTGATCCAATGGCAGTGCCGACAGGACCGGAGCCAACGGCGCAAGTCTTCGCGCAGCCGGCCGAGCAGCCCGAACCAGCCTGCTTTGTAGTACCGCCAGCGATTACGGCCGGGCCCGGGTTCACGTAGTTGCTTACTTTGGAGTGGATGTTGATTTGGATGCCAGGGTCGCTGCTCTTCAGGGCGCCAGGGAGCTTAACACCAGCCGGTAGTGCAGCGGCTTTAGTCTGGCCACCCCTGACGCTGAGTTGATAGCATGAAACGTAGAACTGAGCACCGCCGGCGCTGGACGCGGTGTGGAGTGCTATGACTTCAGCGCGCAGCAAGTAATCGCCATCTGGTGTATCTACCGGAATAGGGACATCCATCTTTCCGCAACATGAGTTGAGATCGTTAGTTCCCCAGTTGTCGGCATCTCCAACTGTGCCCTTAGCCGACCACGAGTCCGCGAAGATCTTATACCACGGGGTAGATCCGTCGGCAGATGAGGAGTCAGGAACCTGGCTAAGGTATACGTTCACTGGGCCAAAGTGATTTCCGCCAATGGCGTCGCTATTACATTTCCGGTCGCCGGGTTGCTGTGCAATAGTCAACAACTCCATCCTGGAGAGTCCTGATATAATATCGCTCTTCTTACAGCATGCATCTCGATTGTTACCGTGGAACCAGCCTTCACGGCACACTTTCCCGAGACACCTCGGCTACCACCGACGTTACATCGAATATCAATGCTGTTTACGTTGGTAACAGGACTATTAGACGGCGGCATTCGAACGCATTGGGAGCCGTACTAAGTTAGATTAGTTTAATACCCTCCCCAGAGCGTTATTCAAAACTTATCATGTCAACTCCATCGACCCAGAGGTCCTGGAATATAGAGTGTCCAGCCACATTAGTGGCAGCTAGGGCAGTAAGCGCTGCATAAAGGGATGGCCTCATCTCGTCAAGCTGATGAACTAGTGTCTAATGATGATATGGCTTTAGGTTAACCTTGTAGTTCTAGTTCGGAGAGGCAATTCGAATGACGATCCAAGTTGAAGTCGCCAGGGGTTTTATATTTCCAGTCCGCGCCTTCGTTATGGCTACTACCGCAGAGAGACGGACGCACCATGATCGTTCATACGAGGATCAGGACATTCCGTCTAGTTGGATTCGGCCTGGTCCTTCATTAGAAATAGTCAAACTTAATAACGCCGAAAGGCGTAATTGGCCCGGCTGAATACCCCAGGTTATGGTTGAATTCCCCGGATTTCCCACCCCCGATCTCAATGCGCTCATCACATCTAGACCAGCCTATCGGCAGTGTAACGGTAATGCCAGGTATAAGAAGAAAGAAAGGCATGGCTTGCCGTCATTCTAATTTTGGATATTCCTCGTTGTCGCCGAGGTAGGGTTCAAAGACACCACCTATCAACGCTACCGACCCTCCAGCTAGAAGATATCCCGATATCCTCGGCACCAAAACAAGCACCCACCATAACTATTGCGAAGCTGTTTAATTAGTTTTTGAGACAATGAAACATTGGTAAGAACGGGATATATCTCTTCATATTCTTAGCAAGCCAGCTCTTAGGGAGATAAATGAATAAATCACAGGGTCGTAATTGTACATCCGGTTAGCATGTTCCAATAGGTAATCCGTATGAAGAAAAAATATCAATAAAATGCTCAACAATCATTACTAACTATTCTCTCAAAGAGAATTATAGGAGATCTAGATTAAGTAGGCGCCGAAGGTGGTATGCGTGTCTAAGTTCTTACTATAGACAGTCTACGCGTTAGCGTTCGCGGAGTAGTCGGCGAGCAACGGCTAGTCAGACGCTTTATAGCCCACTATAGCAGCAAGCAAGTTAGCAGTGTTCTCCTGTCCGTTAGATAGGTACCTGTAAGCAGGTATGTTTCCGAAGCCGAAGCCGAAGCGGCAACGGAAATAGGGGTCAAACTCCGGAGCATACTTACTCCCAATCCTCCACCAACTCCCTAATCCCCGTTGCTCCATTCTCTCACCGAACTCGGTTACGGAAGCCACTTCTTCGAAACCCCCGTTTCTTGTTTGGTCGACAGCACCCCGAACTTGGTGAGCAGCTGGCTTTTGTGCGCATTGGAAGTCTTTATATCTTAATCCCTGAACCATGTTGACCCAGCTGCTGACAGAGACTTCGTCAGGTCCTTCGGCATACATGATACCGGGTGACCCACCACTTCGGATCAAGACATGCAAGTTATAGAAAGCAGCAGCCTTCTTCACACGCGCGAGCTTCTTGCGGCTGGTTATGTGGTGAGTTCGGATTAATGCTGCGAAAATACCTTTTGCGCCCTGACTCATAACGGCAGAATAGTTCCACCACGTCTAGAGTAGGTATGTGAGCCGTTTTGTCCTACTTAATATACTGTATCTATGCAAGGTTGATGTTTGGCGACGCTTTCACTTGGCCCTTTTCTCACTGGTTCAGCTACGATACGCGGGGCACCTGGGGTACTTACTACATACCTGTTAGGTACTAGGTAGTTTTTGAGATGGTTAGGTACAGTATTTCTTGTGGCTGTTATCAGACATAGTACGTACCTAGATCAGCAACTAAGGCGTATATCACTCCCGGACCAATCAGATTTCCCGGAGACAGTCCGACGAATGAGTGATCTAGCGGGTGTCACGTGCTACAAATCCATACCTGGCACCGTCGCGTTGCTTAAGGCTCTTGTATGCTCCCTTCGGCTTCCCGAAGTGACAATCCAACAACGCCAAACTGAGCCGTAGTTTACAGCTATCTTTAGAAAGCTACTCGAGGCATCGTGATCTTAGATTTTGAGGTTCATGGCAGGTATAGTTCACAGAAGTCTCCTGCATAGTTTGTTCTGATGAATTCAGTTCTAACTAAGCCATGATGACCAACGACCAGCCTTTCTCATTAGTCGTCTTGTCGAGCGAGTCTTTATACCTTGTCGGGAAGTCCCAAAATCTACCGTATATCCTATTTAACTCAGGCCTAAGCGTGTAACAAACACGCCGAATGTCCTCCAAGACAAAAACACGTTACGTAGTATGGATTAGCAGAGGTATTAGGAGAAGATATAGGATAATAATGGTCGATATAACTATCTGCCATTCATTCCCAAACGGTTTGGGTAGCTCAGCTGTCTGCATATACATGTATATCGTGCCGCTGGTGCGATATACATGGCTGATGCTTTGACTGGTTGCAAGTGACCACTCCATCTTGCCTCCTTGCCTCCTTGCCTCCTTGTCTCCTTGTTATGGTATGGCCTCAGTAGTCAGGACTGGGGCTGTTCGAAAGTCCGATGGTCCGATACGAGGTATCTGCACAATACTTGTCAGGTGGCTATGTCGGAATATTTTCCCGAGAGCAGGCTTGGATTTCGGCTTACAAAGCCTCACGTGGCAGCCCAAGATATCTCAAGATTCGGAGTACATTCGCACGATCGTCAACGCATCTCCAACAAAGCCACAATATTCATCCCTAGGTTCGCCACTCCCCGTTGTATATTTCCAACCTCTATTCAAATTTGCCATCGCGTCTCTTTGGGACTAGTGATAACCACCACATGACAATCTTATGCCAATGGAAGACTGCACCTATGAACAATGTCCGCAACTAAACCCGGGATGTCAGCCAATATAAACATGTTGTAAAATAATCGGGCTAGGGAGCCAAGTAGTGATAATAAGGGTGCATGGCCCGCTCGAAAGTAGGTAATTATTGAAAATGCTCACAGGGAACTCGAGACTCCGCTGAGATGATCTCGTCAGACTTGTAACGCCTCGCACAGTATTTGCACTTTATTTATTCATCAATCCGCGTAATATGTCCGAGTCGCACAGCGCTGAGAACGAACACCGAAGGCTGTTCGAAGCTCTGGTCTAAGGATGTTCAAATTATTTTCGCGGGTAAATTGATTTCGCTTCCAGTCGAAGATAGAAAAGCCTTGTGCTACTCGAAGAGCTCGCTGCCGAATCGGTGAATATTGGGAAATCGTATGCTATGTGGATTAAGAGGCAATCGACTGAGGATATCAGGGCTATTGGCCATCGGGTTGGGTGGAATGGGGGGCGTAATCATGTATTCCATCATGTATTCCGTCCTGTATGCCGACCTGCATCCCGACCTCCATTACGTCCTGCATTCTATCGTGCATCCCATCCTGGAACATCTCAGATCCGTGGCCAACGTCCTCAGAAGGTTGTGTCCAGTCATCTTGATCCAGTAAGAGATCCATGAAGCTTTGAGACTGCACAACCATGGAAGGGTCTTCGAGCTCGGAACGGGTGGCCGTTGAATCTGAAATCGATACGAAGGTTGTTTGTTCGGACGGCAACGAACCTAGTTGTCCAGAGATTGAAGGGTTTAACGCAGACGCAAGCTTTTCGATGGAGTCGCCGAGCCTAATTTGTGAAAACAATTCAGTAGCTTGATGCTTGGTCCCATTCTGTAAAACCCCAAAGACCACTTCAAAATTCTGTAGTCTGGTCGTGTCGTAGTCGCTTAATAGTTGCAGTCTGCCGATGTCTCGTTTGTTGACTTCGTATAAACACGCATCGCCGGCTTTCAGACATCTCCCGCATGCAGGCCGATTCCCGTCACACTACTATTCCCTTAGTCTCAATCTATATTTGACTCGAGAAACTGGGCCGTAATGCTTACCTTTGCCTTTTTGAGTTTACATGGAGAGCATGCCTATAATGAGTGTGTTATGGGTGGAAAAAGACGTCCTCCTAATTGGTGTATGGGAACCAAACTTACATTCCTTGTTAGGTTCCTACGTGGACCCGGAGCAGATATAGAAATCTGTGGAGGAGTCTCGCGACTGCTAGACGAAGCCGGTGCTGGCGCGAGCTTCTTCAGATTTCTCGGCTCCATGTAATAATATCCAACTCGCCCGATATTCACAAGACTAAATCAATACACTGGTACCTGAAAAGTCGAAGGGCTTGAGATGGTCGGTATCGGCTGAATAGATCAGGGCCAATCACACGGAAAAGATCACCACAAATCACGGGTTCGATTAGTTTCCAACAGCTTTAGTCTTTTCCAAGAAGATAGAATAGGGACGTGGAGCTCAACAGGGAAGAATCGCAGAGCCTTCGGAGCCGGCTCCGAGTAGCCAATGAAGAGAGCCTAAAATCTTCAGTTGGCGAACTGCAAAGGACCCGTACTTTTGCTTTATATTATACGGGTTGTTGCTAATGATTGACGGTAGCACGACGTAGACAGCATATTAGCAGAGATTGGTGCCGAAAATACATATCCTCGGAGTAGTTTCTCTGGGTAGTTATAAAATTCGTACATCAGTAAACTTCTTACAGTAAAAGTTTAGTATACTCCTGTGTGTAGGAAACGGTCGCAACAAGGGCCCGCCGTGCACAGTTACATACCTACCTAAGGTAAGTACCTAACACTAATGGTCATCGTAAGTCCTCGTCTCAGATCTGTCTCCAGTCACTAATGTGGTTTAGCCGACCAAATACCTTTTTTTCCTTCCTCCTTTTTTCTTCCTAGCAAGAGCCATAATCAAACTTAATTACCTTAGGTACATTAGCTACCTACCCAGATAGGTATGGGTGGATTCTTTAGGTGAATCGATTCCCAGTCTAATGTTTAATGAGCTACCTCGCAGGCGTAATGTCCTGAACCAGTCCAATAGCATTCACGTTCGTCGGTCTCTTCTGTATATCACGGTGAGTCCATATTTCAGAAAAATAGGACTAAGCATAATTCCACGAGAAAGTCAAGTAACCAATCTTGACAACGTCAAGGGTACCCCTAAACCGGCGAGCCAAGTGCCAATGACGATTTATCGGATCTTAAAAACCCTACATGGCAACCCACACTCCACACTTTAAACTTGAACTAAGTAGAGATGTCGAAGAGAGGGGTAACATCATTGCTTTCTATCAACCTGTTGTCTTTCACCTCGGAAAGGAGTCCGGTATAAGTATCATACGCCGGGGTCGATAGAATGAAAAATTAGACCAATCAGCATCAGAAACATGAAATAAGATAATAGCGAGTCATGGCATAACACAAATGGCGAGGTATCTATCTCACAAGACACCCTTTTATGTACCTAAGGCAGGTATAATTAAGCTTTCACAAGAAAGCTTCGATAATAAACATAGGAAGATGATCGAAAGAAGGAGAAGCAATATGACGCCCTGTAATCATCCAGACGCTTTGATTAGCAATGTACCTAAGGTTAAGGAGCTATGAATCGCATTATATGGGCAGAACGATGAGTGCTAGTTGACGACTGGCTCCCCCCAGTACCTATTCTCGGCCAATATATCGTGATGGAATGCCCTCCGAATGTGGGGATAAAGCTAGTAAATTCGACCAAGCCTTTAATTACAGCGTCAGGACAGCGTCAGGACAGCGTCAAAAAAGGTGGCGCAATCTTCCAAGATATCGTAACTTGAAATACTTCCTCCCAAGACTGTAATATACGATGCCACGACAAGTGAGGCCAGAACAACACTAATAAACCATAGGAATGAATTATGAGAACTGAAGTTTATGAATATATATTTGTTTATCTTATTTTCGTACATCTTGGCTATAAAACGTATTGTTAAAAGCCAATGTTATGGTATACTAAGGAGGTGTGCCACGCAGATTCTGAGCGTTCACGGCATGTCTCCATATATGAATACCTCTTCTCTGTTCAACTGCCATGGTCTTTGCCACAATCTCTTCCGTCACTGGCCGGCGGACTGAGCAAATCAGAGGTGTCATAACTGCAATGATTCAGATAAGTATAACCGTATTTCTAAAGGGATAGTCGCTTGCCCTAGTTTTGTTTTTGAGGTGAATATGGCTCTCGGTTCGAGACGGAGAGTACAATCCCGGTTTGCCATCACATCTTTAACCATCCGCAACCTCCAACGGCGTACAAAATCTAGCCGCCCATATCGATTCACTCCTTTTTCAACTGTTACATATTCCATGTTGTCTTCGCGCACCCTAGGCTAGATGCGCTAGAGCAGTGATTCTTGGCATCTGCATTACCCCGGGTTTCAGGCTCCAGCGACGCTTGCGGATCTTTTGACTATTACAGCCCATTGCTAGTTAACCCATCGTCTGGTGGCTTTGCAGTAGGAAGTAATCTGCTTGTCTGATACCGTTCGACAGATAGCAAGACGGGAACAATGGAATACAACGTCAACCCCTTGGACTTCCACCGTTCTCCTACCGGTATGAATGACTCTACTACATCGAATCCTCACCCGGAACATGTAACGCAAGACCTTGATATCTTCGACGACCTCCAACTAGAGAATATTCAACCAGATAGCCTTCATCATTTGAGATGGGATATGCCCGTGCCAGAAGTAATTGGCGTGGACGGACGCGTATACAGCCAGCCCAACGCCTCCTCGGATGCCTCGGCGAAGTCTTTTGATCTCGATACTGAATTTGTATATAAGGCCCTTTTCATCTATCAAGGTTTTCTTTTATGTATTGAACAAGTTTTAACACCGTCCAAATAGTATTATCGGCATGGTCCATTAGATGACGACTTAACGCCCGAGTCACTAGAATCGCAACAAGCGATTCACCCGTCGCATGATCCTATCAAACGAAGGGTATGCAATATTGAAGATGAAGACAGCTCCCGAAAATCCCACCTTCTACAGCATAGCACGCGTAGATGTAGTCAATCTAAGCTCCCCTCGCCGTTATCTTCCGGTGATGATTGTTTCACAGCCGGGGGTTTTCAAAAGGTGCAAAAACTCGAAAAGAATCGCGTCGCTGCTAGCAAGTGCCGGGAGAAGAAAAAGAGGGAGACAGAGAATCTCCAGACGCGGGCGAAGACGTTAACGGCCGAGAGGAAAGCGTTAAAGTTCATGGCAGACGCATTGCGAGAGGAAGTTATCGAGCTTAGGACCGAAATTTTGAAGCATGGCATGTGCGACTGTCAAGTCATACAAAAATATATAACGGAGAGTGCCAGGAACATCGCTTAGGTCGAATGGAATGAATCGAGAAGAGTCGACAAAGACTTGATATCCTTTGGCAGCTTCCTGGATCTAATGTCGGTCGCTTTTACTCGGCGTTGGTAGGGCAAAGGCACGGCTGTTATAGGTGCAGACGCTGCCGATATTAGAGGACATTTCGAAGGGGGTTTGGCTGGATATTCGAAGGAGTGTACGGACTGGGGATGATGGATGGACGGGGCCGATGACAGAAATATTGTTGTATTCACCTGACGTACACTCAACCGCTTGAGTGCAGCCGTTGATGATGATAGCTCCGCGGGAAATTAATGATATCGAGGTGGAGCTGCAAAGACTGTGCCGGGTTCTGTGGCGCTGCCGCTTGTATGCTTCCGGTGTATCGTCCGGCTGGCCGATACAGGAAAATACTAGACTTCCTGATTTTACTTAGTGTCTTCCTCTATCCATGGCCCAGAAACTCCACCGCGTTCCCTAAGATACACTAGATATATATATTCTGGATCCGTTTAGTCAATTGCCGTCGCATTATGTCGTAGCCCTGTGGTTTGGTATACTACGTACAGCTATCTTGCACAGTGGCAGTATTCTCCTACGGTATATCGGGATATATATTATTATGATTTCTTTCTTTTTTTTTCCTTTTTAATGAAAGCACAAAGCGACTGACAGTTATGATATACCTATACCTATCCAGGTTAGGTACCTATGTTTAGATGTTTACTTGAAGCTTTGCTATTCGGAATTCCATAGTATCGCTTGGGTCATGAACACTTGGACAATCCTTTCAAATTACTGCGTTATTGCGATAGAGCACTGGAATTTAACTTCGAGATGAAGCATTTCTAGTGACTCACTCACGCCTTTGTCGTATTTCTCTGAGGTTGTAGAAGCACCCTGATTGGGACGTGGTACTGCCAGTACAAGGGGTGTTTCCTTACGTACAGTGCAAGCCAATGGGTATCGATATCTATAGTCGTTAGGTCTGTAATTATAAGAGGAAACTAAGAAGCTTAAAATCTATTTTATCGGGATGTATACATTCGAATTGTAAGATTCTCATTTTTGCCACGAGTATGTTCGTACCTCAACAACTCTAGGGGAACGCTTACAAGTATACCATGTGAAACCGATGCTTCTAGCCAAAGTACTCGAAGCGCTCTGAGGGCTTAACCTGTGGACCACTTCTCGGCCACGGCTTAATTTGCTTAAAAGAGTTCTTGTGAATCCCACGGCGTTTGTATCTGACGGACCTAAGAAACTATCACTCGCCACATCGTCATAGTAAACCGAGCTTGGTAGATAGAAGCTATGGTAAACCTGATAGTGCGGCCAGTTGTGCTAATGATGGGTTCCCCTATCTCCTCTTGCGGGTAGTGCTAGAGGAACAGGACCTCATGTGGGTCTTTAATACTAGCTGTCCCGGTTGCATTCTCTCTATTTTGCATGGAAACGCCACATTTCGGACCGCCTAGCCTCACAAAATTGGCCCCCCTGACTGCTGGATGTACCCGGCCTCAGCTCAGCCAAATAATATAATCGAATAACTTGTAAAGCACCAAGTAGAGAGCAACTTTTCTGTTCAAGATTGTATATGTAGACCCCAATAGGTGTTTTTCGAGATTTCACTTCGTATACTCGATCAAGACTATCAATTCCAGCAGCGATCCTTCTTATTAGTGAGCATAAGGGGCTTTGAATTTCGCATATTCTGTATGTCGCACCCTTTGCGGCCACTCTTGCCCAACTCCCCCAATCCTCCTCGTCTAGATATCCTATCGCCGACACAACATCGTGTGAAAAGAACAGCTACCCCGGCAGCTTGTGAGGCCTGCCGGAAGAGGAAGAGCAAGGTTAATAATACCTTCCAGCTCCTTCAACGAACCCGGCAGCAACTAACTCAATTTAGTGTACCGCCGAACGACCACGATGTTCCGTCTGCATCGAACGACAAACCCTTTGCGAATACACAACACTCCCAACAGAAACGCACCTTAGAGCACAGAAACGCAAGTTGACCGACCTCGAGATAAAATGTCAAGCGTATGAAGATCTCTTTGGGATTCTACGATCTCATCCGGATGAAGAAATTACCCAGGTCTTGCAACGGCTCCGCATGGGTGAAGACGCTCAAATGATTGTCAAGACTGTCCAAGATGGTGATCTGTTGCTTCAACTTTCATTCAAACCAGAGCTTCGATTTCGGTATGAGTTCCCGCACCTTAGGGAAATGCCCCCTATCCTAAATCGATGGCACAACCCGTACCTCCAGTCGACCCTATACGAGAAGACAGGTGTACAGTCGCAGAAGCCGCAAGCATATTTAGACATGTTGAGAGGTGTTGCCGACGAATCCGAAAAGATGTACCTCGCGCCGTACCATACCGTCGAACTCGTCGATCCTAGAATCTCATCCATGACTGTATCAAGCTGGACAACGGTTTCCTCTGACAATCCGATGCTACGCGTGCTTTTGCAGATATACTTCGTCTTCATATATCCCTCCCACCCATATTTCCACAAGGATCTATTTCTCGATGATATGTCTGTCGGCAGTAGTCGATTCTGCTCGCGCCTTCTAGTAAATGCTGTTCTCGGGGCTGCATGGGTAAGAGCAGTTTTCTAACAAATAGCGTCTTGGATTGCCTATACTAATATGAAGCAGCATGGCTATAGTCGAATAAAGAACAGGGCCGAATATTGGCTCCCCGATAACCCAGGTTACCGATTTCTCGCTGAAGCTCGCAGGCTCTTCGACCTAGCACAGGCAGAGCCCAATATTACCACAGCCCAAGCAGCGGCCATTATGAATTTGACCTGTAACCTTAATGGCATTGACGAACTAAGTTGGGTCTATACATACAAAGCTCTCGAGATCGCCGAGAATCTCTCTCTTTTCTCGCCGGTTCCAGACGAAAGTAAGGAGTGGCAAGTAGCAGCAACGACAACGGCGTGGTGTTTATATAATTGGCAAGCGTAGGTCACTGCCCCCCCCCCCTTCCCTCGTCCCCAGTATGGGTACATGAAAATCGTTACTTACACAACGATCTGCAATAGACTCGCATCTTTTCACACCTTTCAACCGCCGCTAGTTAAAGACCCGCCGAATCGTCCGCTCCCCAATTTTGACGAGATATCCGCGTTTTACGGAGAACTTTTTGTTAAATACCCTCTTGGCCACGACTCGATACCTGTATTTAATGGATTAGTGTTTAGAGCTATCTCCCAGTTTCGTGTCATCATGAACGAGATCACGGCGCTGTCGTTTAGCCAGCCAAGGAGTTTTACCAGAATGTCGCTCAGTGCTGCCATTGAATTTAAGTCGAGACTCTTAGTTTGGTACGAGACACTGCCAGAACCTCTCCAGGCCCAAAATGCGGCTATGCCGTCACACCTTAAGATACAGTCAGTCTACCTATCGTTCTACAATACCTTATTGATGACTTCTCTCGTTGCTGACAGTCTTTTTTTTAAGTATGCATTATCATGTCCTTCTTATAGGTCTCTTCGAACCGTTCATGCAGATGGGTTACATACACGCCGAAGCGAATCCACGTACGATCGTCGAGCATTCGAAAATATGCTTCGAGACACTTTTGCGGGTTTACTACTTACGACATGGTTTCGAATCACTCGACGCCACCCTCGTACAATTACTCGCCTTGCTAGGGTTCAGCGCTCTAAGAGATATCTCGTCAGTTGAGAAAGGTACGGCCGACCACGGGGCCATACAGGCGACACTACTACTCTGTGCCAAAGGATTATGGGAACAAGGCCAGAATTACTACGTGGCGGAAGTCGTCTTCCGTTTGTTTAGGCAATGCTTAAGTGCCGATGATGCTCAGCTACTCAGGGAAACTACCGAGGTTGAAGAGAATGATGGACGACCGAGCCATATGCCCCTTGAAATTCGGTCCAGATGGCCATTTGGAATTTTCAGCATGGCAGATGAAAACTCTGATCGTACACTCGACCACTTTGTCCGCTGGTGGGAGCGTCATATGCGGTCAGTGATGGATCAAGATTCTCTCAGCGTCATATTGCCACGGTACCCTCAACGCAATGGATGATAAGCGTGAGAGAATGATATAGAATTTTTAGGGATGGATTTTTGTCGTTCTGTCAGTCCTGCATCATGAGAGCTCAGCTAGCTCATAGGTACCTAGTGATCGGTGCGATATACCAGAGCCAATCGGGGACCATACTGTTCTACCCAGAGATATCAGTTATCGCCCCCCGCTATTTGAGCCGCCGCCTGCATGCTTCCGCATCTCGAATGGGAACTCTCGCCACCTGCAATCAGCAGATACCGCGGGTCACAGCCGTCGTCCCGTGTACGAGCAATCGTTTACCCATTTAATTCTTCGATGACCTGGAGAGCTACTGTCAGTTCAACAGAAATACTACGAAAACAGGTTTTATGTGTGCTAAAACGATCATCAACCGATCTATTGGCGCTGGGAAATTGATGGTATGGAATTATCATGGTCTGTACTCACTAATTTTCGCTGCTCTAGCGTCTTGGAATTCTTTATTTTTCCTCTTTTCCTCTTTTCCTTTAACTCGGGATTCTCGAGTTTGAAGCTCGAAGCCTTGACCGTCTACAGCTAGGAGAGGGAAGGGGGGCGGGGGGCATGTATTTCGCCGTTCCAAGGTAAGAATTCTTAATCGACCGCTACGGCACCACGTGTACAAAGCGTAGGGACTGTCGGGTCTTGCACCTTAGTAATGAGCAACCCACATACACATACCTCATTCCCTAGAGAGACGGCATGTGTAGGTACCTCATAAAATTAGTATGGCGCTAAATTTAAAACTTCAGGGTTTCCGTATTGCCCGGATAGCTAGGTGCCGCTAACAGGGGCTGGACAGGCACGAAAAGTAAACTCACCATTGTCGATCAGAAGGTTGAGATCATGAAGAGGGGGGGTGACCGGTATACGGGGCTTGGGTCTCGACGAGGCGAAAGGATAGGGATTGGTCAACTCTTTTTAGAACGGGCTTGCATCGCGATGAACCGGTAAGTCAAATACCACAGCGTTATGTCGTAAGCGACTAGAAAGTCTCGTTCCCAGGAGGTACATGCAACCCCGGGACGCGAAGCAGCCACAGTCTCGTCGTAAATCTCGATCTAGAGATATAAGTGGGTGTTCGCCACGTGCGCGGGTACCGACGGTCCAGAAGAAGGAATTCTATTCGCGACGATCAAATCACATTATCCCACCCTCTTGTCCGTCATAATATCCGAAAGCAGTAAGTACCCAGGTAGGTAAATTTATGCCTCGAATATCCACTCTCCCGGTCCGGCCGGTACGATTAACTGAAGAATATACGGCCCCTCTCGTGTATACCGCCGAGAACGAACATCTACCGAGCATAGCGTCAATAACTTAATAATGTAAACGTCCGAAACTTTATAGCCAGGTATTCAATATACCATGGTAAGCGCGCCTCGCGCTGCAATAAGTTAACTCATATCACTTTGCCTTCTAGTGGCTGGCAAGGTTTTTTTTTAAAAAAAAAAAAAATAAATGAAATAAAAAACTATTACTTTCATAAGAATTGTCGTTTCGTTTTCTCAACCCGGACAGGTTTATTATATAACATATTTATGAAATTAAGTATTTAGGTACACATTAGCTAAATCTAGAATGGGTAAACCGGTTTGCTACCTGTTACTTGCCCTTATCAAGTAAAAGGTGCCCAACTATATACCATCTACCTAAGCAATTATCTCAGCAATTGTTAGGTATAATGCCCGTGATGAATGTCGTATACAGATTGAGTGTCGAGGTCGTACATATAGTGCATTATGGTAAACCTAGTACTATCCTTTCACGAGGGAGCTGGTTACCCTTTATACCCTGTATCCCCACGTATCCCTAGCTATAATGTTCATACAGAGGTTAGTTAACCATTGAGGAGAGGATCCTAGCTAGTGTATTCCAATTAGAACTCCTGTAGGCCTCGGTGAATAGGCCGTCCCCATGGGTCGTTCTTATTCTTGCGAACGTAGCATAGTAACAAAATTTACATACACACACGAGTTACCTGTAGCCCTATTTATACTGCTGCCTCGTAGTTCAAGTCGTTATATCGTTTTTTTTATTCCCTTTCTGCTTACCCATAAGTCCGTCCAAAAAGCAGTTAAGTATTTAATTTTTATATTTTAAGCGCCAAGGCAGTTATTTAGCTTGTGGGATTATTTCTAGGATATCGATATATAATATATCTAACAAGTACCTAATAGTTATTTTATTCTATAGCAAAGTACATGATAAGTGTGTATGTATTGTCTATGTCAAGAAAAAATTATTATTATTATTTTACAAATAATCACTCAACACTCAAGAAGAGTAAGAGAGCCACGTCCCTGGCTCATGAGTGGCACACTTACAGCTTACATCCCCTAAAGCGGGGCTTCGATTCAGGTACGAATGTTATTGTAGTGTATTATTTAAGCATATATCACGTGATGCTAGCACCAACGTAGAGCAGCCTGGTAAATTTTAAATTACATTGCTTATTCTAACGCTACCTAACCTAACGTTATATTGTCACCCATTTCAAGCCCAGATCACTTAAATCCGACATCCGAGTTTAGCCTCGGAATTCCGAGCTACGTTCAAGTCTTCATACAGATTGACGTATTATGATTTACCGTCCCTAATGTCTAGGTATGTAACGGGGAAAAAAGGAAAAAAAAAAGCCTCCATCTATCTTTAGTTAATCTTATCGTTCTAACAGGTTTGACCTAACTGGAGGGCTGGCCAATTTTCGCACCATACCATCTTACCGTGAATCTAACTCTAGAACAATGGCCGAAGCTCAAACCAGCAACGCGCGTCAGCCTTCCGAGGATGATGAGCACGAACATGACCATGAGCAAGATGAGCATCAGCAAGGTCCCGCCAGGAAGCGTCAAAGAGTGAGGCTCTCATGTCTCGAGTGTCGCCGCCGGAAGCTTTCATGCTCAAGGGAGTTACCTTGTGATCGTTGTATCAAATCCGGGACACCTGAGAGGTGTACTTATGAGTCAAGACCCGGCACGACAGCAGCTTCCGTAGCTTCCGTAGGTGATAAGGCTTCCTTTACGCCTGTTGGCCCCCCCGCATCATTTAGTTCTGAAGCTCGTCGCCACTCCGCGAACCCCCCATCGGCACGTCGTGAGGTCGAGCCATCAGCACTTAAAGATGCTGCTCGAGATCATGACAGGATTCGGCGGTTGGAGCTCGAAGTCGCCCAATTAAGAAGTGTCCTATCAAAGCAAGCATCAGTTGATGGCAACACTATGGTAGCCTCGCCGTCCACCTTCAAGGACCCTGTTAAAGACGGCCAATCTGCCCCCTCCAATCCCATGTGTACCCCGCGAAATACCGAGGTGTTTGAATACGCGAATTTACGGGGACACGATTTTAAACCCAAATATTTTGGTCCGCACAACGCCTGGTCTTCTCTCCAGGAACTTACCGGTATATTCCATTTCATGAGAGAGACGGCCGAGGAATGGCTTAAGCCTCTCAATATTCAAAGGAAAGATCGTGGGAAGCGGAAGCAGGACAGGGACAAGAAATTTACCGAGCCTGATCTTGGTCTAGAGTCACTGCTCCCTTCCAAGGAAGAAACAGATTCCCTTGTCGCCGTATATCTCGATCAATTTGAGCAGCTCTACCGCATCATCCACGTGCCTACTTTCAAAGCCGAGTATGAGACATTCTGGGATCCATCTAAGACAAACACTGCCTCCTTCACTGCACTCGTTCTGTCCATGATCTCCGTTTCCTGCTGTCTGGACATGCAAGCATCCAACAAGTTTGTAGGTATCAAATCCAGCTCAATCCAGATGGCCGAGAAATGGATCAAGGCATGTGATGAGTGGTATTGGCGACAAAGTCAAAAACACCGCAAACTCGTCCATTACCAAATCGCATGTTTCCTTTATCTCGCTAAGCGAGTAAACCTCGTCAAGAAGAAGCGACTCTGGACCACATCTGGCGCAATGATCCGCGATAGTCTCATGGTAGGACTTCATCAAGACCCTGATCGTGTGGTTGGGAAAGTATCGCCCTATATCGCGGAGATGCGACGAAGAATATGGGCTACTATAGTTGAATTTGAGGTCCAGTCATCATTTGACCAAGGTTTGCCGACACTTTTAAGTACGGTTCATAACGATGCCGATGCCCCTAAAAATATAGACGATGACAGCTTCGACGAAAATTCACAAGAACTGCCTATTTCCCGTCCAGCTAACGTTTACACATCTACATCGTACCTACATTTGAGTCGCCAGAGTCTTGCCCTTCGGACCGAGTTGAACAAGGTATTGACTGGTCCACCGGCAGAGCTTGAATGGGAGCAGGTCCTTCAATATAGTGACATGATTACTAACGAGATAGATCGACTACCTTCGTGGGATGTGGACAGCGAGAAGGTCGTAGGGGGCTCTCAAAAACCAATCTTAGCGCACACTTTACTACATCTCCAACTTAGGCAGTATCTTATCCCCTTACATCAGCCGTACCTAAAGCTCAGGAAGTTCAACTCAAAGTACCAGGTGGCAGAGTTCATCTATTATACCGCAGCTCGGGATATTGTTTTGATGCACGATCAGCTCTACCAGAAGGGAATTAGGACTCTTTATTTCCTCCGAGAGGATACGATGAATTCGGTTATCAATCTTTGCAATGTAACCTTGCATCAGCCAAAAGGTACGTGCCCCTTTCCTGTATTATTCTATTTTCTCCCAACCCCCTTTTTCCAAAAGAAAGAAGGAAGGAACTAATAAGATGGCGTAGACTCTTCCAGCCTAATTATGCATAATGCACAAGAGACTCTCCGGCTCATTGAGAGGTGCATTGCTATGAAAGAAGATCGCGTTCTCAGATGCGGCAATAATGACCCGTGGGGATACTCGTCGATGTGCGCTGCTTATGGCCTTTTGGAAACGCACATGGGCATCAAAACATCGGACGCAGCTAAGGCGTCTGCTGCTGAACGATTCATTAGTCTACATTACAAACTTCTTGCATTTCAAATTCCGCCCTATTCCTCCCAACAATCGCAACCTCCTGAGACTTCCTCACAAGCAGCTCCGGACCCGATCAACCGAGCGAAGGTACGTAATGGCCTCTTTCCCCTGACGTGCAAGAATTAGTTGCTGATAACTACCCAAGTCTGTTACGCCATTTTCTATGGATGCGACACCTCCTATTCAGATGGCGACCACGCCATATCAGCAGCGGGATAGCCTACCGCTCTCAATGCCATGGCTGCTGCCTTCAACTTCGGATTCAAGTACACTCCCTGTGCCAAATCCCGATTTCAATTTTGAAATGCTCGGCTCCGACCTAAATGACCTATGGGGGGATTGGGGAGGCCCTAATGACTTAATATAAGATGTCTTGAGGATCTGGTTTTTTCATAGCGGCGTTTTTCACGTATCAGGTGCCACAGGCGTCACACCGTATGCTTGTCTGATGCTTATATTTTTCTATGAAGGGCCGAGAAAAACAAAATAGTTCATGATACCCCGTTATCCGGCATGATTTCATACCGAGCAAGAAGCTTTGCGTTGTAAGCAAAAGAGGTTAAGTAGGTACCTTAGGTAGGTATGCTGGTTTCGATAGATTACCAGGTTAATAATCTCCGAATAAGTCAAACAACATCCGAAGTGAGTCAGAATGACTCCTTTCATGGGCCTCCGGCAATTGGGATTGGAGGTAAGTTAATATCCTGGAGAAATCCTGCCTTAGCCACATTATGTATAGCATGTGTGGTTAACGGTTAACCTAAGGTAGTTTGAACCAGCAGTGAGCGTTACCTTAGGTAGGTAGTTTTCATGACCCTGAACCGAGAGCTGAATTTAGAGATCGGAATTAGAAATCGGAACATTTGTCGTCTTAAACCATTAACTCCCTTAACTCCAAACACACATCTAATGATACGTAACAGCAACCTAAACTTGACAAATGGTCCCCTTCTAAGAATCCTTGCTTTATCTCCACTAAATTAGCCCATTTTAACTTCTAATAGGCCTAGAAGATGTTGGAAGAACCGTCGACTGGTCGACTAGACATCGGATCTCCTATCATCGGGAACCTACTACATAGTATGTACTACTACCCGCCCAGGCTAGTATTTATATGAAATTTTTAATCGCCAATTCCAAATCACCTTGTAGGCCTCAAAGCTGGACCCAAATCTTTCCTACATCTGCTAGCTTCAGTTGCAACAATGGCTTCATATCTCGGTCTGGATAAAAACATCTCCTATTTTACTGTACGTTGACCCTAACTTCCATATTCTGGATACCGACGTGAGAGCTTCAGGCTAACATCATCGCTAGATCCCAGCAGCCTTCGTTTTGGTACGAGTACCTTGACGTCTTTCACGCGCCATCTATTCACTAATTTCAATTTGCGCATCATGTTGTAGGCCATGCTTCCCCGTGTCTATTCGGGTTTAACGGGTCCGGGAAAGAAGTTCTTCGACAATAGCAATCCGCGCTCCTTCACGTCGAAGCTTGAGGGTGCCTAACTAGATAAAAAGGCAAGCTACCTCAGACGGAACGTGTATTAGCCGGGGCGCTGCTAACCGATGAACTAGCTCAAAGGTCGGCTGCAGCGCGCCGAATCAGCTGGTGCCAACGCCTTCGAAAACCTCGGCGTCTACGCCGCAGCCGTGACGGCCGGGAATACGGCCGGCCCGCCGGTGGGAACCCTAAACAATTTAACCCTAGCTTACTTGTCAGGTCGCATCCTTTATACGTGGATTTATATTTGGGGGCAAGAGAACCGAAAGATGATTCCCCTGAGGTCGATAGTTTGGGGAGTTTGTATGAGCTGCTGCATTGCGCTGTTCTCCCTTGCCGGAGTTCGGAGTTTATGAGCAGACCGTATACCGGTGGTGTCTCACTTTTCCCGTGTTCAAGCCATCGGTCTTATCTTATAATACAGAGACTGGTACGTAACTGCTTCAATAGCTCAACAGTTTATAATGACAATTAACTGTTAGCCGCTCTTCCAAATATTATAGGGTCTCACGGCATAATATCTTTGTCTTGGAAATACACATTTTTGAAAGCCAAAATAGATACATGAAAATAAAACATGAAACATCCCATATGAATTGGCCAGCCACGGAAAGATAGGGGGTTGGGGAATAGCGGACTATATCACACCCAGGCTATAAGGGGTTATTGTTACACTAGCACCCAACAGTCAACAGCACCAAATAATTTTAAATACCCTTACAAAATCGTATGCACATCCATCTGTAGAGATGAATACGAGTGCCTTTCATTTGGTCACCAGCTTTACAGTGTAAAAGGGGCGTCGTACTAATTATTCACTGTGAGTTAACATGCACTACCGGTACACCTAATTGGCAATGCTGGAAATTGTATTAACAGGAAGAATGACTTGCCAGTTATGCCATATAACTTTTTAGCAATCAAAACTGTAGAAGGGTCAACTACATCTCTGTGTTAATTACCAGTAGTAGATAAGAGGAAGTTATGAATTAGTCCCTTTAATGACCAATATCATACCCACCAATTCGTTCCACGAGCCAAGGACTTCTTCAGTACCTGTAAAGCCGATATATAATATCTCCTCTTCGTTTAAACCCGACTTCGTCTTCAAAGTCGTGTCCGAAGCAGAGAGTAGTAACTGAGATGGAGGCTTCTCCAATCCTGGGGTTTTCGCCATCATCGCCGTTCGTATCCCCCCATACACCATATACCTTCATCCCAATTCGGTTTTTAAAAACACACATCAGCCTATAAGAACAACTTAGTACACGTACCATTCTATTATTGCATACTATAGCCATCACGCTCAGGGGTTTCATGCCGGGGGATACACATATGAACAAATGGGTTTAGATCCGGGACACCACCATTCCTGTAAGATGATACGTATCGCCTCATGGCATTCATGCTCTAGACCGAATGAGCGTCGTCGCAACGACCGTCATCGTTTTCTTCATGATGAGCCCATCACATCCGAATGTCCATGTTTGCTAGCTTTCCCTTTGCCCTGTAAATAGATGGTTCCGTGATCATATAAATGATCACCGCAATAGGTCAAGCATAGATCAGAAGTTTCAGGTGACGTTCCTGTTAACTATCAATCTCTCTAAGCTTTACTCACTGTTACCGTCATCGTGTACCATATCATAGAAGCCCGACTGCAGGGGCGAGTTGCATGATCCTGCGCCACTACTGAGTTGAAAAACTCCCTTACGTTAGTAGTAATATACATGGTATGGACGGAAGCTAACAGGAGAGTTAAGAGGTAAGCGTTGAAAAGCAGTGTTAAGGAGATATCGAGAATAAAGGATGTAATAGTTGTTGATAGAGGTTACCTTTTGGGTCAAAAGAAACTACATTTTGACGGTAAGCAAGCTGGTAAAGGCCCACCTATTCATATGACCTCTACGGCAAGGCATTGACTGGTATTCGTAAACCAAGATCATATCAAAGTGTTATTTAATCCTCGTAATTAGTTCGCTCTGAGCTGCGCGTAGCAATCGATTAGACTTGATCGGTGTCCTTGTTGAAACTCGCCATGCCTAGATATCAAAGGAGAGGACAAATACATCTCGCTAGCATTATTAGGTACATTAGGGTTAGACTCAATGGCGTTCTCCGTCAAGTGAGAGAAGCATTATAGATATGATGTAGCCACCCTAGCAACCTGGTAGCCGTTTTGCCTACACCTGGTCGAGTGACCAAAGATGATATAGATTAGATAGAATTTAGAGAAATTCAGAGGAATTCTTTTTTATATGAGCCTATACCCAACTTGTTCTAGGCTTATAAGGAAGGAAACAAGGCACAGTAGGATTTAGATATGAGGCTATCTTTATAGCGATTCGCCGTATGTCCTCAAGTGCGAACTTGCTACAGTACTTTTCACATTTATATCAAGAAATCAACCCCTCGAAAAGCCTCAAAACATATTACCTTAGGGATTGTCCGAAATTCTCAGCTAAGTGTGTATATAGTGCAGTGGCGCTTATACGTTATGTGGGCTGTAAAAACAGGATACCAGGTGGTGAGCTCTCGCTAGCCAGCGGTTTCCCCAAGAGGCAGATTTCAGAAGAAGAAATCCAGTAGTACATATATTGGCCCTGTCACAGGTTGGCCAGCTAATTCAACGAACATAGCTACCTACCTAGGTTATGACTTAATAGTCTAGAATATGTTTAATTGTACAACACGATGCAGGAACAAGAGCAGACTGTCACGTCGCAGAACATGAGGCAGGGAAACAACTTTGTTGCTCCGCGAGGAACTCTAATTACAATAGCTTTGAAGCCAAAGCTATATATAAAACAACTCCCTTGTTCCCAAGGAGCCTCAAGCGAGACTCCTGGCACAGATGAAACTAACAAATTGGACCTTTCCGTATTATTAAGTGTCTGTGCGCACAGAACTCGAGCGAGGACATTGTAGTTAGCCCATAAGGGACGATCGTTACGACCTATTTATCTTAAAGTTACATTAGATTTCATACGTAAGTGCAGTGGAAAGACTTTGCTCTGCTACTACTCATAACAGTCAAGCCAAGGCCGTATACACCAATGCCGAAGCAACTGCCCAGAACCCAAAACTCTGTACGCCGACGCTACTCTTAACGGTGCTGGCTGCGGTACTACTGCCGGTCTCGGAAACGGCCCCTCCAGTGGCTGTCGTGGACGGAGAGGGCGTAGCTGGAGACGAATGATTACCTTGGTTGCTACTACTGTTACCTTCACCGCCGAAAATCTCAGGGAAGAGTATAGTCGAATTCTTATCTTCGATGATACCGTTTATGATGATAGCTGAGCCATTAAGCACACTTTCAATCTGTTCCTCGGTACACGTGGACGTGTCGTATATGTAACAGAAGTGCACATGGTCCGGGGGGTCCACGTTCTTGATCGCCCATGTGTCGGCCGGCCCATCTGTAGCATATTCGGCAGTTTCAACGAGATCGACGGTACCAGTAGCGATGTCCTTGTTGAATAGCGCGCGGTGGAACATCTTATATGCCGTCTCGGGTTGGTAAGCTGGCACTTCGTGACCTGCCTCATACACTCGCGAGAAGGAGAAATTACCGTATTGCCGGACCTGTCCCCCGATGTACGTGTCGTTGATAACGATACCCGTGTATCCAGCGCTGCGGAACTTATCGGTATTCGTATAGTTTACCGCCAGACTGACAGCCTCGCCACCTATCCAATTACACGCGAAGTCTCGGTCACCATACATCAGGTGCACTTTTATCCCATTTTCGAGTAGGAAAGCAAGATCCTCAACCCAGCCCGGCCGAGGGTAGTCACCGATTGATCTGAAAGCGTAAGAGACGGCGCTTGAGGACTGGGTGAAATTCAGGGGAACCCCCAGCGCTCTCTGGACGTGAGGTTGGTTAAGGTAGAGATTATAGAACGAAGCCGGGAACGGGTTAGGATCAACCGAGGCGTAGTCGTAGTAGTTACGCCCCGAATAGTCGAGATAAGGGTCGCGGACGTTGGTCGAGCAAAATGTTTCGGCATTTGAACATACCTTATTCACAGTATCGTTAATCCCAATGTTGTCAGGATCATACACAAGTGCCAGGACTCTACAGTCGTTTATCTGGTCACGACAACCACCAGGCCTCTCGAGCGCGTCAACCATCTGCAAATAGACAGTCTCGTTGACAGTTTGAATGCCGTATGTATTGTTAAACGCAATGTGTGGATACGCAGGCCATTGTATTTGGCGGTCGATGCACGAATTGATGAGGATAAGCGTATCGAGATGAATGATGTAATTCTCGCCATCAGCATCATTCCACGTGCCGTTCTCAATCTTCTGGTTCTGCTCCTCAAAGAAGGCGGCGAACTCTGGGCCATACCGGCCACCATATGACTCGGTGGCAATGCTCACCCTCGAGTCCTTAGGATGATATCCCGGAAACTCCTGAAACCAAGTCTGGGCGAAGTGCCAGAAGGCAATGGCTGCGTTACGACTCCCTCTGGCAGTTTGGTTTCTGTTCTGACTTGGGTACGTGCCAACCAGGAGAGTGGAATTTTGTTCGGGGATCGGGTCAGTCTCATCGAGCTTAGTAGTTTCTCCAGTAACCAAGTTCTCAGTAATATTTTGCAGTGTGTCGTATGATAAGCCTACTTGAGTCGGCTGGTCAATGAACAGCATGTTGACTTGGACGGATTAGTTACAGTACTTTTCACATTTGATCAAGATAGGAAATATTTGAGTTATCGGACTCACCGTCGGTGTTCCATGCCCACTCGCTCAAGGTAGTCGAGTTAGAGTCAGAGTTGACATAGCAAGGGCCATTTTCGGTAAAGAGCCCGTATAAGGAGCTAGAGCCAGGGCCTCCGTTGAGCCATATGGATAACGGGGCTTCCTCGGGGTCATTTCGTGCTTCAAAGAACCAGAAAAATGTGTTGATAGGATATTCCTGCACCTCACCTAGGTCTTCAAGTGAGCCTGGCGGAAGGTAAATGTACCCAGCATAGGACTTAACCCCTGGTGTTGTTTCGCAAATGCCGGGCTTCGATAGAGATTAGATTCAAGTTTTTGGGTTCAGCATATATGCAGGTTAAAGGATACTCACTTCCTTATAACTTATCGTAACCCCATCACCAAATTTAGATTTGAGTACTGTAACGCCTTCAGGGGTCGGTGGAAACTGGGCTCGAACGTACGGGACCAGTACGGAGAGGCCGACGGCCGCACGAAAGCCCATTGGCAACATCATGAACGAGGTTGAGAAAGGTATGCCCGTTATAATAGAACCTGGGGGTAATCGAAAGCCATGTCTTATCTCTTATGTGTTTATATATGTCCATGGTGTAGGACTTGGCACGTTCCCCGCACCCCGTCATAGATACTTACCCTACCTAGGTAGATTTCTGATTGCATCGCCTGGAACCTTGCAGGCTGGTTTGCATAAATAAGGCTATCTCCATGGCATGGTGGTGGTCTCCGGGGTGCTCATAACCGAATAATAGCTAGCCGCGCAGGACTGCATCCAAAAGACCCAATGAGGCTGGAGGCTCGCCTCAATGGACTTGCATATGGCGTGCTATACACGACTCATAGTAGTGGTACACTTAGGGAAGGTTACATTAGAGCTGGATATCAACATGGATTTACGAGAGCTACCCCGCCTAGAGATGAAATCTAGAAGGCTGGCATTTTGAAGAACTTTCCCCTGGCGCAGTGAACCCTGTAGATAATGCCAGGAATGATATGAAAAATGTGAAGCTTAATATTAGGCCAAGGAGAAAAAGGCGGTATCCAGGTTCAGGTAGGGGTATTCGACCACGGGTAGATAGGTTAGTTATCTTAAAGCAGTATTAAGTTATGGTTTAGTTGACGCCAACTTCTATGATAATTATAGCTATTAAATATGTCTTACACGCCTATACACGGCATTATTAATAGGGAACCATCTCATGGTAATCCTCAAAATACAACGAAAATATGTCTTCTTTTTTTTTTTCGCTCTTATTTATATTCCACCAAGTCCTTTTTAAATAACACCGCCCTGGCCTGGTAAATGACATCCTCTCCAGCGCGATAGAGGTCGCAGTCTTGCCTTTTCTGTCCAATAGACATATATGGCTATCTAAATAATGCCAATCCAAATATGAGAAACTTTAATAACCCTATTCCTTTTTGGATTCCCATGATTGCTGTATTGTGAGCCAATCATATATATATATATATCCGAGATCCTCTCGTATAGGTGATATTTTCTATGGTAAACCTCAAACCAGTCATCCCACTCAAGGTTCAAAAATAATTGTGACCTTACGCTCCCCAATATCCCCGGTTTATATGTATAAAAAAAGAAAAAAAAAAGCGACAGATGCTCCAACGCTAGGCAAGAAAAAAGAAAAAGTTCATCACTATTTCATATGGCCCAGCTTCCTCTCCGAGCCCGAACACCCCAAGCCATTTCACCAGTTCCAGAGTCATTAAGAACGGGGTGTTGGCGCGCCCACTCTTTTATGTAAAGTTTTAAGGCAATCCACCGAGGCGGCTTCGGTCTTCTGCGGGACCTCCTCTCATCTTCTTCAGGAGTACGTAGTACTGTCTCCTCACCGCCGTCTAGGTCAGTCATTGACTTGCCCTTGGGCATGCCCATCTCCATTTGCAGCATAAAACCCTTATCAATTTTTATGTGATCATCCTTGCGCAGCTCCTCAATGTCAATGCCGCTGATCTTGCTCAGTTCGCCATCAAAGGCGCGCGCGGTAGCGGGATATCCAAGACTAAGATAATTGTAAACCTGCGTAACAAAAGCATCATCAAATTCAGCCGCGATTCGCTCCTCGAATTCCTTGCGCGCCTTCTCCTTCTTCAGTCGCTCGTCTAGTCCAGAGAGTATATGAAAGCTCCTTTGTTGGCCAAGGATTGTCGGGGATGTAGCTCCTGGCGATTGCGCACCGCTTATGACACCGCCTATACTCATGGATGCGGTGAACGCAGCAGAGAACGGGTCCTGTGGAGAATTTGGTTCCGGCGGCGTCATGAGGAGATTAGGTCCTGGGTGTGTCTCTACAACGTTATTGGCCTTAGCAGAACAATATCCACGCCATAACCCCGTGGCCCCTGTAAGATCTCGCCGCTGTTCAGACTTTTCAAGGGTACAGTACTGATGGCTGGGCTCCATACGTGTCTGTTTTGGGCTGGGGCATAGGCGGAATTGTAGATTACTGCCGAGCATGGGTGGCGAGGCAGCCATGCGCATTTTCCGCATCTGGGGATCTTCGGGTTCGTTGTTACGGAAAGCAAAAGGAATTCCAAACGGACTTGCACGGAGACCAGGTTCCGGCGGGGGCGCAGGAGAGGGTGCACGAGGTTGCGAGTCTATCCTGGCTAGTAGGGCCGGCGAAGGCGCGCTGATTATTGGACTCGGAGCATCTCTCATATCTTCGTCGAGAGATGTCCGGAACGCGGATGTCGTCCATAACGGGTCTGCCGGAGGTGGCGCTATATCAATATGGTCCAATTCGTCAATACTCATACTCTCCTGCCTTGCTCGAGCTAGCTTTTCGGCATGGGCTCTCATTTCCTTAATTGCCCAACCCGGCTCCGACTCCTTACGTCGTAGAAGCCGTGATGTTCCGTGCCTCAATCTTTCGTCCAAAGCTAAAGGGTCATCATCCTCGGAATTATCTCTGACGAGGAAATGTTCCACACCCTCGGGTCGCACGCCGTTGGGGAATGCAGCCATAGCCGCTTCGAGCTCACGCTGCCTGTGCGCTTCCCTAGCGGCTACCGCTAACAGATAACCCGAGAACTCCTCGTCGCACGACTCTCTCCTATTGCGGAGCTCATGGTGTCTGCTACTCCACGAATCACCACCGACGACATCATCCTCATCCTCATTCTCATCGTCCTGTTCCGTGGGAATGCCATTAGACAGAGCCGGGACTCCGATATTGAGGACTGGTGCATCCTCGTCATCGTCATTTTCCTCGGAAGACTTATCTGACTCGGATGATAGTATTGTGTCAAGTTCGGGAGTGTATGATTGTCGCGTGCCCCTTCGGGTGTTTGGATGCGGTTTCATAGACTGTTGTCGGCGTGGGGTTAAGTAGCCGTCACCTTCACCGGTAGCATGCGGCACGCCGGTAACGGCAGGCCGAGGTGCTGCTTTTCGCTTGGATTTCGGAGCATAGATGTGATTCGTGCCAGGAGTAATATCCGTCTTATCTATAGGTTTAGTTGCGGGCCCTGGTTGATCGGCCTTTTTGGATCTTCTTGTCGTCTCAATCAACTGCGGGGCAAACTTCCTCTTTGGTTTCTTCTGCGATTGTTCCAATTGTCTTTGGTCACGTTTGTCTCCTAAAAATGACGGTGCGTATGGGGATGTCGGCGAAGGGTCCGGTGTCAATTCAGCGGTTGGGCCGACGGGATTCTTTCTACGAATGCTATTGTTGTTCACCCTATAAGAGTCGAAGGTCGTTTCAATTGGAATGGGAGCAAAGCGCCGAATGGGTTTGACTGGTGGCGCATCCGGCATTTCGATGTCGCTCACCTGGACTGAGGCATCTCTTGTAGGTCTTCTAGTCGAACTAACGGTCGAATCCGGCGGTGTTAAGGTTACGGGCTTGGGAGTAAGCTCTTGCTTCTTGTTTGACGACGACTTCTTTACAGACTCTTCGACGAGCTGGGGAGCAAACCGACGGCGGGGTTTCGCTGCGGGTGCGGGTGCGGGTTCAGGCTGAGTTCCTACGGGAAGAGCTTCAGAAGTTGAAGCATCACGCATTTGTTCTTCGCCGGACGCCATTTTTCAGCCGTCGTTTAAGCTACCGTCCGGCTACTGGAAATTAGACGACGGGAATAGAGGACCGAAATAAGCAACAGGGTAAAAAAGCTACAATGCCCCTAAAATCATGTGTGGCCGGGTAGGGAGATAGAAAGTAGATGCGGGTTTTTTTTTAAAAAAAAAAGAAGAAGAAAAAGAACTACATGGAACGAATTACATATAATTCCTATCGTCAATGTTATCGTCCGGACAAGGAGAACAATAAAAAAAGGAGAGAATAGGTAATAGTTAGTTCCGACCCAGAACCGGGAACCTAAGATCAGATAAATCAGGTATTATTAAACCCCAGCTGGTTTCTAACCCCGTGACGAAAAGATGCCATGGACCCGAATCCACGCAAGGCCATAAAACGACGCACCGCTAGTTTACATTTGAAGACTCCGCGGCCTCCTCCGAGCAGTGGGGGAAGTGGATCGTGGGTGGAACTACGGAGTTAACAGAAAAGAAAAGAAAAAGGACAGATGGGAATGGTAGGAATGGCAGGAGCACTTGGACTGCGGGCAGCTGGGATGGCGCTCATCTTAGTGGGCTTCGTGTTTGCACACAGATGCAGCTCATGGGCAATTGAAAGATAGCGGTTCTTTCTAGTGGTGGGTGGTGTTCGATATCGACCTAGAACGTTCTGTAGTGGCTATGGGGGCTGAGTGGCTAAGGAAAAGGTACATTAGGTACTATGTACAGTACCTTATGTACCTGGGTATCGATATATTATAGGTTAGGTACTAAGGTACTAAGGTATGGATGCCAGATGGAAGTTGGAACAATTAAAGAATGTACATCTCAATGTACATACGGCTTCGCAAATTTGCAAATTGTAAAATTGCAAAATTGGCAACTTTAATTGATAGTTGGGACCAATTTACTTAGGTAGTATTTGGGCGGAAAGCAAAGAAGCAGAGAACCTTCCATTGTCTCTAAAAGGTAGTATTGCTGCATAATAGGTAGTGGTCTTTTTTTTTTTTTAATCCAACTTTAACTCTGCATACAACCTAACCAGACTTGCTGGAGAGCTTTCTATGTTCTACCTACTTTCCCACATCCCCTCGCGCAAGGGACTGGGACTGGGGATAATCAACTCATTTCAGACTCTAACTTAGCAAAATAGGTTAATACCTAGAGACAATTACACTATAGATAATACCCATTACCTGTGTATCTTATCATCTTATATTAGTAGATGTAACTATAACTATATATAATATATTATACCTGAAGAACCGGATGCTATACAAACTATAGACACCTGACAGATATGCAGTTCTCTTCCAATGCACCTTTAAGGCACCAAGACATATATCTAAATCACTCTTTACTGACCGACAGTCTGAAGGTGAATTTAGATGCTGCTGCTATCCTAAAGGGGGCGAAGGCTCCTTAACAGAGATGCGGAGTTGTTGTCCAGTATCTCCTGGGTGACTTCGGTTGCTTAACACCGAGAGAGCATCTTGTTTGCTCTGGCGCATTTCCCCAGGTTTACCCTCCACACAACGGGGTTACATGTAGGTAGGATATGTAGTGAGCAAAATACCCAAGACATCGACAGGGGGCGTGGACAAGTCCAGCACCAAGAGAAGTCTTGACATAATATAATATGCACGCCCAACGCTCTAGCGGCCCGAATCTTCAAATTGGTCCCGGATTGGATGGATTAGCCGAATTTAATCCTTTGTTCCGGTAAAGATTCATAGTTACCACAAACAAATATACTAACTACATCAATAGATAAGAGCTTGAGAGTAGAAGTTGGACAGTTCACACAATAGTATTGAGTAGACAGATTAGTTAGTCTAGGTTCTCCCTATGTGTATAGCAGCTCAACGAACGATTTAAGCATTTACTCAACCTGTCCTCCGCATGACCTTCGTTGTGCGGGTCCGGTGCACATATCAATTTCGATCTCAAATCCGCATCTCTGTTAAGGAGCCTTCGCCCCCTCCCCCTTTTTTTCATATTAAAAATGGAAAGAGCAAAGGCTAACAACGAACCGATCATTGCATACTAGCTACCTTGTTGGAATGGTAAGATCTGCTTTTCGCGTGCGTAGAGGATATCCTATGCTCATAGTGAGATAGAGGATTCGAAAATTGGCTTTATCATTAATTACCTTGGATGTGTATCATGAAAAGATACTTGGAGTTGGGTATACTGCTTGGGTTTGACGACCGTCCGATTTCCACAGGGCTTGCAGACACCAGTCTGGATTTTAGCTCCTCTGCCTCCGGTATTTTGACCCAAGGGCCAAGAGTCCTTGGGCAAATTCTGCGAAGCTCGTTCTACCGTTAGCCCTAATAATGAATGGGTGGGATGCCAAGAACAGCGTCTCAACGATTGGCTCTTCTAACAGTCACATTGCAGAGAATAGGACGGTTAAGTCTTCAATACTTTGACCGACTGTTCGGACCGCCTGGAATAGCTCCGGGTTAACATAGCCCGGCAATCGCATTGGCTAGGCTCAGGCACGCGTTCTCCACGTTAGGTTACCTAGGTACGCAAGGAAGATCTGTGGAGAGGAATGTATAGTTAAGGTTATCTTTGTGATTGTTCTTATCGCCTTTTCCCCTTTTTTAGTTTGTCTGATGTCCTTTGATGCTTTGAGACTTGCCCTTAAGATATCATATCTCGACAGTTAGGCCTTGAGTGTGAGATCTCGATTACATGCCGATACTAGCTCCCTCCTTACTAGCTAATACCGTAGTATTAGTGTGGTTGGAGTCGGTGTCTGTTTAATGGCGGCTAGGGCCGCATAGATGTGAAAAAGAAGGGTAGTTTCAGTCTTCGTTGATCGGCAAAGGAAATTGAATGGTCGGGCACCTTCTACCAAGTCTGCCTAATAATGAACGTGGGATTCGGAATTCCTACCAGGTACAATACTTGTTACGCTTTATCGAAAATACACAGTTCGCAAGCTGGAACCCGGGGGTTTTTGCCCTTAGATGCACGTGTGCAATGTCACAGGAACAGATGGGATGGTCATAGCTTACCGTCTTACGTGTTAACAGCGGGACGCAGGCGCGAGATGCGGTGCTTGAGATGACAGCTCGTTTGGGGAGATGAAAGTGGAGGAATACGATCTCGGAATAGGGGCTGCTTTTTTTTTTTTTTTTTTTTTCCCTCACTCGAGTGGTACAATACGATTGGCGACTCTACCCGTTGGGACACGAAATAGTGTTCCCGGCGCGGTGTTCTAATTTCAATGGCCTTCAAATACTAAAAAAGGGTAAGAGTTTTCGCGAGCTGATCATCTCGGCCCGAGGCCGTTCTCGTTGTGATAGAAATGTCTGAGATAGCAGTGCGCTGACGGCGCATATTCTTACCGGAATACTCCCAAGTCCACCAAATGAATAGGTATTTCGACAGATACCCGTAACCCGACCAGTAGTCTGACCAATCTATGCCGGAAACAAGGTAGTATGGTCTGACGTCCTACTTATCTTAGATGGATACATGGTATCTCCTTTGAGACTCAACAAGAGGCTCTAGAACACGCTTCGTCAAGTAGTACACGAATACTAGGTAACCTAGGAAATCGCACGTAATTTGATTTGAACTGGTTACTGGCTACACAATCAACGCCAAAAAAAAGAAAAAAAGAGTAGCACCCAAGTCACCCGAATGCCTAAAAAGGTATCCCGTTGTTATCACATGCCATATGCATGTCTCAAAGTTATGCCGCACTCCTGATAAGAGTTGACAAGGCATCGAGTTATTAGGCTGTAAGACAGGTAGTAACGCTGCTTCTGTTAGGTTTTTCAACAAGATCCATTGGTATGACGAGCTAATACCTACGCGGTCCATCATTGGATACTATCACGAAGATCACCTACCGGAAAATGATGGTTATATAGACTGCGTCCTGACAACATTAATCAAAAAAGAGAAAAAAAAGAAAGGGCAGGTTGATAGAAAATCTTGCGACCTACATATGAGGAATCTTGGCCAAATGATGGGACTCTATGTATTAAATACACATAAACGACAAGATCGGCGCGTATGAGCACAAGTGCTTAAGTACATGGTAATTTTAGATCCAACGATCCAATAGCAATGACGTACGTATGAAGATAACTTGCAAAGCTAAATAGGTTCAAAGATTTGATTAAGTTGAGAATAGAAAGGTAAGTTTTATATAACTACCTAAACAATTTCAATAAAAGAAACGGGATAGTAATATCTTTCCAATGTCTTATCAGTTCTTATCAATTACTTGAGCGCAATGGGTACCTAGGTACCTAATTCCATTGGAAAGATAGGTACCTAAGTACCTCTAGATAGCGGCAGGTAAAAGGTAAATGTGGGCTTGAATATAAGCCACCAAAGACGGCAACGATAGCGCCCGCCCCTTTTCGTATCGTCCAGAGGCGTTAATAGTAAAAGAATAGACTAGTTAATACAAGAAAATGTGCTATTCCAACCTAATTTGTTATATATTATATATGCAAAGTATCGTACATTGGTAACAGGAAAGCGTGATTCTCGTCATTGCGATAGAAATAACTCAGGAACGTTCTCAAGAGGAGGCATTAAGGAGATCTTATCTTCAAAGCTTCCATGCAAATACCTTAGGTATCTCCCTAATGCTAGGTACCTGTAGTGTGTGTTCTCGCTCCCCGGACCCAGTCGGTTATCTGCAGGTCCAGATAAACCCTGTAGAAACGTTACCTAATTAGTCAAAATCTTGATGGGCATGCTGGCTGGGTACGGTATCTAGGCCGCTAAACTTTTTATGTCGGAGTACGTCTGACAAAGTAACTGTGCAGGTGATAATCAAGGTTTTGGGGGGGGGGGGGGGGGGGTTGTGGTACATGTTATGTATGAGATGCTACTGGATATAAACCACATGCCCGTCTCTGAATTGGCAAAGACCACTTAAATGCGGGTTTTCTAAGATAAGGTATAGATTACAAAAAGTATAGATATGTACCTAACCTATATAACATACAACCTTATATCTACAGGAAGGTAGAAAGGTAGGAAGGTATGTGTAAAGGTATCTTATCACACAATGAGCAACCTTGCATTCTTTACTTTTCCATGATCCTTGCCGCTTTCTGTGCAGCATGCAGTTACGCTTAACATTCTAGGCTATCTAACTAGGTACTACCATCTGCCGTCTCCGCCCCATGCCACCCGGCGCGTGGTACTTTTTTTATTTTCTCCTTCACTCCGTCTTGTCTAGGTAGTCGCCGTACAAGCACCAAGGAGAATGTAGAGTAGAGCACCAATCGGACAAGGATGATGACCCGGTCTTAATCCCAGTGGTCATGCAAATATAATTGATTGATTGAAAAAAAAAAAAAAAAAAAAAAAAAAAAAAAAAAAAAAAAAAGCCAAAATAAGGAGGGGTGGATTTGTTGTGTTTGGTAGGGTTTGTT